ATGACACATATCACATCCTGGATAGAAAGATCTAATATGTACCATGAACTTTTAAAAGTTACATTATATTGGAATTACTTCATTTCAGTTTTAAAGACCTCAAAGGAATTTTGGGGATGGAGAACTGTTGAATTTATTATAAAATTCATCAGGCAAAACAATGTGGTGAGAATAGCTCAGAACACGATAAAGTTAAAAAAGGGAAGGATTAGATTCCATTTACCAGAGATCCTGAAACACATGAAAAATAGCAAAGATGGAAACAATGTACACTGGCACAGGAAGAGCAGATGGATGGGTGGAACAGAACTAGTTTAGAAACAGACAACAGAGACAGCAACTTCAAACAGCAAGACTAATTCTGTAAAGGTAAGTGATAAACTGGACAAGTTACGCAATATACATATTTAATCTTTATATTATAGAATCTTTTCAAAATAAAGAAAAATATAAAATCCTCAGTAGAAAATAGGGCAAAAATAGGCCTCCCTGGTGGCCTAGGGGTTAAGTCTCAGTGCTATCACCCCTGTGGCCTTAGTTTGATCCCTGAGCAGGGAGCTAACACACATGGCACAGCAGATCTCTTCTGTCTGGCCCACTGCTTCTTTTAGCTGTGTATTTCAGTAAATCTGCCTGTTCTGCTCCCCACTTTGTCTCTGGTGAATCCTCTCACTTCCCCACACCTCTGGCCTACACCCCAGTTCTTCTATGCAAAAAAAAGAAAATTGGCAAAGGTTATTTAATAGGTAATTTTAACTCATGCACACACAAAAATAAGAAAACTGTTTAACCGTGCTAGCACTATAAATGCAAATTAAGACAAGTTGTATATTTTGTTTTTAGATTCATAAAGGTCTTGAATTATAAACTTGTGAAGAGATATAGAAAATACTGCCTATAACTCGCCTGGCAGGTAATCCATCAGTCAAAAATCACAACCTGTTTATCATGAATTCAACAATGATAGATTTATCCTAAGGAAATTATGATGTTTGAGAAATTTATCCACAAGTTAGTATAAGGAAGCAATGTTTGTGTCAGCAAAACACTAGGAAGAATCAAAAATAGGGATTGGTTAGGAGTAATTGCCCATCCATATGATGCAGTCTGGACATTTACTAGAAGTTAGGCCAAAAAGGAGACTTAGTGATAATGAGAATTTTCATGATGTAGCTTGACAAGAAGTTACAAATCTGCTACTATATGGTCCATAAGCATTTTTTAAAAAGTATGACAGGGTCTCCCCGGTGACGCAGCGGTTGAGCGCTGGGCTGTGAAGCTGCCCGCAGCCTCGGCAGCGCCCGGTTCGATCCCCGGCCGCCGGGCAAGGGTCCCACATGGTGCACAGACCTCTCCTGCTGCCCAAGCTGCTCCCCTCAGCAGTGTATTTCGTCAGTCTGCCTGTTCTGTTCCCTGCGCTGGCTCTGGTGAATTCTCTCACCCTCCCGCACTTCTGACTGTACCCAGTGCTTGTATGAATAAATTTTTTAAAAAAAAAGAAAGTATGACAAAGGTCTCGATGGACATAGAACTCAGCAGCAATGTTAGCAGTTGCTACCACTGCAAGGTGTATTATAGATGATTTTATATTCATTGTGCTTTTCTGAACTTTCTAATTTTCTACATTAAACTGTATTTTTAAAGTTATATTTTGAAACAATTGAAAAGATAGATCTTAAAGTTCCATTTGTCCCCCCTGGCTGCTAGAATTATGGATGATTTAATTTTTCAACAGGATTTTCTATATTTCTCAAAATTTTCTCCTGTTGCCACTGCCACCGCCACCACCACCAGTCCTCATCTCCACTGTGCTAGAAGTCTTTTATCTTCCTACCAAGGACAAGTTTACTAAAAGCAGCAGTATTAAATGTAATATCCTCCACAATACCAATTATTCTGAATCTTTAAAGCACCACAGACAGGTTTCTGTTAAAAAAACTAACTCAAGGATAATCAACTCTTCAATATCAAGGCAGAAAAAAAAAATTCTCATTGTTAAATTCTTTTCCTAATTTGACTTTTTTAAAAAAGAGCCATGGCAATCTTTTTAAAATGTGATGTGTTATGGTAAAAAAAAGTCTAAGGTATATTAACATGTCACAAAGTGGTATTCTTTCATAGGATTTGGCTACTAAAAACAGCAAGACTCCAGGAATAGTTGTTTGACCTCAAACCCCTACAATTCTTAAGCATCCACACTAGTAGTTAGGAGAGACTCTAATAACTTTAACTTTATGGGCTGCAGCAACCAATGCATGGTCAAATTAAGTAAATTTGAATTCTTCTCACATGTTCTAGACCAGAGAAAGAATTATCAAGGCCTTAAAAGATCAAATTCCAAAAAAGAAAGAACAATAAAGAAACTAGATAACCAAGCTCTCAACAAGCAGTTGAGTGACCCACAGAAGGAGTCAGACGAGAAGCAGCTGCCCAGGAGTGACATGGCGTCTAGTTTTCTAGAACACTTACCTCCACAGCCTCCTGTGCATACCTGTCTTAGTGCTCACTGTATTAACTGAAACTGCCTTTGCCTTCCATTAGACCAGCCACGTTTCTCCAGGACGGGGCTGTGCTGATTAAGATCCATTATGAACTCAGTATTGAGCACAAGTTCTGGGGACACGCTAGGCAGAAAATAACCATCCCTGAGCTACTAAAATAAATAAGAACGACGTTCTGTGGCTCCTACAGAGGGAAAAGGCACAAAGGTAGCAAACCTAAGAGCCCTTCCCTGAAGTGACTTGATAATTTAAAAATACCTGCTTAAGAACAATGTGAGAGGGGAAGAAGGGGAGCTAGAAAACTTTAGCACAGACAGTCCCAGTTTACCTACTTTATCCCAAAGACAGGAAGCTGGACAAGAACCTACATTTGCGAAAATGAAGGCACATCATCTCACTTCCTTTCCATCTTTAGCAAAGACTTTTGCGTTTCCAGTTCATGACATATAAATGCCTACAGCTTAAGGGAATCTCACAATGGCAGAGAAATTAAAAGGGAAGGCGGAAGAAAGGGAGAAACATACTCACTATCTTGTCCACTCCCTCTCTCTCACACTAACCCTGCATGTTCACCCAATTCCAAGGCTCCTTCCTAGAGTCTTTCCCTGATCAGGGGCTGGGCTGCCCTTTCACTGATGAAACAAGTCATTCAGAGCTCGACTTTCAGAGTCAGGCTCCCTCTTTAGAGGGTTTTATGAAAGAACCACGTGTATTTAGAAAATCATCACTACACATCATCTTGTTTGTTCAGGGCACTGAGAGAGCCGCTCGGTGCAGACATTTCAAATGGAGGGGAGCTCAGAAGCCAGGAGGAGGTTTATTTGATGGTTTGCAGCCCTGGCAGCACATGAGAATCACCTGGGAGCTTTTAAAAAAAATACTAGTGCAGAGTCTCAACCCAATTAAATGAGAATTGCTAGGGGTGAAAGCTGGGCATTTGCTTTTTGTTTTTAAAACTCCACAATGAATTATTATTTTTTTCAGTGTGAAAAACAAGTGGTTATGATCTTCTTAAAGAATCTTTACTGAGATATGGGCCTCCCTGGTGGCACAAGGGATTAAGACGCAACCTATGAAACTATCCGCAGCCACTGCAGCATGGGTTCAATCCCCGGCTAGGGAGCTAACACATATGGCCCAGCAGACCTCTCCTGACTCACCCGCTGCTCCCCTCAGCAATGTATTTCAATCAGTCTGCCTGTTCTACTCCCCACTCTGTGTCTGGTGACTCCTCTTAACCAACCCCCATCCCCTCCCCTCACCCCTGGACTATACCCCAGCTCTTGTATGCGTAAACAAATAAAATAGGGCCTCCCTATTTAACCCCTGCAAGGGGTTAAAACACAGCCTATGAAGCTATCCGCAGCCACTGCAGCATGGGTTCGATCCCATGCTGGGAGCCAGGGAGCTACTCACATGGCACATCAGACCTCTCCTGTCTCTCCCACTGCTCCCCTCAGCAGTGTACTTCAGTCAATCTGCCTGTTCTGTTCCCCACTCTGTCTCTGGTGAATCCTCTCACCCCCCACCCCTCTGGCCTGTACCCCAGTTCTTTTTTGCATAAATAAATAAATCTTTAAACAAAAAAGGAATCGTTGCTGAGATAGAAGATTTGCTTTAACATACTCCATTGGAAAAGGGGTGGTTCTGATTACTGAAGTTGGCAAAATGTTGATAATTGCTGAAGCTGGGTGAGGCTACTTAGAGGCTGATGACATTCACTCCTGTATATTTGAAAACTTCTATAACAAAAATGTTATTTTGTAAAATCAGCACAAATAAAAAGGTGCCCACCCCCCAACTATTTGTATATGATGTATTTAATACAAAAATATTTTTAAAAGAACATTTAATAACTCTGCAAGTCACTAATATGTAAACCAAGTTGAGAACCACTAGGCTACATCACTGAAGGAAGGGCAAGCCTGACTTGGAAAATAAAGAATAAGCAGCAAGAGGCAAACTAGGTGAGAAAGATCAACTCAGACTCATAGCAGGATGAAGCCAAGGGAGGCTGGCAAACTGGCTCTAACCGATCAGCATCTCCAACTCCTGTTATGCACATATCTGCCTGAATGTTGAGAATCTTTATTTACAAGTAAATTGCAAACGTATATACACACACATGCATACTGTGTGTATATACTTGACAGCACTGCCAATGATATGTTCAGGAGCATGTAATCTTTTAAAAACACTATCTGGAAAAGCTGCCCATGACCTAAAAGGCTTTGGCCTGTGGAACAGTCACATAGAAAGGCACTCCTAGGGAGGAGCAGGTGGTAAGGGTAAGGGCTAGAGTGTGGTCTTTGGAACTGGGGAGCTCTTTATCTACCTAAGTGATTCATAAGTAATGCTGCTTAGAGAGCTGAGTGAACTCTTAAACCAAGTGCTACTTGTGAGAAGAGTCAAAAAGAACGACTAAGTCTCAGCTTAATGACCAGAGAATGCATCAAAAAACACCCCTCCCCCATCCCATGCCCAAAATCCCCAACTCACCTATTTTTCTCCATTTCATTGTGAGTTGATCTGAAAGAGGGAACAAAGAGAGTAAGATTATTCTAGTCTTAAAGGACTACTTGAACACTAACACAATTATTTTAACGTCTTTCTCTCCAAAACTGGTTGAAGACAGAACAGGAGAACACCCCAGTCAGCTCTACTGTAGAAACCAGTCTATTTGGGGAGTTAGAAAAACGTAAATAGGGGCCTCCCCAGTGGCGCAGCGGTTGAGCGCTGGGTTGCGAAGCTGCCCGCAGCCTCCGCGGCGCCGGTTCGATCCCCGGCTGCTCCCCGGCCACGGGAGGAGGGTCCCTCATGGTGCGCAGACTTCTCCTGCCGCCCGCTGCTCCCCTCAGCAGTGTACTTCGGTCCTTCTGCCTGCTCTGATCCCCGCTCTGGCTCTGGTGAATTCTTTCACCCTCCCGCGCTTCTGACTGTACCCAGTGCTTGTATAAATAAATAAATAAATCTTAAAAAAAAAAAAAGAAAAAAAAAAAGACTGAGACGGTAAAGGATTAAATAACTTAAAAAAAAAAAAACAAAAACAAACAAACAAAAAAAACGTAAATATCTAAAGTAGAGTTCAAGAAGAAGTGACAAACTAAGAGCAGGCATTCCCTCGTAGAAAATTATTCCATTTTAAGAAAAGGAATAAAGGGGGTCTATTTATACAAAGAAAGCCAGCTGCACAGGTGATGTAAACTTACATAACACCGCACAGCTTTCTTTAGGCTGGAGGTGGCACCCCCACCCTGGACCTGCAGTTTTTTCTAGGTGTAGCGTTAGATAAAATTGAAGGCTAAGTTGGTAGATTATAGGAGAGTTGTACATTGTTTAAAATAAGCCCTCTTCCCTCAATCTATCTACTCCCTGAAGTGACTATTTTATCATGTACAACCTTCTGAAAGTTTCTACTCTTGGAATGGCTAGGAACAGGCTTCCAAAACTTAGTTTGACATAAAGATGAACCGGTTAAAGCATTAGTTTGGTGGAATTTGAAGTCCGTCTTTGCCACTGACTGGTACTACAGAAGAAAAAAAATTCTCTACCATCCTGTCCTTGGCTAACCCCTCCATAAAATGGGAATAAAACTTATTGCTAATTATTTACTGAACAAGCGTGGATCAATCAGGTAGCATTGTGATTAGAGAGCTGTGGATGAAAGCTGTGGGAGAAGTGAAATCATATCATTAGTGTGTTTATGGCTGGCCTTGAATATAAGGTCTGGTTCTAAGAATTTATGGACAGATTTCCACAAAATCACAAGTCAATGTCACATTAGTGCCCTCCTCACACAAATTCTTCCTAAATAGTTATAAATTTGAGAACGCTCCCAGCATTATAAAGGAACCCAATCTTGACCTTTCCTATGGAAATTCTCTGGAATCTAACCAGTTCAGAGAATTGTGCCCTGGCTCAGGTCATGACTTCTGTGGGTCCTTAAAAACTTTACTGTGTCTAGAAAATCAATTCTTCAGTAATCATGGAGGAACACTACATTGTGAATGCCCAGCCAGTCACTTATTTATATTAGGGGCACCAAATTCATTCACACCAGGCCAAGGGTGTGTGTGTGGAGAGGGAGGGGTGAGGGCCTATGTGTGTTCTTGAAATGGGAAATTTCCAATCCAGCACTAAAACTTCTCTTCTACAAGGCTCTTGGGATACCAATTTTTATATATAAGGAACAACAAAATAATGACATTTCAAATTTTGGAATACTTGTTTTCTAGACAAAGGCTACATAGACCTTAAAATTGGTTAACTTAAAAGCTTTCATTGGTTCACTTGGTTATCCCTCAGCATTTTTTCAGAAGATTTACTTCTTGCAATGACCAGCAGGATATTGGAGTTAACAAGAATCTAGCTTCTACAGCAAACCTTTGGCTTTAAAGCACGTGGCATTTTAGTTTTAACAGGCAATAACAAGTTCAAAGTCTGACAGATATTTTAAATGGATGAAAGTATATGACAACAGCTGGTCAAGATTTCCTTGTTAACTGTAGATAACGACCATCTCAGTAGATTGTAGGAGGGTGGGTATTTGAAAAGAATATGGTCTCTGATTGTAGAAAATAACAGCACTCAGGGTACTCTTCCCCCAAATTTCTGAATTCTTTGAAGATATGTTAAAAAAAAATTCAGAAGTCCCCCCCAGATAAACTTTTAAATATTCCATAGCAAACACAACTTCTTCCAAACTTTGAACCATTTTAGACTCTACAGATCTTATTTGATTAAACTAATAGTGTTGAACACATAGTGATTTATTTATGAGGGGGCTTATGCCTCATTGCGAGGGCATTTGATTTACTGAAATGGAGCTAATCTTTAATAAAAAATCAGGTCTCTCAAAAAAAATGACCAGAGACTGCCTATCAACTCTGGTGATGGGCAAACATTTATATATTTAATGAAAGCATTATATGATACATAGGCATCCGATGTCAAAATTATTTTCCATGACATTATCAAAGACTTGAATACTCTGGAATCACTGATAAAGGTTAAATGTCACCATTTAAAAATATATTCTAACAAAAATATAGCTAAGCCAAGCAGAATACTGACAAAGGGAGAAGTCCTTGAGTTAAAAAAGACTCCCTATGTTGACAAGCTACATAGGCACTGTCTCATAAAACAACTGGGTGGAAAGTCTTGAACTTCCTCTTTCACATGAGTGCCAATGCCTGCTCTACCAATTTAACAATACATACTTTTACAAGCTCTCAATTTTGATTCTAAATATTGAGCAACTGATTTCAAAAATCAGTAGGAAAGAAAGCCACTTTCCTGTATTCCAGCACTCTGGAAGATTCTAAAAGAATCAGTATTCACAATTTCATTTGTTCTTGTTTTTTTAAATAAGCAACTAAGAAATTTTATTAAAATCTGAATTTTCAGTTTTCAAGTAGTTTGATATGTGGCTAAATTTTATATTTTATTGTTTAAACAAAAGCACCCCAAGACTTCACAAAGAGCACAGAATTTCAACTTGATTAACAAAATTAAATTGTTATCCAATGGTTACATAAACCAGTAGTCATCTCTCCCTAGTCTTCACCTCAATTCAAGTACTGAGCATATATGGCCTTGAATACACAACTAATTCAAACTGCAATTCAAGGGGTCAAACTTCAACCTCTGGGGAGATGTCTTATTGCTCAGGCAAGAGTCATTGCAAATAGGTCAAGAAGGAAGTGATCACATTTAAACAATACAACCTACTCTTGCTTCATATGTTTGCTTGGTGCCATCTCCGGGTTTAATCACGGGCTCTCAGAGATGCTTGCACCACATGAAGATATTACACTCACTCATTATTAGTCAAGAATATGGACAGCTGTGATAGTTCTCCTGTCTCTAACCTTGGAAAACAAATCAAGTCCACAGAATAGAACTTTTCTAAAGAATCAGAGTTTGCAGCCACTTTTCAGAAATACTGGTAGATATTAAAGAGAAGAGAAATAGTCAGGATTCTTGGCTTGAAATTCTCAACTATTATTTTTATTTCCTAATGATCCCAGGGGACACTGGCCCTTTTTCCAGCCTTGGGACTAAGCCACTTCTCTTCAGCATTTCTTGCTTTTCCTCTCTTTACCATTGAATACCCCTGACACACACATATACCTTTCCTGTGAAAGTTAGGAAACTTGGGGGGCGGGGAGGGGAAGCTAAGGCATCAATCCTTAACTACTAATGTAATCAACTCCTCTCAAAATCATTAGACAAGAGCAGAGAAGAATAAAAAGCAACAAATGTACTAACTAAAAAAAAAACCCCTCAAAAACAAAACTAAAAGGGCTCTAAGTTCTTCCAAATAAAAATTGAAAAATTAATACTGTAACATATAACACAGCTTAATTGTTTCTAATATTTCACAATACAAGGCAGTACTAACATCTTTCTTAAAGGGTCTAACACCCATGTGTTGGCTACTACCTTCAGGTAATGCTAAAGTTGGGAGGGAAAGGAAAAACCACCAGGTAATTAATTACCAGGTTCATTCTTCACGTGCCTTCTAATTCAAGAGCTCAGCACATGTGTGCTGCTCACATCCTGTGGTTCCACCAACACTAAGAACAATGGGGGTGAATCAAGGACAGAAGAGTCAGAAAGAACAGGTTAGTTTCATGTTTATATGGGAACCTCTGGGCTTTCAGTGGTCTGTATTATGCCACAGAGGCTAACCAAATGCACCTCCTTGCAGAGTGTTATTCATGAGGATCAGGAGAGATAAGGATTCTAAATCAGTGATGAAAATGTCCATGAATTTAATTTAATGGAATGGAAGGTATAATTGAACGCATCTATGAGTGGATTTAAATAAACAGATTTCCTAGTTAACATATTTTTAAGAGAAAAGAGGGGAGAAGAGGGGCCAGAAGCAGTTCCTGTAGCAGGAACAATGTGCAGCACTTCAACGTGTTGTTTCACTGCCCAAATACTTCCCAAGGAGAGTCACAGATTTTAAGAACCAAAAGGCTTATATGAAAGGTTGTAGCATATTGATATTTTAATACTATATATATTTTTTCAATCACCAAAGAAGTAGATTTTAACCTTTGTCATTCCTTTTTGCCATTATGGATGTGGTAGATTATCAGAGAAACCACTGTATTTAATTTACAATCAAATATAAACCCCTAGCACCTATGCCAAGATACTTTAACATGTTTATAAAATCTTCACTATAAAAAATGAAAAAGCAGGTATTTTCAACTACTTGCTCTAAATCTGTAATTTCTGAAGGCAAAATGTCACTGCTGCAAATCTCACTGGGAGTTTCCACAGATTTTTGTTCCAAAAGGGAAGAAAAGCAAATTTTAAAAAAAGTTCATAAAGAAACTTAAAACATTTTCATTTCTCTTTTCTTTTCAGTCCCCTCAACCCAAGCAGAAGGACAGCTTCATCCTATGGCTTAAGCCCATGTGTGTATTACTGAATCATGATTGCCACTTAATGTATTTACAGGGTTATAATAACAACAGGCAACTTCTCTGCAGTTTCTGTCAGCTGCAGTAATGATCTAAAGGAGAAAGAATTATTTACCAAATTACCTGCTACTGCTGTTATTCTTCTTGGATTTGTTCCTCCGTTTTAAGGCATCTCTGTCCTTGTTATTGTATGGTAACATGGAGGCATAACCGTGTTCAGCTTCTAGAAAACCGGGGGATCCAGTTAATGAATGAGCCCAGAACATTCAATATCCTCGCCTTATTTTTTTAATTAAGAGAATAGTGTGGAAATAATTAAAGGGAGCAAGGTGGAATTCTTGGAACAATGATTTCCCCTCCACCCCCCAAATTGTGTGAATACCCTCAGTTTGGAGCAGGTGTAAGGAGTATTCCAGCTGCTCATTGTTGAGAAAGACACAGCAAGTCGCTGAGCTCGTGGAGCCCGGGTTTCTCATTAGCAACGTCCAGCAGGTTGGAGTGTTAAGTGGGACCAGCCCCAGGCTCCGGTGAGGAGCAAAAACAGAGCGGCAGGGGAGCGGCAGGTTGGGGAGGTGTTGCTCCTGAGGAGGGGAGACCAGGGGCCAGGCCCGCTTGGGGTCCGGCTGGGACGAGCCCGTTGAGGTAAACCAAGGGCCTGGCTGAGGGGTCCCTGGGCATCCTACCGGCGACGGTGTAGGAGGGGGCGTCGCTTGGGACCCTGGGGTCAGCGCCCCCGTTCCCACCCTCATTCATTGCCCGAGGGGCAGCCGTGGCTCCCTTCGGACCGCGCGTGGGGAGAGCTGGAGGGGTTGGGAGCGCTCGCGGTGGCTCTCTCCGCGCCTCCAACCACCCCCGGAGCGGCTGGGCGCTCCGACCCGCGGCAGTACACCTCAGAGTCCCTGCCCCGGCTCGGGCCGGACCCCTCCCGGCCCCGTGCACCTCTCTCTCGGCGCTCCAGGTAGTCAGCCGCCTCCAGCAGCATCTGGATGTTCATCCGAACCGCCGTCGCCATTCTGCACCGGGGGCCGGAGCCACGGGACCAACCCCCACTGCCCACGGGCTCGCCGCCTGCGCTGGACACCTGCGCCCCGCTGTGGACCCCGCAGAGCAGGGTTACCGCAGCTTCGCTGGCGGCCACGCTCGCCGGATAGGGGGAGGGGGCTGGTGAGCGGGGTACCGCCGACACCGTGACAGAACCTAGAGAAGAGCAGCAGCCACCACCGCCGCGGAGTGTTTATCCCCGACTCACCATCCCCCCGCCCCCAGCCCCTTCTCTTGACAGGCCTGCTTGGGTTTCGTTCCTCATTGGGCACCCCAGAGAATGCCCCGCCCCTGGCCTTGTCCCATTGGAGAAGGACACCGCGGCCCCGCCCACCAGAGTCCGCGCCCCTCGCTGGTTGGCCGCGCCTGACAAGGCCCGGGCTCCTCCCCTCTCCCCAATTGGTGACAGGATTCGCAACTCCGCCTCGTGGCCCTTCCCTGTTTTCCATTGGTTCTACACCGACAACCGAGCCCCCTTTTGCTTTGTTAGTACTGGCCAGGAGCTACAGACAACAGCCACTTCGCCTGCTTCCCATTGGCGGAGCCTTCAGAAAACCTCCCCACTACGATGACGTCACCCCCTCCCGGTCAGGCGAGCCCTGAGTGGCTATGGTCACCCTCCCGGCTGCTCCTCCCCAGCACTCTCTGGGAGGGCCGACCCCGGCGCCTCTGATTCACCGGCCGCCGCGGAGCTCGGCTCCACCCGGCCCCTCCTGGCCCCACGTCAGACTTGTTGCCGGGACCCGTCCCCCGGGAAAACTTCCTGTGACCTGCTAGGGCGTCCCTGGAGTGGAAGATTGACACTGCATCGGGCGCCAGGGCGCTCTGCCCGCACAGGTTTGGGACCGGAGCCCTGCATCTGACGGGCGCGACCCGGAAGGTCTCCAGGCTTCCCGGGACTCAGCCCGCCGAGGACCCGGGCCTACAATCCCCCGAAAGAGCGACGCGGGCAGCCCGGCGGGGGTCGTTGGGCCCCCGGCTCTGGCGGCGTCACGTGGCTTTAAGGCTTGAGGGGGAGAGCCTGGTCTGGGTCAGTGCCCGCCGTCCAGCCTCTTTCTTTCTTCAGGAAAGGTTGGAGTCAGGCGGCTGTATGCAGCATTGAGCTCTCCGAGCTCTCGGCACCCCTTCCAGTGCTGCCGTAATTACTCCCTCAAGCGAGTGGGTTTTAAAAGCCTCAGAAACGTCTTGTACCTACAGAATGACGATGAATCCCGAGATTCTTTGACCTAAAAATCCGTCAGAGCCTTTCCTTCCCTTTTAATTTCAGGCAAAACATTCCCAAAACGGTTTCAAGACAGCTCTAAGTGTGTGGTGTGTTTCTGTGAGTGGTGGTACCAATACACCTGAGGGGGTGGGGGGAAGCAAATATTGTTTAAAAATGAACAATGATGTAAAAAATAAAAAAAATTAAAAATTTAACAAAAATTATAAAGAACTAAAAAAAATCATTCTTTAAGATTTTTGAGATGAAAATTCTCTCGATGCCCAGGTTACACTATTGATACGCTGACATCTCCATTTTAAACAGTGGAACTACAACTCCTGGTAAGTCTAGAGTCCTGAATATAGAAACGAGTAAAACATAAACATACTTTGCAATACTTTTAAGAAATGTTTATTATTGTTGCCTTATATGACAATAGCTTACTATGTGTGAGGTAATTTTTTACTTACATTAATCTCTACCTCAATAAAGCCCCATTAAATAGGAGGAAATTGAGACCCTGAGAAGCAAAGTGACTTTCCTAGTCATCCAGTCAGCCAGAGATGGGAACTGCACCTACATTTGTTTCACCCTGATACTCGCCTTGCCTTGTTCTAAAGGTAAGACAGTTAAGTCTTACCTTACCTAATAAACTGAGTAACATTAACACTGACAAACACTGGGAATAAAGAAAGAACATACCTGTAATTATGGGAAATTTTAAACACATCCTATTTCATGACTGACAAATCCACTAAAATTAAATAAACTCAAGAGAATTAATAAGTAGAATAAAGGTAGTAAACCAGGCCTGGCACACAGGAAACATTCTGGCTTTAACTGCTAATTGGATCCAAATGCTAGTTCTTTACAAAAACATAAATAAATATATGTAGGGAAAGGTTTTCAAGAAAGCACAAAAAGTTGGAAATGAGAATGAGGAGATATGAGTAATTTAAATTGCAAATTATTTGTAAAACAAAACTGAAAATCAATGAAATGAACATAACTACTAAAGTACCAAAACTGACAATAAATAAATACACTTGGAGTTTGTTGTCTAATTTTGGATTTTGTTCCCTTTTATATTTTCTCATCAATTTTACTATGAACATTCAGCAAATCTCTTTATTCTTTATCCTCAACTTTTAAAAAAAACCAATCTTATTTCAAGATCATGATTCCCTAGAATCACCCCGATTGAAATCATACTTACAAAAAATAAAAAAAAGGTTGAAATCTGAGTCAGAAGTAGTAGATGAATAATTTAAACACCAACAGGTCTATCTCGAATGCCAAACAAAAATGCTAAATTATGTAACAATCAGAGAATTAGACCAAAGAATGGGCCCTTTTCTGTTCCCTGGTGGTGAGGGAAGAAAATATCAAGTAGCTAGCAACACCAACTAGGAATTAGTTATGAATAACTTCAAAGGGTATTTGGTGCCATCTACTGGAAATCAAGCAGGAAATATAAAACAGGTTCTGTTTTGTTTTACTAGAAATTAAACAAACCTATGTACAATGACCAGTTAAATAATCTGAAAAGTAAGGGTTTTGGAAAAAGAACTGAAAATCCTGAAGTACAAGTGGTGATGTCAGTATCTCAAAGCCATTACATAAATATTGACTGAGAGGCACAACCCAAAAAATAAAAATCGGGAAATTCAAAATGTTTGTATCTTAACTTTATTGAAATTACGTGTAATCTTATGTGCAGAAGCATAAATGTGGGCTGATAACAGTTAATATCTTCAGCAGGCTTCAAGATAAACTAATAGAGTTAGAATTGGATAATAAAAACTTTTGAAAATGGGGAATCACAAAGACGTATTTGTTAGGTAATCTCTACTGCATCTTTTTAGGAAGCCAAGACCCAGTTTTTCCTTTTTAAGGGGCTTAAACACAGAAGGGCACAGGATGGCATGTAATGTCAATGCTGAACAGCAGGTTCATTAAATGCTGTGTGAGTTTGGACAGAGAGACCTCCCAGTGAGTCCTTTGGAGAGGCAAGGAATACAACAATGTTGTATTATAAGTGTCTAAACAATTTCAAAACTGTTATCAAAAAACATTACTTATAACTGAGTTTAACACCACTTTACCATTATGACACTACAAATTATTTTGTTTTATATGCTTTTGAGGAACTGATTTTGTTCTTTGAGGTATAAAATTTAGGACTAGAATTTTCTGCTTCAATAACAAATCCCTTCTTTGTGGCTATTCTGGGACACTCGAACATCACACTATTAAGTTTAGAAAACCTTCTAAACTACTGTTTTGAAGGGCCCTTTTAATTGCTAATTACTGTTAATTACTCCACAAGTTTTGTGATTAAACAAATGGTGGTATGTACATTACACAAAACACTATGTAGAAATTAAAAAAAGGGAGTTATATATACTGGCATGGAAAGATCACCAAGGTGATGTTGAGTAAATAAAACTGAAAAATGATCCCTACAGCATATTACCTATTTCAAAATCAGCACAAATTATGTATTTTCCTCATTTCCACCTCTAATTATGTTATAGACATATGTATATAGACATAAGTATGGAAACACATATACTGCAGAGGAGTTAGTGGAGAAAAGGCATTAGGACTAGGACTGTAGGTACTATTCAAAAGGGATTTACCTTTGTCATATGTTTTAAAATTTTGCAGGAAAAATGTGTCCATTTAGTACTTTGGTAACTAAAGGTTAACATAAAAATCAGATTAGTAGTTAAGTGAATAAACTTACTGACAAATGAACAGATATTTGAGCGCTCTACTCTGTTGTCAGACATTGTGGTCTGGGGCTACAGCAGCAAAAAATGAGAGAAGCTTCACTAATCAGAGCTCGATACCTCATGGAGAAACCAGACAATAACAAATGAATAGAGTATGTTGGGCAGTGGTAAGCTATAAGGAAAAGGCAACTTTACAGAGGAAGTAGAGAAACTGCAACCCTCATACATTGCTGGTGGGAATGTTAAAATGGTGCAGTTACTTTGGAAAATAGTTTGATAGTTTCTCAAAAGTTAAATATGGAGTTACTATATGAACTTAGTTACCAGTAATTTCACTCTTTGGTATACACCCAAAATAATATTTAGAAAATTTTAGAGTAAGACAAAACACATGTTCAACAAAAACTTGCATACAAATATCTATGGCAGCATTATAATAGCCAGAAACACATCACTGCGTATCAGAAACATGCTAAGTCAAAGAAGCCAAACCCCAAAGGCCACGTATTTTATTCCATTTATAAGAAATGACCATGTATGTGAAAATGTCCAGAATAGGTACATCTTTAGACAGAGAAAGTACATTAGTGATTTCTGGGGTGAGGCTGGAGACAGGTGGGGAAGGATAAGAAGTGATTGTTAATGGGCATGGGATTTCTTCTAGGGATGATGAAAATGTTTTGGAATTAGTAGTGATGGATATATTACTCTGAACATACTAAAAACTACTGAAATTATTTTTTCAAAGTGTGAATTTTACAGTGTATGAATTTTATCTAAATTTTCTAAATGTTAAAAAAAAGCAGGGTAAAGAGAGAGAGAGATGGTTGCTATTTTAGATAGGATGGTCAGGAAGGATCTTATTTTGAGTAGTTTTCTGAACAACATAAAGAAGCTACCCATGCGAATCTGGGAGGTGAGGGGAGAGGAGGAGCAACATTCCAGGAAAAGCAAGTTGGAAAACCTCTTAAAGTAGATGCAAGCCTGTTCTCAAAGAACAGCAAGGACAGCCGCATGGCTGAGTGTAGTAGCAACAAGGGGATAAGGCTGCAGGGAGCTCCAGGGTCTAGACTGTGCAAGCTGTAGGCCACTGTAAGGAATGGACTCTATTCTAAATGACAGCCAATCACTGCAGCCAGGAGCAATGTGACCTGATACACATTTTAAAAGGTTCACTTCTGCTGCTGGGTAGAGAATAAATTGAGGCAGCAAGAGAAAGGAGAACTATTAAGAGGCTACTGCAGTAGTACAGACACGACAGCTGCCTTCCATTAGTAGGTGGCACAGATGGTCAGCATGTCATGATGTACTTTAAATATCTTACAATTTTTTTATGTCAATTATACCTCAATAAATCTGCAGGAAAAAAAGTGGTTGAATTCAAAACATACTCTGAGGTTAGAGACAAAAAATTTTGCTAATGAAACAGAGAAGACAAGATTTTGGCCTGCAGAGAGGAGTGAATGGAGGAGGTATTTACTGAGATGGGGAAGCCCAGAGAAGATTAGGCAGGAAAATTATAGTTCAGTTAATCTCAAATTTGAGGTGCCTAATTAGCTAGGTGCATATATACAAGGCTGGAATTCAGTATAGAGTTAGGCTGTTAGTATAAATTTGAGAACTATGGCAGATACTTGAAGTGATTCAGATGGATGAAGTGATCCAGCAGAGACTGGAGAATTCATGGACTGAGCCCTGGAAATCATTTAAATACTTAAATGTGGCACAATTTAAATCCTCTCAGAGTCAGTGGCCTGTCAGAGTAAGACAAAGATGTCCCATTTTTTAATTTTTACAGAACTGGATAATCTGATGGATAAAATTTCCTTCAAATTAAGAATTCCCTTAAGAAAGAACACAGGAGGGCCTCCCCGGTGGCACAGCAGTTGAGCGCTGGGCTGCAAAGCTGTCCACAGCCTCTGTAGCGCCGGTTCAATCCCCGGCCGGCCGGTGAGGTCCCACATGGCGTGCAGACCTCTCCTGCCACCCGCTGCTCCCCTCAGTAGTGTATTTCATCAGTCTGCCTGTTCTGTTCCCCACTCTGGCTCTGGTGAATTCTCTCACCCTCCCATGCTTCTGACTGTACCCAGTGCTTGTATAAATAAATAAATCTTAAAAAAAAAGAAAGAACACAGGAGCCTCCCTGGTGGCGCTAGGGATTGAGACACAACCTATGAGGTTATCCGCAGCCACAGTAGCATGAGTTCGATCCCCAGCGCAGACCTCTCTTGCCACATAGCGCAGACCTCTCTTGCCTGCTGCTCCCCTCAGCAGTGTATTTCAGTTAGTCTGCCTGTTCTGTTCCCCACTCTGTCTCTGGTGAATACTCTCACCCCCCACACCTCTGGCCTGTACCCCAGTTCTTGTATGCATAAATAATCTTTTTTTAAAAAAAAAAGGTTCTCCCTGGTGGCACAGCAGTTGAGCACTGGGCTGCGAAGCTGCCTGCAGCCTCTGCAGCGCCGGTTCGATCCCTGGCCAAAGGCGAGGGTCCCACATGGCACGCAGACCTCTCCTGCCGCACCCGCTGCTCCCCTCAGCAGTGTATTTCATCAGTCTGTCTGTTCTGCAACCCGCTCTGGCTCTGGTGAATTCTCTCTCACCCTCCCATGCTTCTGACTGTACCCAGTGCTTGTATAAATAAGTAAATAAATCTTTAAAAAAAAAAAAAAAAAAAGAACACAGGTGTCCTATCAATAGATTTTCTTTTCTTTTTTTTTTTTTAAAGATTTATTTATTTATGCATACAAGAACTGGGGCACAGGCCAGAGGTGCGGTGAGAGAATTCACCAGAGACATAGTAGGGAACAGAACAGGCAGATTGATTGAAAAAACACTGCTGAGGGGAGCAGTGGGTGAGACAGGAGATTGTTTGCTGCACCATATGAGTTAGCTCCCTGGCAGTGGCTGCGGATAGCTTCACAGTGCTGTGACTTAACCCCTTGCGCCAACAGGGAGGCCTGATCTCTGGATTTTCAAGGATACTCTCTTGGTTTTCTCTGGTATTCGTTCAAGGAGAGCAAGCCTGCTGATTTACCAGGTATTCTCAGATTTTTTTTCCCCAAAAAATCTGCTGCCTTGAGGATCAGTCTCTACTACCACCACACTAAAATGGCTATAAAAAAAAACCTATAATTTGGTTTTTAGTTTATTTTATCTCAGAAGTTTTAGCTTTCCTATTAAAATAAAAATCGAGTCTGTTTTCCTTAGGTGTACACAAATGTGGTCAGAAATTTTTCTTGTATTGGATAATTTATAGAAATGGCAAATTATGGTTACATGATGGGTGGGTGTATGGGAATCTATTTAGTTCAGCTGACAAAAAGTCAAAGCTTGGGGCAGTGACACATGTGCAGTGAGTACTACAAGCTGTACAACTGATGCAGCATATTCAAATATTTAAGCACTGAAGGTAGTAGGTAGGATAAATACCAGTAATTTCTGCCCTTCTGGCATGAACAGCCTAAACTTTCTCATCTGGAAAATGGAGATACCAGTACATGCTTTACCTAAGGATCAAGTGAACTAAGGTACACTGTACACTGTCTTATGCAATGCTGTCATACTACTATCTTCTTTATAGGGAACTAACTTGACAGGAAAGCTTTTAAAGAACTAGAACAAGTAGTCAAATTTCAGATTCAAAAAAGATTTAAAAATCCAACTAAAGACACCCATAAAATGATGCATGCACAAGGACAGTGATTGAAGAATTTTAAAAACTTGAATATCACATATGGAATCACCAAAAACCCCGAATAGCCAAAGCTCTCCTGAAAAAAAAAAGAAGGGAATGCAGGCATCACACTCCCAGACTTCAAACTATACTACAAAGCCAAAATCATCAAAACTGCATAGAATTGGAACAAGAACAGACACACAGACCAATGGAATCGAATAGAAAATCCAGAAATAAACCCACAGATTTACGGTCAACTAATCTTTGACAAAGGAGCAAAGAATATGCATTGGAGCAAAGAAAGTTTGTTCAATAAATGGTGCTGGGAAAACTGGGTCACTACATGCAAAAGAATGAAGCTTGACTACTACCTCACACCATGCACAAAAACCAACTCAAAATGGATTAAAGAACTAGAAATAAGACCTGAAACCATAAAATACATAGAAGGAAATATAGGCGAAACACTAAATGACATGCACATCAAAGACATCTTTACATACACATCACCCAAAGCAGTGATAGTGAAGGCAAAGATCAACAGCTGGGACTACATCAAATTAAAGAGCTTCTGCACAGCAAAAGAGACAATAACAAAAACAAAGAGAAACCCCACCAACTGGGAGAACTTTTTTGCACACAACACTAATGGATAAAGGACTGATCACAAAAATCTGCAAAGAGCTGATGAGACTCAACAAGAACAAAGAAAATAATCCTGTCAAAAAATGGGCAGAAGAGCTAAAAAGAAACTTCTCTGAAGAGGAAATGCAAATGGCCAACAGGCATATGAAAAAATGTTCAACATCACTTGTCATCAGGGAAATGCAAATCAAAACTACCATGAGATACCATCTTACACCAGTGAGAATGGCACATATTAAAAAAACTAGCAACAACAAATGTTGGCGAGGTTGTGGAGAAAAAGGAACTCTCCTGCACAGCTGGTGGGAGTGCAAACTGGTCTAACCACTATGGAGAGCTGTGTGGAGATTTCTGGACCTACTAAACATAGAGCTTCCATATGATCCAGCAATTCCACTCCTAGGTATTTACCCAAAGAACACAGAAACATAATTCCAAAGGGCACCTGCCCTTTGTTTATAGCAGCACTGTTTACAATAGCTAAGCTTTGGAAACAACCCAAATGCCCAAAAATAGATGACTGGATCAAGAAGATGTGGTACATATACAGCATGGAATATTACTCAGCATTCAAAAAAGATAAACACATGCAATTTGCAGCACCATGGATGGAGCTGGACGGGATCATGCTCAGTGAAATAAGCCAGAAAGAAAAAGAAAAATACCGGATGGTCTCACTCATAGCAGGAATCTAGAAAACTTAAATAAGGGACCAGGAAAAAGAATAACTATAAGAAAGAAAATATCAAAATCAACAACTATGAACCAGACACACTCTATGGGGGGTGTGGGGTGGGGAAAGGAGGGCTTGGGGTCAAAATAAGGGGGTTGTAATTGTACGGGGAATATAAAAATAAAATTTAAACTAAAAAAAAAAATAAAAAAACAGGGCTTGATTAAAATTAAAAAAAAACAAAAAAAAAAACAAAACTTGAATATCAATGGGGAATTAGTTAAAATTACAGTCTTACAAAGGATTATAATTTGCTGCCCTAAAAAAATGAGGCAATATTACATGAAGTGATAAGAAACTATCTCAAGATATACTAGTAAAAAAAAGATATACTAGTAAAAAAAGGCTAGGTGCAAGATAGTGCGGAATTTGCTTATATCTGAATAATAAAGTAAGATACAACATCTATATTATGTTTATGTGTATATGGGATTATCTCTAAAAAGATATACAATGAACTCATCACTCACCCTCTGTGCTATATGAATTATATTTCATGTATCTATATTATTTACTGACAAAAACCTAAAATTTAATATCTAACCATAAAGACTCAAGTATCAGTGAAATACTAAAAAGGATAGGTAAAGGTTATTATCTTCAATTTAAAAAGAGCTTCCTTCAATAAGATAAAGAAAAGCTTGCCAAAAAATGAATCCAAGATTTGGAATTAGCATTTCATAGAAGAAATAGATATGGCTAACACATTTTAAAAATGTTCATCCTCCTTAGAAATTAAATTAAAATTAAATAACACAATTTTACCTATCAGGTTGGAAACTTAAAATTATATATCCAGTATTAGTGTGCATATATGAAATGGTGAGAGCTGGCTGTTACTTTCTTGTCATATTTTTATCTAAAAGCTTAAATCATGAACGCACACCCTTTTATCTCACCCAGAAATGCTAAATCTAAGTGCTGAACCTGAGAAAATAAGGCAACAAGTACAAAAATATATATGTAACAAGGATACTACACCATTTTAATTATAATAGCAAGACATGGGAGAAAAGCCAACATTTACCAATAAAGGATTAGTTAATAAATTATGGTATAACCAAGTAGCTACTAAAAGCTAAGTTTTCAAAGAATAGGTGAGGGTATTTAAAAAATGTTCATAGTATACGGGACAAAAAGGATAGTAAAAAAGAACAGCTTAAACATTCTAATCTCATGAGTGGAGGTGAGAAATATGCACCCATAGGAGCCTGGAAAGACATACACCAAAATATTAACATTAATTCTTATTGGGGGATAAACTGTAAGTGATATTTTGGCTTTTCTTTTTACTTTTTGGTTTCTTCCAAGATTTTTGCTTTGTTTTTCCTAATAAGCATGTATTACTTTTAAACTGGGGAGAAACCAATCAATAGTATTTTGGGGGAAAACCTACAAAAGGTACAAAAATGTAATTATAATTTTTCATTCTTTTAATTTTTAAACTACCAAGAATCATGATATCTAACTCTATATGTTAAAAAAGAAAATTGCAGGGAGATTCTTTTACCTAACAATAAAAATATTTGTCAAATTCAAAAGGGTAAGACATAACTGCTTTATTTGAGAAACTTACATCCAAATTATTTTTATGTGTTTTTAAAGGTCCTAGTGAGCATCCAAGAAGAAAACATATACAGCTTCCACAGGAATAAGGACAAAACAATGGGGTTGATGACTGCCCCAAATGTTATTTCCTAAAAGAAAGAAATGTAATATTTAACCTTTCCTCTTTGGGGGCAAGGTAAGTGAACTGCATACATCATAAATAAAATTTTCTTACTTTACAAGGAGGAAGGACTGTGATCCTGATTTTGATGCCTAACACCAGAAAAGATAAAATCCATTCTTCTGAACAAGATGAAGGGGAAAAAAATCATTCTTCAACATTTCTATTCTCATGCAATGAAATCCAAAGGTCTGTTGAATCCGCCTTTTCGATTCATGTACTGCCTACAATGAGAAAATCCATTGTTTATTTAAAAAATTCTGGGCTCCTTTTAAGAAAATAATCCTATACTTCAGAGATTAAACCTATAGTTCACCTTTAAAATGCCAAAGTTGGCCTCCCTGGTGGCATAGGGGTTAAAGACAGCACTATCAAACTATCACCAGCCGCTGCAGCATGAGTTCGATCCCCAGCTGGCCAGGGAGCAATCCGCATGGCAAACAGACCTCTTATGCCTTGCCCGTTGATCCCCTCAGCAGTGTATTTCAGTAGATCTGCCTGTTCTGCTCCCCACTCTCTCTGGTGAATCCTCTTAACTCCCCGCACCCAGTACTTGCATGCATACATAAATAAATCTTTGGGGGAAAAAAAAAAAGGCCAAAGTCTAGTATAAGTATGCAAGGTTATTTAATTCATGTTAAGAGGAGATCATTTCACTTTCAAAATAGCCACACCCTTCAGATTCTTTAAAATTCAAATAGGAGTATGAAATATACTTTTAAAATTACTTGGGAAGATTCTACCATTTAAAAAAACCACCTCATTGAAAATCCTTATTTATTTGGGCCTCCCCTGGTGGCGCAAGGGGTTAAGACACAGCCTATGAAGCTATCCGCAGCCACTGCAGCACAAGTTTGATCCCCAGGGAGCTACCCACATGGCACAGCAGACCTCTCCTGTCTCGCCCGCTGCCCCCTTCAGCAGTGTATTTCAGTACATCTGCCTGTTCTGCTCCCCACTGTCTCTGACGAATCCTCTCACCCCTGCCTCCCCCCACACCTCTGGCCTGTACCCCAGTTCTTGTATGCATAAATAAATAAATCTTTGAAAAAAAAAAAAAAAGAAGAAAATCCTTATTTATTTTAGGTAATACGCATATAGTTTAAGCAAATAGAAAAGTTCCCAAAAAGTACCATACGAAGTAAACTTGACTGCATATTGTACTAGTTCTCCCCATAAGACGTTATCGGAAGGTAACTTTACAAAGGACTGCCAATGATGATTCTGGACCCTTAGTATCATAGCATTCTCAAATCATATTATCCATATCCTAAATTAACTGGAATACTAGCCTTGTATCAGGATTAAAGGTAAAGACACAGGCAATGCTGAAAGATGGCTTGACTTTTCCATTCATTACAACTCAATAATATTTCAAGAAGTATTGGTTTGTTCTGTGGTATTAATAAAATAGGACTATATTTAACAGAAGAATATATTTACCGTTGAAATCTAGTAATTCAGGAGGGATCTATTTTAAACCTATAACTATAATGAAATTAAAGTCTACAGACTAGAATATGCTATTTTGAAGACAAAACTAAATCCTGCCCTAAAACATTTAAGCCATCTATCCTTTTCTATGATAGTTATTAGCTAACAGGTAAACTGGAAATTAACAGAAGAATATAAGAAAGATTAAAACAAGAGACTGTATTGAACTACTACATTTCCTAAAAATATGATTATTCCATAATAAATCCTTTCCAACGTATGTCATTTGTCATTAGTTGAAACATAATAATGAGGCCCTCCCTAATGGGTTAGGGGTTAGTTTCAGTGCTATCACCGCCTTGACCTGAGTTCAATCCCTTGCCAGGCAACAGACCTCTCCAGTCTTGCCCACTGCTCCCCTTACCAGTGCATTTCAGTAAATCCATCTGTTCTGCTCCCAACTCTGTCTCTGGTCAATCCTCTCACCCCCAAGCACCTCTGGCCTATACACCAGTTCTACACAGAAATAAATAAATCTTAAAAAAAAAAAAACAAACCAATAATGAAGGCTATGCATACCTGTATTTCCTCTTCTGAGATACATTTATGGCATAGGCATTTACAGAGCCATCCACTTTTTTCCCCTGGAGAAAAGCAATAAACAAATAGAAGAAACAAGGAAGATACATTAAATGCCTCAATTAAATAACTATCAATAGATCCTATAGACAAACTTAAATAGCAAGATCCATTTAAAAACAAGGCAGCCCAAGGAGAGAAAAAGAATTCTCAAATCCTGCTGAACTCCATGACTTCTAAATATTACAACACTCTGTTTACATTTCTATAGTCACACATAAGCAATTATCACAATATTGAGGCCAATATATATTCATGGTATATGTATTAGGTACAAGGCAGGCAGGGAAAGGATACCAGATCCTAACATTTTGGTCAAAGAATTCTTTGAAAACAAATACAAGTTATGAATTTCTCTAGAAAAATTCACATTCACGCAAAATTTAACTTCTGAACTAAGCTTAAATCACATCTCCAACAGTCACTATTCAGCTAGATCCCATTTCTTGTACATGCCTTGAAATTTTGATTTTTAAATCAAGAATCAGGATACAGTATAACAAACTAATACGAAGTGTCACTTATACCTCAGTCTTTCGTTTGTGGCATCTATCCTTTTTCATTAACTCCTTAATAGGTTTTTTTTTAATTCAGCCATGTTAATACTCATAAATAAAAATTTATTGTGCCTTCATGCTGTTCCTCAAACCTGAATTACCTTCCTCCTAATCTCCAATTCCCATCCAATCTTCAATTATCTGCCTTTAATTAATCATTTAAGACCAATTCAAATGATCCAGTTGCCAGGAATCCTCTTCTCTAATTCTAATTGATGGAAGGAATACAGCTGTGAGTTACCTTTGCATTCTTACATCCTAGGCCACTTGAATATATGAACATCACTGCTTAATGTTGCCAAAACACACACAACACACACACACAACTCCCAATCACTTGTCTCCCATTACTACTCATGAGATGTGCCCTGTTTAAGCATATTTATTTTTTAAATATCTGTTAGGGCAAAACAAAGATTCTGATTCATTGGTCTAAAGGTGGCACAGGTGAGGCACATTAATTGAAGTGAGTCTACAATAAACACATGTGGTCTTACTTATCTATAGATTTTCACTACATTTTGAGGGAGGGGGAAATACTAAGTAAATTACTTGAGGTATATGATTTTGACCATCCAAGAATAGGAGGTGGGTATGACTTGGGGAAAAGTAAATGATACTAACCTTTCTACTAAGTTCAAATACTAAAGGCTCACTGATTTTTTTTTTTAAAGATTTATTTATTTATAGAAAAGCTGGGGTACAGGCCAGAGGCGCGGGAGGGTGAGAGGATTCACCAGAGACAGAGCGGGGAGCAGAACAGGCAGATGGACCAAAGGCACTGCTGAGGGGAGCAGCAGGAGAGACAAGAGAGGTCTGCCACACCATGTGGGACTCTCCCTGGCCTGCCGGAAATCGAACCAGCGCAGCAGAGGCTGTGGACAGCTTCACAGCATGGTGCTCTACCAGCTGTGCCATCAGGGAGGCCCCAAGGCTCACTGACTTATTAGCCCTATTCTCATGTATATGCTAGAATAGAAAGATACCTTGAAACTTTCCAGAATTTTTAAATGGAAGGTAAAGTAAGTGACCACACTGGCATATGAAAAAGTCCCACTACAGACGAATGATGAAATGTCTTAAAACAGACATCCCTGAAAATTACAAAGTGCTGAGACTTTATTAAGTGCCATGAACTGTACACAAACTAAATTTACATTCCTGTAAATGTCATAAAATAAACAACTGACATCATGTGTCCTTATAGTAGTCCATAATTTTTATGGGATCTATGCACGCTCATCTAATTTTTCCTTTATAAACAAACATCTTCAGCACAGATTCGACCTAAAAGTACAGTATGGCTCCATCTTTACATCAAATTCTCAGAGATTTCAAACAGAACATTAGGCAGTAGTAAAAGCAAAAAATAATTCTGGTAAGTTCCCTCCCTATTTTTCTAAAAACGTCATTGCTTTAATTTGGAAATGTTTTTATTTACACACCATACTTATCAATAAATAATTTCATCTACAGTCTTTGGGAAAACAAATAATAACTTGGTATATTTAAGAGAAAAAAGCTGATACCTAAGTTAAAATAAATTCCAAAATGGGGTTTACAAAATCATTTGTGAGAACAAAAGGTCACTCTTAACTCAAATAGTTGTGCCTTCTCTGGTACTTTTTTTTTTTTTTTAAAGAACAGTTTTTTTTTTTTTTAAAGATTTATTTATACATGCACTGGGTACAGTCAAAAGCGTGGGAGGGTGAGAGAATTCACCAGAGCCAGAGCAGGGAGCCGAACAGACAGATTGACGAAATACACTGCTGAGGGGAGCAGTGGGCACAGCAGGAGAGGTCTGCGCGCCATGTGGGACCCTCGCCAGTGGCTGGGGATCAAACCGAACTGGCGCTGCAGAGGCTGCGGGCAGCTTCGCAGCCCAGCGCTCAACCGCTGCGCCACTGAGGAGGCCCTTCTCTGATACTCTTACTAGGTTATACACTGTCATTTAAAAAAAGAAAAATCACATGATGAAAATCACATGATGAAATAAGCCAGAAAGAAAAAGAAAAATATCGGATAGTTTCACTTATAACAGGAATATAGGGGAACCAAATAAGACATCAGTATAAAAATAAAATAAATAAAAGTACAAAACACAACAAAGCAAAAACAGACAATTATAAATCAGAGACATACTGCAGGGGGTGAGGAGGGAGAGGGATCAGAGGAAGGGAGGGAGGAGCACAGAGAACTGTGGTGATGGTGCACAGGTGCCATGGGGAAGGAAATTCTATGGGGACTCATTCTGATGGGGTGGGGGGAAGCAAATATTGTTTTTTTAAAAAAAAAATCAGATGAGTTTGGCACTATCAAACTCAGTTAAAAAGAAACTCCTAGAGCACCTGCAATTACCCTTCTCCATTAACAACTCAGTGGGGCACAAGATTAGAGGACGTGGATTATTTTTGAGTTTTTCTTAAAAATCTAAATTTCTGGGCATCTCTGGTGGCGCAAGGGGTTAAGTGTCAGCACTATGAAGCTATCCACAGCCACTGCAGCATGAGTATGAGTCTGATCCCCAGCCAGGGAGATAACCCACATGGTGTAGCAGACCTCTCCTGTCTTGCCCTCTCAAGCAGTGTATTTCAGTCAATATGCCTGTTCTGCTCCCCACTCTGTAACCAGTGAATCCTCTCACCCTCTTGCACCTCTGGCCTACACCCCAGCTCTTGATTGCATAAATAAATAAATCTTTAAAAAAAAAAAAATCTCTCAATTTCCATTTGTAAAGCTAAATGCACTTAAAATCTTCTAAAGGCTTTAAAAGTATTTCCTCTTTCCTAGTACCTTTACTAGTTTTCTCTCTCCATCCCCTCTTCCTTTCCCCTCTCTCCAATTCATCTCTATCTGCACCTTCCTGTTTCTGTCTACTCTCTCTCCCACAGTCCTCTCTTCATCTCCCTACTCCACAATTCCTCTCTTTTTTTCCCTTTCCTACGCCTATTCTCGATGGTATTATGATGTAGACAGCATTTGCTCTCCAATCCACTCCTCTTTTGAGTTATGAGATTTGCATTCAGCTATACTAATATCATCTTCATTTGGCAGCCAAATTTTGTTCTTTGGTGTCATAGCACTTCCCCTCTCTATAACCCTTTATGGGTTAACCCCATCACCCAGTCTTTCAGCCTGACTATTCACTTCCAACTTCTACAACTACTAACTTTAGCTCTGGAGGGGTTCTCAATGATGCAGTCCTTCCTCTCAATTCAGCTCTTCATCATCTTTTACGTTCACATTTCAGCAGTTTTGTCTCCAATCTAACTCTCCTCACCTGGTCATTTTTCTAAAACATGTACACAATCCTGTTATTGCCTTGCTTAAAAATCATTGTTTCCTCTTAACTTAAATAACCAACTCTAAATTCCTTACCATAGGTAAGGGCACCAAAAGTCCTCTACAATTTGCTCCCGACCTATTTTTCTAGCCTTATTCTTAGTCACCAGTCCATTTACCAGCCTTTTACCAATCACTGAATGTGAAATCCCCACAATACACTATATTCCTTTATGCCTACACAGCATTTCATTGTCTTCTATTAGTCTTTTAAGATCTAACTTAAAAATGTCATCCAGGCAAACACACCCTGAATTCCAATGGCAAGTCACTGCCTCCTTCTCCCTCTCAATGCATCGATAGTTATTATAACAAACTTGTATCAGTGGAAAAATTTACAATTAATAGCAAAAGAATATGTAAAAATGGGACAGTCATTAATGGTTAATTAAAATCAGAATGCCTAACTGACTATTTTACTTACTTTTGTGGAGTCAAAGGAGGCAAATCCCATTAACTTCATCATTTCTATTTCTTCCTCTGTTTTGCCCTCTAAGTCTTCCTCTGCAAAAACAAGTGACAATTTTTAAAACTCTACTGTTCTATATATGTATATAAAGGGGTGGCAATAAATTAATAGTTATTCCATCCACCCAGCAGAAAACATATAAAACAATTAGCAAAAGACTTGAATCTAATGAAAAAACAAAATTCCTTTTCAATTTGGAAATATTACTTAAGGTGTAAGGAGGAAACGTGCTCTCCATTCTCCTTTATCCGAAGACTGCTTAAAAAGGACTAGCTTGGAGACTTTGGGCAGGACCATTTTTACTATCTGACATGATATTAGCTTTGAAGGTACTTTCAAAATAGAGTATTTCATATTTTTAACTATTCTTCCTGTATTGGGAGCACCACAGATAACCAGCAACTAAGGTACAAATAAAACAAAATCTCACAACTCTATGTACTGGGGCCCTGGTGCTCAGAGGTGCTTCTGTGTCTTTTAGGACCAACCTGGTATAACAGCTCAAGCTGAAAGCTGGTGTGGAGAGGAGCAAGGTCTCCGAGGCAGCTGCAGAGCTACAACAGTACTGCACGTAGAATCCTGCAAGGATTCCAGTCAGTATTCCAGTCAGAAGCATCCCCTTCTGAAGCCTAGGTCTTATGCTTTACTTTGAAGACTGGAGGGTACACGTTCCCTGAGGAATGCTTTCAAGTGTAAAATCGTGAATCACTGGCTCCAGTCCCAAGAAAACATGCCTCTCTAGCCAAACAACTGATTTAGTTCAGATGGCTCGTGTGACTTGGTCCTAAAACCAAATTCTATAAAAACCATGAATTTCTACTTACTTAATGAGGCTAGGTGAAACAGATTTTTAAAAAATAATTGGCAGCTTTTTTTTGGTGAAGTGCATTCTACTTAAAACCTTATCACCAAACACATCTCTTTCATAAGTGAATGCACATCTTTTCATAAGTGAATCATGACTATTTCTACCACAGGAATAGTAAATGTGCTTTATTTACTGGATGTCTACACTATCGGAAGAAAAATCTTGTTTCTCAAAAAAACCTGAATTTGTATCATGACATCATTTCATATCACAACAAAATTTGTTCTTTTCTCATGAATTTATTTCTAAATGAAGACAAACAAGTATAACATTAGGAGAAGAATAAGCACTATTAATTAAATGATGTCAATTTTTCTAAATGAGAAATTGTTTTTAACTCTAAACAAGGGAACTTTTCTTAGCAAACTTGTTTGGAAAGATTAATGCTGTGTTTATCAGATCACTCCATCCTGTGTATGAAGCAGATTTGATCCTTTGCTTTTTTAGTTCCTCTATTTTACAGTTGTGGTACTTTAAAACAATACTTTTATTATTTCCTGTCTTTTAAAAAATGTTTAAAATGTGACCTACAGAATACTGCAAGTGATTAAAAACAAAGTAATGTGACTACTGCAATCTAAATGCATTCTTAATTTTTTTTTTTTTTTTGTGGGACCCTCGCCGGTGGCTGGGGATCAAACTGGCACTGCAGAGGCTGCAGGAAGCCTCACAACCCAGCGCTCAACCGCTGCGCCACCAGGAGAGGCCCAATGAGAAATTGTTTTTAACTTTAAACATGGGAACTTTTCTTAGCAAACTTGTTTGGAAAGATTAATGTTGTGTTTATCAGATCACTCCAGAGAGAGGGGTCAAAACAGGAGGTAAGACCACAAGAGACTATGGTGATGGTTTCATGATGTGGTGGTGGGAATTTTATAGGAATTATACCTGAGAGGAGAAAATGAAACACTGTACAACAATGAGTAACAATGTAAAATAAATATACTAAAACAAACAAACAAACAAACAAAAAACAAAGTTGGAAGGGAACTCTGGAGATGTTCTAGCTCAGTTCAGTTTCCACACGAAGAAGTGCTCTGCCTAGGATCTATCTTGTTAGAAGTGCCACAAATAGAACCCAGGCCTCATAATTCACAGTTGAATTCTATCTGCACAATTTTACAGGACTAAAACATTTTCAAGCAGAGTAGTAATATTTGTCTCTTGAATGAATCATTTAACGTCTCTGAAACTTAGAATCCTGTTTACAATGAAAAGACAGACCCAAATAAATGCTTTTTGTTTTTATAAAAAAATAAATAAAATTTCTGCTTAATTCATCTTTTTCTATGACAGCAAAAAACCTCCAAAAACAACAACAAAAACCCTGTATGCAACAAATACTATAAGAAACAATATTTAAATGTTGAAAACATATACTTTTGTAATTTTATCATAATTGAAATTGTCTAAAGAAGGTTGTACTTTTCCTATGGTTATTTATATAATTAGATTACCAGTAATTTGCCGTTCTTTGTTCTTTGTTTCTTTTGTTTCTTTCTTTTCTTCCTCTCTTCTTTCTTTCAGTCGAGAAGGGGAAGGAGATGTGGATCTATGCCTTCTTGGGGATCTAATATTTAATAAGAAAAGATGTAACAAAGAGAGACAAATGGAGAGGGTGTGTGTGTAAATAAGCACAGATATACATGAGTGCCTGAAAGGTAACGCTGAACAAAAAGTCAGGCTCCAGAGAACCAAGACTCCATTCTCCAAAGTAGAGAGAAGAAGGTTCTGTCTAGGCCCTGACTGCGAACAAAAATTAAAAATACAGTTTACTGGGCCTCCCTAGTGGTGCGAGGGGTTAAGACGCAATACTACGAAGCTATCCGCAGCCACTGCAGCAAGAGTTTGATCCCTGGCCAGAGAACTACCGACATGGCACAGCAGACCTCTCCTGACTGGCCCGATGCTCCCCTTAGCAGTGTATTTCAGTACATCCACCTGTTGTTACCCACTGTCTCTGGTGAATCCTCTCATCTCCCACACCTCTGGCCTATACCCCAGTTCTTGTATGCATAAATACATATTTTTTTAAAAAAAATAGAGTTTACAACTCAATCATCAGGCTCAGTACAGTTAGGGCTAAAAAATTTGTTAGAAGGCAGAAAAAATTTAAACAGCTTCTAACAATGACAAATACAAAGTGTTAATTAGATGATAATTAACACTTACTAAGAATCAAGAATTCATTTCTAAGATTCTTTCAAGATCGCATTCTTTTTTTTTTTTTTAAGAGTCATGATTTATTTATTTATTTATTTGTTTGTTTGTTTTTGTTTATACATGCACTGGGTACAGTCAGAAGCGTGGGAGGGTAAGAGAATTCACCAGAGCCAGAGCGGGGAGCAGAGCAGGCAGAAGGACCGAAGTACACTGATGAAGGGAGCAGCGGGCGGCAGAAGAGGTCTGTGCGCCATGTGGGACCCTCCTCCGGTGGCAGGGGAGCAGCTGGGGATCGAACCGGCGCCACAGAGGCCGCACGGGCAGCTTCGCAACCCACCGGGGAGGCCCAAGATCTCACATTCTTGATTATACACTTGAATAAATCACTATCACCAAATTTAAGAAAAAATCAAAATAAAAAAAACAACAACACATTTCTTCCTTTTACCAAGCACCATGTTAAATGCTTTTCTTGTTTATCTCATTTACTCCTCAAGGCAATGCTACCGCTTAGAGTTATTAACCTTACTTTACCAATGGAAATGTTAGGCTTACAATAAGAAGGGCTTTAAGTTTCCCTCCTCTCATGAAATTGTCTCTTTTTATAAGTGATAAAAACAAAGCTAAGGGCAACAACTAGCTTCTTTTGGATCTGAAGTAAAACTACTGGTTATTTTCTGCACTTACCTGGAGCGCCTTCTGTGTGGGGATCGAGAACGGCTCCTCCTTCGATCTCTCTCTCGGGATCTGGATCTTTCTCGGCGCCTGCGTTCTCTCTCCCGGGATGTAGATCGGGAACGTCTACGTTCTAATACAAAAACAAAAAATTGCAGAGCCAAAAATTACCTCAAATATCTTGAGGTTTGCCATCTAATAAAATTGAAAAGCTAGACATTTCTAGTAGTCACATTAAAGAAGTAAACAGGTGGAATTACTTTAATAGTATTTGAACCAATATAGCAAACTACTATCATTTCAACATATACCCGATACAAAAACTGCTGAGGCATATTACATTTTTGGGGGTACTAAATCAAGTCTGGTGTTTATTCTACTAAAACAGCACTTCTCAATTGAGAACAGTGTTAACTGTTCAATAGCTACAAGTGGCTCACAGTCTCAACTATCTAAAAAAAATCAAATATCACTACATCCTGAGTTCGATCTCTGGCCAGGGAGAAACCCACATATGGTGCCACAGATGTCTCCTCCTGTCTTGTTTCCTGCTCCCCTTAGCACTGTATTTTGCCAGAATTCACCTGTTCTGCTCCCCACTCTGTCTCTGGTGAATCCTCTCCCCCCCCCCCCCAACACCTCTGGCCTACATCCCAGTTCTTCTGCGCAAAAAAAAATATATATATATATGTAAATATATATGTATATATAAAATCTCAACGAATTGAAGTTGATTACAAATACAAACAAACAAACCCAAGCAAACAAAACCCCCAAACAACAAACCGAAGCTAACCAGGGGGCAGAACCCAGGCTCTAAGTTAAATCTCCTGCTCCAAGTCCTGGGTTTTTTACTAGCACTACCACATGGGGGATGGAGGCCAGAAGACATTACTCGTGAGCTCCCTGGTCGCAAAATTCTAAATGCCGATTTTCCTATTATAAATTGGGAAGGAAATTAACATTGAGCTTTTAAGAACCAGTGAGCGTCAGATGCTGAGTGTTATGGGCTGTGACATTTTCACATCACTTTTTAAAGGTAGTTGATATTATCCCAATTGTGTAATAACGGGAACTCGGACTCAGAAAGGCTGGATAACTTGCACACGGACACTCAGAAATTAAGTGAGGGAACTGTGGCCTGATTCTAAACCCCCCGAAACAAATATAACAAAAAGTTATCGTATGAGGCTGGCAAAGAACCGGCAAGATCCTAATTTAGGGGGCTGGGGGAAGAGGACTGAAGAGTGCGGAGACTTGGTTCCCCCATTCAGCCCCGTTTTCTTCTCATGAGAAAAAGGCCCGCCATTCCGCTGCCCTGGTACTGAAAAGTAAAAAGGGACAAGCCTCCCACCAAGCCCCAGGAGCCCCCAAATTACTTGCGAACTCACCCCTCCGTGGGGAGCGGCTGCGGCTGCGACCCATTCGGAGTCCTTCTCTAACTCACACCGCCCCGGAAACGACTTGCAACAACTTCCGGGAGAGGCGGGAGCTGAACTTGCCCCACCGACTGGAAAACGTCGAAACGAATCGCTAAGGTTCCGGCTTCGAGAGAAGGGCCGCTGCGCTGAGGCTGCCCAGAATTTTGCCGCCCCGCCGCGTGATGAGGACAGAGGTGTCTTCTCAGCTTCTCGAGCCACACTTAAAGGTGGCTTCCCCATCTTCTGTGTCCACGGTGGGCATTAAAACGTGGTATTTAATATTATAGAAATATCTGGTAAAAGTTGCATACCCAACACCCTCTCATTCTTTCACTTTTTCTTTCCAGTTTTTGCCCACAAGTATACAATATTTCATATCAAACCACCTCAAATTGTGAATTTGATAAAGAAGGTTGTTGGGGAACTGACTTTCGCTTGGCAGGTTTGCATGTGAAAGACATACTCAGAAGGGTGTCATTTGCTAGCTCTAGGAATTAGCTAACCCTGGGAGAGGCAGTCTCTGAAAGGCCTCAGATGTTAAAACATCAGAAAAGTAAAAAGGTATAATTTATACCATTATTTACGCAAATATTTATAGTATACCTATGTGCCAGAGCTTTTTAATCAGAGAAAAAGTTCAAATATTAGTAAAAAAAAAAAAAAAAAAAAAAAGCCTGCTCTAGATAGCTTGCAAATCTAGTGGGGGAAACAAACTGTGAAAGTGCATTGATAGGGGAAGTGTTACAGGGCAGGGAGAGGGGCACCCCAGACCCGGCAAGCCTGCCTGCTCTAAATAGGTTCTGCCATCTGCCGCAACAACACAAAACATATGACACTTTAATGGGAAGGAACTTTAATACAATTAGGAAATAATACAGGAAAGGCAAAGAACATAGTTTCTAAATTAAGTACTCAAAGTTACTGGTCCCTTAGTGGGTAAAAGCCCACCCAAGCAGGATTGGCCCAGAACAAGGCCCCAAAGCCTGTCACAAGTCTAAAGCATCTTCCAGTGGGGACCCACAGGAAAGAATCAGAGACAACCAGACAAGTCTGGAAGGAAAAAAGCAAAATCAAAATCAAGACAAAAACCACCATTGTCACCTCCCCATGGGTCTCTCACCCACATCTCTCAACCAGTCCACAACCAAAAAGCAAGTGTAGTTTCTTCACGTGTCTCTCAGCTCCATGTGCCTCCTCCAGGTCTCCTGGCTCTCCATTCTGCTTCCTTCCTTCCTCAGTCTCCTCTGCAGCTTCTTCTCCCTGCTCAGCTCTACCCTCCTTTTGGGTGGGGCAGGAAACCTGGAACCTCCCCCTTTCCTGGGGACCACCCTGTTACAGAAGGACAAAGGAGACTGCTAGCAACTAAGATGGATACTCAACTGGCTTGAGGAGTTGGGGGTTGGGGGTTAATAGGAGTCATGAATGAGTTTCCAGGAGGAAATGATGTCCAAACAAGATCTTTAGGATTTGGAGTAGAAATTAGCCAGGTTAAGTGGGATATGTTTGTTGTGGGGAGAGGTGTAAGATTGTTCAGGCAGAGGAGGCTGCATGTACATGTGCAAGAGGCAAGGAAATGCATAGACTAAAGTTTTAAGAATTAAGGCGGTCATTAAGGGAGCAAGGAGTGGAGATTATAATAGTCTCATAAAGTATGGGAGTTATCCTGAGGCAAACAAAAGCAATAAGGGGGCCTTTGTAGGGCTTAGGGATGAGAGAGAATTAAACGAGTTTATTCAGAGAACACTTTTGAGTAATGCGGAGACTTGACTAATGGGGTAAATAATTGGATGCTGGCACAAAAATCTGGATTGGAAATTACAGTGGCCTGTACTAGAATGATATGAGTAGGTGTAGGGTAAATGGTTTTCAGGCTTTTCTGCCCTCCCACCATTAAGATTGCCCTGACTGATGAGGCACCTGCACTTGTTACATTGCTGCAAACTATCTTATTTACTTCTGTGGGCCAAGGGAGGAGTATTGAGATAGTCACAGAGAGAAGCAGAGGCAGGAGAGAGAAGGGGAGAAAGAAGGCCTGAGAAGCCCAGAGTGAAGACTTGTTGGGGGCTTGGAGGCCTGCCAGCCTCTTGACTCCCCCCAACCCTGCCTACCGTGTACCTGTTTGCCACATTACATGTAAAGCTTAATAAAAGCCTGAGAAACCCACTGAGGGCTCCAAGACTCTCCTTTACCCGTCTGCTGGATCATAGATAACCTGCTCAGTGCCCATCCTGCCCCTACAGTAGGTAAGGTAAAAAGTGGCTGAATTTGAGAAATATAAAACTGGACAAACTTGACTTATGGATGTTGAGGATGAGGGAATTAGAAGATGCTAAAATGACATCCAGGACTCTGGCTTGAGAAACTGTATAGATGGTATCTTCATTTCCTAAGATAAGGCATCCAAGACAAATTCTAGGGAACGCAGATGTGTTCAGAGCTGAACCTGCTAATTTGAGGTGTCATTTTGAACTCGCTAGAGGAGTTGCCAACTAGATGTGTATGTGCAGCTCAGAAGAGAGATCCAGATTGGAACTATATACGAAGCAATCATCAGAAAAAAGAATATAGATGTTCATTTTAGGACGTGAGACTGCATGAAATCACCTGGTACACGCTTGGGAAAGAAAAGAGCCTTGAGACCAAAGGAGCTGCGAAAGGAGACTAAGTAAGGAATGATGAGAGAAACAGAAAGAAAACCAGGTGAGTGTTCTGTCAGGAAAGTTTAAGAGAAGACTGCCTTTTTTTTTTTTTTTTTAAACATTTTTCAATTTATTTTATTTTTTTGATTTATTTATTTACTTATACATACAAGCACTGGGTACAGTCAGAAGCGTGGGAGGGTGAGAGAATTCACCAGAGCCAGAGCGGCGAGCAGAGCAGGCGGAAGGACCGAAGTACACTGCTGAGGGGAGCAGCGGGCGGCAGGAGAGGTCTGTGCACCATGTGGGACCCTCCTCCAGTGGCCGGGGAGCAGCCGGGGATCGAACTGGCCGGTGCTGCAGAGGCCGGCGCTGCAGAGGCTGCGGGCAGCTTCGCAACCCAGTGCTCAATCGCTGCGCCACGGGGGAGGCCCGAGAAGACTGCCTTTTAAGGTTAATTTTAAATGTTAGTTAGAAGGTGTGAAAAAGAAGTCTGTTGATTAAGGAAATTTTAGTGGAGTTGCCAATGTTTTTCTAAGTGGTGAAAATTTTGAGAATTCCTTTGAGAAGTTTGGTTGATGCAGGAAGAAACATGACAGTGGTGGAGGTAATGTGTGACTGAAGATTTTTCAAAGATGGGCTAAACCAGCACATTTAAATATTGGTGTGAATGTCAATAAGAGAAAAAAAGTAAAAATACAGAAGGGTTCGGAGAAAACCAAAGGATAAGTTCCTTAAAGGGACAGCCCTGAGAACAGCCTTAGCTAGAAAAAGAAATGGCTTGTTTCCAAAAGGCTCCTTTCCCTTTAAGATCTTGGAATAGAAATTGCATTCTGATTAAGATACTTTATTTACCATCTCTCAGAATATAGTACTGTATTTGGAAGATAAATTCCCCATTTTTGATACATAGTTTGAAGTTTCCTTATTCTAAAGGCCATTTTAATGGAATCAGAGTAGGGCAGAATGGTCTACACTTGCCTATAAGCTCCCTCACCAATCAGTCACTTTTCTTTTTTTTTTAAAGATTTATTTATTTTTATACAAGACTTGGGGTGCAGGCCAGAGATACGGGGGATGAGAGCATTCACCAGAGACAGAGCAGGGAACAGAACAAGCAGACAGACCAAAGTACACTGCTGAGGGGAGCAGCGGGCGAGACAGGAGAGGTCTGTTGCCATATGGGTTTCTCCCTGGCCGCCGGGAATCGAACTCATGCTGCAGTGGCTGCGGATTGCTTCATAGGTTGCGTCTTAAGCCCTGCGCCACCAGGGAGGCCCTCAGTCACTTTTCAATTGAAAAAAAAACTTTAAAGTATGTATCTACCTTATTTAAGAACCAACATTAACCAATGATTCTCTCCAAATGTATTATCTCTAGCCTTGGCTAAATTTTGATTTATCTTTGCCAGTTCTATTTTATATAAAATTACCAGCCTTTGCAAAAATATCCAACTTTATCATTGCGTATGAATGCATTCTGTTGAGTAATTTCCCATTAACTAGTCTACTAGTTAACAGTTACTGATAATGTTTGTGGCTTTTTGCTTGTATACCCTTGTTCCTTGGAGTTACAAACCCCCTGGCTAGGGAAGGAACTGTACTATGCCTTTTGTTTTTTAATATTGTCAGATGATTGGGCACACATTGCTTGAAATTATGATTCATTTCAGATGATTGACAACTATCATTTTGCACTCATGGCACTACCTTTTCTATTCTTTATATGGGCTCATCTTTAAGGGAATTCAAGTAGAATACTGCGGGCTCATACTTTCAGTGTTAATAGTCCAATATTCTTTTTTTTTTCTAAAGATTTTTTATTTATACAAGAACTGGGATACAGGCCAAATGCACGGGAGGGTGAGAGGTTCACCAGAGACAGAGTGGGGAGCAGAACAGGCAGATAGACCGAAAACACTGCTGAGGGGCACAGCTGGTGAGACAGGAGAGGTCTGCCACACCATGTGGGTATGTCCCTGGCCGGCCAGCTGGGAATCGAACCCGCGCTGCAGAGGCTGCAAACAGCTTCATAGCGCTGCGCTCAACCTGCTGCCCCACCAGAGAGGCCCCAATAGTCCAATCTTTTTTAAAGACTTATTATTTATTTTTTAAAAAGAGTTATTTATTTATTTATACAAGCACTGAATATAGTCAGAAACGCAGGAGGGTGAGAGAATTCACCAGAGCCAGAGCGGGGAACAGAACAGGCAGACTGATGAAATACACTCCTGAGGAGAGCAGCGGGCGAGAGAGGAGAGGTCTGTTAGCCATGTGGGATCCTTGCCGGTGGCCGGGGATCGAACCAGCGCTGTGGAGGCTGCGGGCAGCTTTGCAGCCCAGCACTCAACCGCTGGGCCACCAGGGGAGGCCCAGTCCAATATTCTCGACCAACTCTGTTCTTAGAACGTTTTGCAACTGTGTAAATCATCTGTATCTGCACTGTCCAATATGGTATCCTCTAGTTATGTGTGGTTACTGTTAACTTACTTACAATGTGCTTGGTACGACTGAAGAAGTGAATTTAAAATTTAAATTTTATTAACTTAAAGAGCCATGACTCTTGGTAACCCTATTGTTGCAGTTGACATTTAATATTATGGTAATACTATGGTCATATATTATGGTAACCCCACTGAAAGACTTGAATCCCATCGAAAGACTTGAAATGCAATAAAATATTGGCTGCTAACAACTTAGTAAAAAAGCTAGTGACTACCACTGCAGTCATTTACTTCTGCCTACTTTTGCTAAGTTTCAAGCTAAATCCATTTCTTTTTTTTCTTTTTTTTTTTTTTAAAGGAATAGTATATTCATATCCCTCTTTAAGAATTTAGAGACTCGAGAACATTTTCTCGTAAGGTCCTCTTCTTTACTGATAGCTAGGCAAAAATAATTATTAAATGGGTAAATAGTCCTAGCAGCTTAAAAAAAGATTTGGCAAAGGCAAAAGTTAATAAATACAAAAACTTTCATATGTAAAAGCTTATATATTTCAGCTGAAACTATTGAATACATACCTATTAAAAACAAAGTGTGCACAGTATTTGGTAAAAAAAAACCAAAACAGCAGCATATCTTTACTATCAATGTGAAGTACTTGTTGACAGTGACCAGTTTCTCAAGTGAGAAAACAACCTAGTTGTTACTGAAGAAATACTTTTTTGTTTTAGATGTTATAAGAAATTGGGCCAGGAAAAAAACAATGGGCAAGAACCATATATATCCAATTTGGTAAATTTATGTAACTGATTAAGTAATTTACTTATTTATGTACTCAAACTTTAATTAACTTCACTCTGAAGTTTTATAAAATTTAATTATTCAAATAATTCAAGATTAGTATTTATATAGTTTTAATATATAAAGGGTAAAGAATTTCTCATGCTATAAGATTAAAACAAAAATATCCCAGAGAGATACAACTATCACCAAATATAGAAAAAAATACAGCTTTTGGATACAACCAAATTATTTTCAAAACATCTAAACTATAGTTTTTGAGGTGTAGATGGGAGGCATTTAAAAGGTTCAAGAAGAGAATGAATTGTGAAAGGCCAAAAGCAATTTATAAATCTATGGACATAGTATTGGGGAAGAAAAAATATTAATAAATTCCAAAAGTTAAATGTAATTGGAAAAAACCTTACAAGAAAGAAAAAAAATTATGATTTCAACTAAAGTTTTTTTGGTCCACTTTATATGAATTTATTTATTCTTTTTCCAAATGGGTATTTATTATTTGTACATATACATAAAAATGATTCCCATTTTGAAAAACATACTAAAATTATACATTAACCACAAAAAGTACTCACGCTACCTGGGAAGAAAATGAACATGGCTATTTTCAAAATAGCAGTAAACACAAGAAGCCAACAAATATAAATCATGAAAAATGTACACCTCATTTTTGACAAAAATAAGTTCTATTTTTACATTAATGTTTTATCATCAGCTCTATATGAGATCCTCTGTCCTTATTTACAATTACTATGAAATTTCTATAAGCATGTGTAACGCAAAGGCACTCAATTCAGAGGTTATAAAGTCCTGAGCTTAAGTGGGAAATAGGTTTCCCAACTAAAATTTGAACATAAAATAATTCTAAAGATCTGAGAATATGAAATATGAAAGTTTAAAGTGTACTATATAGTATAAAAATAACCCACAACCTCATAATAAAGTTGTACAGAATGTCGAAGAAAAAACATGTAAGGCAAAAGAATATCCTCAGAATCAAATTGATTTTCTGTTCCATTCAAGTTCATCTGAAAGTTTTGAGGCTGATTTTTTTTTTTTTTTTTTTTGCTAAAATCCTGGGAAAGCTAAATTAAAAGCAAAATAACATGAAAATGCTTATGTTTCTTATCTCAGTCTCCAAACCTAAGGCAGTTAATGATGAAAAACAAGTATAGATTGGGAAGATGTCAGAATAAGGGGAGGAATCATAAAAAGAAGTTGAAAAAGTTAAAGGACAGCTTTTAAACACATCCATTTTAAAGAATATAACTGGTCAAATTATTCCTTTAGCATTTTTTTAGCCAAATAAAAAGAATTTTACAGATGGATAACTGAGGTTCATTAACATTAGGTAGGATCAAAGTTTAAGCTAAAAATTAAATCTATAGTTGTCTGCAAAAAATGTGAAATTTTACCTACAGCAATTTTCTACTGATGCTAAAATTAAAGCGTGAGTTGACATCTTCGTAACAGAAATGGTATGACAGATATTTTCTTGGCTTTAAAATGTTGTTTCATATATGCATAGAAATATGATGAAGATAACAATAGTCTTCTGTATTATTTATACAGTTCATAAGGCCTTTGTCATTGTTAGTCACCTTAAATGTGAATATGAGTAGGGCCATTAAGTGAAAGCTGGCCAAAAGAGTTTTCAAAGTGCTATTGTTTCCAAGTGATGAGATCCTCAGTTTTCTGGATTTTCTGGATGACGATTATTTTCAGGTCTTTTTTCTGGTGATATATACAGGAAGTTACAGCAGATATACAAAGGGAAGATCAAAAGCCTGCTGTCCAAGTTCATCACTACTTGTTCCTATAAAACAGATTTATAGATTTAATGACAAGAGTAATATTAAAAAAAACTAGAACAGAAAACCAAACTGTTAAATAAAATGAAGTGAAGGAGACTATACTGAGTAAGAGCTTTAATCTGAAGTCTGAGAGTCACCACTCAAATCTCAAAATTCCCATCTATTAGCTGTGTGACCTTGAACAAGTCAGGTGCAGCTTCCTCACTATAAAATGAGGACAATAAGAGCATCTACCTAGCAGAATTACATTGTGGAATAATTGAGACAATGTACAAAGAATGGCTCAGCAAAGGCAGCTATAAAAGCAGTACTCAATAATGTAAGTTATTTTCATTATTGCAAAAATTTGTATTAAGAATCTACATATTTTATAAGTAGAAAGAGTCCAGAAATACAAGGATTTTTAATTTCTGATAGGCCTTAAGTACAGCAAGTGATAAGGCAGAAGATGGGGATTCAGCACCAACCCTAGTTCCTGCTCTAAAATTCCCCACTGTCTCTACTGTCTCCTGAATGTAAAATATCCTGTAAAATCAGTTTCAGGTTCAGTTATATCAATACACAAGAGAGTGCCTTGAAATCCCAGAGACAGGAATTGATAATACACCTGAGAACCACAAATTGAATCTTCACTTATGTTATAGATCCCCATTTGGGGCTTTTTACCAGATGCATTTGGTGAACAGGAAAAGTACTTGTAGAGTTAAAAGCAGCAGCACTGAAATAAGAACTCCTCTTTTTTGAATACTTGGAAAGCTTCTCTGCAGTAATATGCATTAGTTTTACCGTATTCTATACATCTTGAAAAATACACTATTAAACACTTTACATCCATCTAGAGTTTTAAATTTTACTGTGGCATGTTCTCCTGTGATGAAGAGGAACTAAAACTGGAACCTTTTGAGTGATTAACTTAGGCTCAGACTTCGGTACAACTAGACTCTGCCTATGTATTGGGGGAGCATCAAAATATATTTGGACAAAGGAGGTAGGGAATACAAATGTCACACACGCACAATATCTCTATATTCCTAACTTCTAACTATGGAGACCATAGGCTGTTTATTAATATAGACTGCTCTCTTTGAAATGGTGGTTTAGTTTTAATAGAAGTAAAATTCCTCAATGTTTTAATAGCTCTCATTTTATTTTCTAAAAATGGTTTACTTTCGTACCATGACATTTATACATCACTGAAACTTATAATATAAAAGAAACAAATGGCATTAGAGATAAATTTGGGAGTATTACAGATGTCTGTCATTTAATAAACCTATTGTGCTATAGTACTCAGGAGATGTGGACACATACTGGGTTATCTCTAAGGATTTTGCTATTAATGTAAAAATAAATGTACTTATGAACACAATGGGTAAAGCAATTAAGATTTGTAACTTTTTAAAGATGATATTCAGGATAAATAATTATTTCCTATTACCTGCTTTTCCCTGTCCCTCAAATAAAATTGTATTCTTTTTTTCATCTTAATTACATGTCCAGAGTGGGGTAAATTATGCAAAAGTGACTGTTACTTTCATCTTTATCTTTACAGAACTTTCACACCAATCTTTAAATTAAATGTTAGCACTTCTTAAAAATTTCAAGAGGATTCAAAAAATAAATACTATTAAAAAACAATTAACAGAAAAGTAATCTGCCATACCTGATCCTTTTCAAGTGTAAGTATTTGATAGCCAGTAGTTCTACTACATATTAATTTTCCACTGCTATCGAAAGAAGCCAAACGTAATCTAGGATTAAAAAAAATACATAAAAAACATGATTTTTAAATCACAAATTAAAATAAGTACTATCTCATTTTAATATTTTTCTTCTATATTCTTGATAAGCTTTTAATATTCTCCATCGGTTTATCAACTATACTGATTCAGTTTTATAAGCTTGTGCCAATATTATACATAATGAAGATATAAAAATAAGATATTTTTATCATTATAAAACACAAAATTTACCATTTTTATTTTCAAGTATATAATTATGTGCATTAAATATATTCACACTGTTCTGCTATTGCCATCATCAATATCTGCAGAACTGTTCTATGTGCTACAAGTGAAACTCTGTACCTGGTGCTCCCTATTTCTTCTTACCCCAGCCCATAACAACCACCACCTTATTTTCTGTCTCTATGAATCTGTCTATTCTATAGAGAGTAGAATCATAGAGTATAATGTCTTTTTGTGACTGGCTCCCTCCCCTCCCTTCTCCTTCTTTTATTTATGCATACAAGAACTGGGGTACAGGCCAGATGTGCGGGAGGGTGAGAGGATTCACCATAGATAGAGCAGGGAACAGAACATGCAGACGGACAGAAGACATTGCTGAGGGGAGCAGTGGGTGAGACAGGAGAGGTCTGCCGCACCATGTGGGTTTCTCCCCACCCAGCCGGGAATCGAACCAGTGCTGCAGAGTCTGTGGACAGCTTCACAGCACTGTGCTCAACCCGCTGCACCACCAGGGGAGGCCCGTCTTCATTTTTCTTGTATCTTTTCTCTCTCTCTCTCTCTCTCTCTCTCTTCCCTCTCTTCTTTCCCTCCTTTCTCTCTCTCCCATCCCTTTCTCCCTCCCTTCCATCCATCCATTTATTTATTTATGCATACAAGAACTGGGGTACAGAACAGAGATGTGGGGGTGGGGGTTGAGAGGATTCACCAGAGACAGAGCGGGGAGCAGAACAGGCGGATTTACTGAAATATACTGAGGGGAGCAGCGGGTGAGTCAGGAGAGGTCTGCTGCGCTATATGGGTAGCTCCCTGGCCAGGGACTTGTACTACAGTGGCTGCATCTTAAACCCTTGCACCACCAGGGAGGCCCATTACTGGCCTATTTCACTTAGCATAATGTCTTCAAGGTTCATCCATGTTGTAGCATGTGTCAGAATTTATTCCTTCTTAAGAAGAGGAATTTCTTGATCACATGGTGATTCCATTTAGTTTTTTGAGGAAATGCAATACCATTTTCCCCAAATGATGCACCATTTTACATTCCCACCAGCAATGCCCAAAGGTCCAAAATAATAAGTTAGTTTTTGTTTTTTTGTATAATAGCCACCCTAAATGGGTGTGAGGTGATATCTCACTGTGGTTTAGATTTGCATTTTCCTAATGATTAGTGACACTGACATCTACTTATTGGCCATTTGTGTTATCTTTTTTTGAGAAATGTTTAAGTCCTTTGTCCATTTTTTAATCAAGTTGTCTTTCTGGGGGACCTCCCTGGTGGCCTTTGGGTTAAGACTCAGCACTATCACTACGACCTGGGTTCGATGCCTGGCCAGAGAGCTAACCCACACGGCACAGCAGACCTCTCCTGTCTTAACCCGCTGCTCCCCTTAGCAGTGTATTTCGATAAATCAATCTGTTTTGCTCCCCTCTCTGTCTCTGGTGAATCCTCACCCCCACACCTCTGGCCTACACCCTCATTCTTCTATGCAAAAAAAAAAAAAAAAAAAAAGTCTTGTAGTTTCAGGAATTCCCTATATATTCTGGATGCTATCTCCTTATCATCTGTATGGTAGCAAATAATTTTTTCCCATTTTAAGTTATCCTTCCACTCTGCTAATATTTTGATGCATAAGAGTCTTGCTTGTGTGTTGGTCTCATATTGGAAAAATCCTTGCCATTTCCATATCCATTGTCATGAAGTTTTTAACCTAGGCTTTCTCCTCAGAGTTATAGTTTTAGCTCTTATGCTTTGATTCATTTTGAATTATTTTTTTATTTTGGTATAAGTATAAATATATGACTTTTAAATAATTTGCTCATTAAGCTGTTTTCCAATTTGTTAGTATCCTCCCCAGAAAAAGATGGCCAGCTCAACTATCAGTCAAAGTCAATAGGTCAAATCTTATAGAAAATTTAAAATAATACCAGAAATGTTTTCCTGGAAAATAGTTCACTACATATTAAACTTCTTACTTGGTACGAATAGCAGTAAGTTAACAGCTTCACACCCAGTGTCAACTTGGTCATTCATATCCTGGCCTGTTCTTTTTCTCTGACATTCCAGATTTTATGATTTTGATTATTATACATTTCATAGAAGTGGAGCCTTATCATTTCCTTGTACTTTCATATATATAACAGTCTCTTACCAAAGTTCTATTGTTTTTGGTGTAAATTATCAAGGTAAGGTTTTTTCCCCTGGAGTCAGGAAGAATGGGGTAGGGATTTCTCTACCTAAATGCAATGCTCCTTCGCGGTTGTAAACTGACAGATCCACTACATGGCTGATTCAGTGTATTGCGTTTGAAAATGATGTATCGATTGGTGTACGTTACAAGCAGGTCAAAGCCAAAGTTAAAACCTGTCCACCGCCAGCAGTACTAAGAAATACAAAAGAGAAAGACTTATTTTAGTTTATTACATTAGCAATTCAAAAGTAAAAAAGCTCAAAATACCTATTTCTTTTTCTCTGACTCATTGCAAATATTTCTCTCATGAATCCCAACTTTTCATTTGTGCTTTCCCTTGTCACTTACCACACAGAAAATATCTGTAAATATATATAAGGTTTACCATACAAATTAATATACATCAAAACCAGGAAAGCAGTGTTTATGATTATTATTCCTTAAGGTTTTTTCCTAATATCTTCTTCATGATCGGCTTCATTATCTCTCCAACTATAATTCTATCATAAGTAATATGACTTCTCACTGCAACTCTAAGTATATATAGCTTAGGAGACAGGGGATTAGGAGTCTAATGTATATAATAAGAACCCATTAATATCTACCTTACTTTAAAAATACTGTTAAAATACCTTAATTAACTGGTCAACAGATAAACAATTGAATTGTTTTAAATCCCATCATGATGTTCACAATTGGTTTAATCTATCACCTGACAGTCAATTAAAGGCTATTAGGTGACATTATGTGGTACAGGAAAGTAAAGTTAGGGTTTCAAGTGTCAGGTTGACACTCTGAATACAGCACTAGTTCACCAGTTAGTTACCTGTTGAGCACTTATTATATACCAGGCATTACTCTAGGCATTGATGAAATAGAGGTAAAGACATTTCTGCACTAGTAGAATGTATATTATGTCTGTGTGAAAGGAGAAGAGTCGAATAATATATATGAATTGGAATGCAATGGAAGAAAACACAGTAGAATGCCAGGAAAGAATGACAGGATAGAGAAGGGAAGCTAGCAACTGGGGAGTCTGCTGATTCAGAAACACAGTCAAGGAAAGTCTCTTTAAGGACATGCTAGGTGAGTCAACTAAGAAGACTAGGTAGCTATCTGGGGAGAGTATGACCTAGACAGAGAACAGCAAGTATAAAGTTCTGGAGATGAAAACATGCTGGGTATATTTTAGGAACAGCAAGAAGGGCTATGTAATTAGGACAATACCTGAGGGAGACAGATTCTGAAGAAGAGCTCAGAGAATCAGTTAGGGACCAGAAAATATAGGGTGGAATAGTCCACAGTAAGGAAGAGTTTGGATTTCTTCTAAATGTAGCAGAGGCTAGTGGAGAGTTTTAGGGAAGGAAATGACATGCTCTAACTTGCATTTTAAAAAGATGACTTTGACTGTTGTGTAAAAAATAGAATGTAGAAGAGCAAGAATAAAAATAGGGAAGGCAGTTAAGAGGTTACAACAAAAGCCCAGGCAAGTGATAATGGTGCCTTAGACTTGGGTGGTTATGGTAGACATGCTAAGACTGTATTTAGAAAGCCAGGTGTGGCAAGAAAGAAAGAAGAAACACAAAGTTTGGAGCTTATGCAATGGATGAACAGAGGGGACATTTATAGGCTCGAAAATACTTGGAAAAGAGGAAGTTTGGGGATGAAAATCAAAGAGCTTAGCTTGGACTATTACATTTGAGATGTTATCAGTACTCTAAGAAAGATGTCAAGAGAGTAGTTGCATATATGAATCTGTAGTAAAGAGTCATCAGTGTAAAGTCATAGGACTAGATGAAATCACTTAAGAGTGAGCATAGATAGAGAAGTTGTCCAAGTTCTGAACATGTAATCACACTATTATTTGTGGAGAAAGAGGAGAATTATCTAGCAAAGTGTTAGAAGCAGCAGCTAATGAAATAGGAAGAAAGCAGAGTTGCTGTCTCTGAAGTCAAATGGAGAAAATATCCAAGGAGTGAACAGATGTGTGATGTTGTCAAGTGCTTTACAAGACAAAAAACTAAAATTAAAAACTAACTCCTTGATTCGGCAATATAGAAATCACTGGAGACAAAGGAATGTTCAAGAGAGGATCAGAAAACAGGAAGTATAGACAACAAATACAGGCAACTTTTTTCAGTGAGTTTTGCTTAAAGGGAGTGCAGGGTCAGGATATGGTTTAAGATGGGTGATGCTGCAGCATGTTATTTGCCAAATGAGAATGATTCAGTAGAAAAGAAAAACTAAAGATGCAGGAGAGGGAGATAACAGCTAGTAGTGCAAAGCTTTTGAAGAGGTGAAACAGATGGAATCATCACAAGGGGAGGGAACAGACTATGATAGAAGACAACAGATGTAGGTTGATTGGTAGAACTGTTGGTAGGAGGATGTACAGATTTTCTCCCTATTGCTTTTATTTTCCCAATGAAGAGAAAAGTCAACCAGTTAAGAACAAGGTATGAGAATTATTTAAATAGTGGAACAATAAATCCACTCAAATAGTGGAATGACAAATTCAGTCAATCAGTTAAGAACAAGGTATGAGAATTACTTAAATAGTGGAACAATAAATCTACTCAAATAGTGGAATGACAAATTCACTAGAGAGATGCAAAAAGGATCATCACAAAGCACTAAGGATTTATTTGAAGCTTGTGGTTACAAACATTCAAGTGAAACCTGCTGAAGTATGTTTTTCTTTAGTCACATCTATTTGGAAGCAAGCACTGAGTAAATGGAAATTTGGGATTTAAAAAGACTGGGATTTAGTCAGATAAGTTTGACAGAGTTAAGTCAAGGACCAATTTTAAGAAGGGACGTAAAATATAAGTAAAGAAAGAAGTAGGAATGTAATGAGGTGATGGGGAGAAGGTAGTGAGAACAATGTAATGTACATCCCAGGGGGTTAAAAAATTGTTGGAATCCAGGTAGAGGTAACTGCTAGAAAGATAATAGGAGTCTGAAAATAGGATGCTTGAAATGGGAATTTCTGAAGGGAGTGTATCAGTAATGCAAGAAATTAAGGCTACGTTCACAGGAATGAGTACCTGAGGTAAAGCAGACCACAAGATCACTGGGGGAAGGAAGGTCAGGGACCGCAGACCCTGCTATCACCAAGCATGATAACAAGAGCAGTGATAAAGACAGTGAGCCAGTGAATGATGGCCACAGTGGTGGTAGTCAGTGCTATAGTCAGTGCATATGCTTCAAAAGAGTTGTGGTTCAATGATTAGGGAGGAATAATATCAGGAAGCAACAAGGAGTAGAGAGACATCTACTACTCTTTCATACTCTGAAAATTTATCACAACTATCCATAAAAACATAAAATAACTTAAAAATTAAAAATAGAATGAGGAAAAGTGTGGAGAAAAATGGTAATCTACATTAGGCTGAATATTTTTTCAAGATGAAAATTACAATTAGGATAGAATTTTTAAAAAAATAGTTCATGTCCTGGGCCTCCCTGGTGGTGCAGGGATTAAGTCTCAGTGCTATTCATCTATCGCCAGACACTGAGGCTTGAGTTCCATCCCCAGCTAGGGAGCTAATCCACATGGCGCAGCAGACCTCTCCTGTCTCGCCCGCTGATCCCCTCAGCAGTGTATTTCAGTAGTTCTGTTATAGGACAGGGAGAGGGGCAGCCCAAAAACCCCGCAAACCTGCCTATTCTAAATGGGTTCTGCCATCCGCCGCATCAACACAAAACATATGACACTTTAATGGGAAGGAACTTTAATAAAAACTAGGAAACAATACAGGTAAGGCAAAGAGTCTAGTTTCTAAATGAAGCACCCAAAGTTACCCGTCCCCTCGTGGGTAAAACTCCATCCATATGGGGTCGGCCCAGAGCAAGGCCCCAAAGCCTGCCACAAGTCTAAAGCATCTTCCAGTGGGGACCCACAGAAAAGGGTCACAAACAACCGGACAAGCCCGGAAGGAAAAGAGCAAAATCAACATCAAGATAAAAGCTGCCATGGTCACCTCCCCACGGGTCTCACCCACATCTGTGTCACCCAGTCCACGACCAAAAGACAAGCGCAGTTTCTTTACATGTCTCTAGGCTCCATGTGCCTCTTTCAGGTCTCCTGGCTCCATCCTGCTTCCTTCCTTCCTTAGTCTCTTCTCCAGCTTCTCCTCTTCCTGCTCAGCTCCACCCTCCCTTGGGTGGGGCAGGGAATCTGGAACCTCCCCCTTTCCTGGGGACCACCCTGTTACAATCCCCCCTTTTACACCCTGTTACAGTTCTGCCTGTTCTGTTCCCTACAGTTCTTGTATGCATTAAAAAAAAAAGTAGTTCATGTCCCATTGTGGGTTGTAAAATAAATTCAACTCAGACACAATCAGCTTTTTAAAAAAATCAAATAGAAATCACAATTTTTGGACACAGCAAAAGCATTATTTCATAATACTTTTTTTCCACTAAAACACATTTATATTAGGTAGTAAATGTGTTTCCAGTAAAACACATTTAAATCTTTTTAAAAAAAGATTTATTTATTTATGTATACAAGAGCTGGGGTGCTGGCCAGAGGTGCGGGGGGCAGGTGCCAGAGGAGAGGACTCACCAGAGACAGAGTAGGGAGCAGAACAGGCAGAATGACTGAAATACACTGCTGAGGGGAGCAATGGGTGAGACAGGAAAGGTCTGCTGCACCATGTGGGTCACCTTCCTGGCCGGATATTGAACTCGTGCTGCAATGGCTTTGCTTGTTTTTTATTTATTTTTTAATATTAATTTTTTTTTACATCATTGTTCACTTTTGAACAATATTTGCTTCCTCTCCCCTCAGGTGTAGTTCGCCATGGGGTTTCCTTCACCAGTGCACCTGTGCACCATCACCTCAGTCCCCTGTGCTCCTCCCTCCCTCCTCCCTTTGATCCCTGTCCCTCCTCCTGCCTCTGCAGGCTTTAGACAGCTTTATAGTGTTGATGCTTAACCCCTTGCGCCACCCGGGAGGCCCTGGAAAAAGCATTATTAATGTGGGTAGCAGAGTTTGAATGTCTTTGATTTATGGTAATTGTAAAATAGAAAAAAATCACTTTTAATACTGTGTAACAGTTCCTATATAACATCTTACTTATCTTAATTTCTTTTTTTTTTAAGAGTTTTTTTTTTAAGATTTATTTATTTATACAAGAACTGGGATACAGTCAGAGGCACAGGAAGGTGAGAGAATTCATCAGAGACAGAGTGGGGAGTATAACAGGCAGACGGACCAAAGACACTGCTGAGGGGAGCAGCGGGCGAGGCAGGAGAGGTCGGCTGCGCCATGTGGGTTTCTCCCTGGCAGGCTGGGAATCAAACCTGCACTGCAGAGGCTGCAGACAGCCTCACAGTGCTGCGCTCAACCCTCTGCGCCACCAGGGATGCCCACTTATCTTAATTTCTGAGGAATCCTCTTCTCTATTTCTTATCTGGATCCACAAAGTTATCATGTAAGGCCAAATAATTAATTATTACTACCATGTATCAGGAACCTGGTCCAGGAGGTAATGCAAGAGAAACTGTACTAAAAAAGCTCTTCTGAGCTATGACAGCTGTCATCTTTGTTACTTAACATGTATCTTGCCTTAATAGTATAATATGAAGAGAATATGACCCATACTTACTTCACCATCTTTGGAAAGCTTTCTACCACACCTCATGCTATTTCCCTCTAGTTCTTCTTTATTGATTTCTTGAGGTCTAGAAATATGTAATATATAAGACATGAAATCTCACAGAAAGCAGGCAACTGGCAATTTAAAAAGAATTGTGAGTTAAAAAGAACAGATAAACTTGCTACGAGACTTAAAATTAAATTTTTGTGTTAAAGGTAAACATAAGAATGCACTGATTAAATTTAGTCCACTGCCTCTGCTAATTAGAAAAGATTTAAATCTTTAATGTTTCACTTATTGTCCAGACTTCTGTTAATATATTAGAGCTCAGCCAAACCAGAAAAGAATGGAGAAAAATGTCCGAATAATTCTCCTCACTAATAATATACAACACTTACTTTACTAAGTAAAATAAATTAAAATCCATTATTTAAGACTTGCTATCACCTACCATTAGGTGTTTCATATACAAGCCTTTTTTATGTAGTAATCATACAAACTCATTATTTAATAGAAAACAGCTGTAGAATTTATCAATTCATCTTTACTTGGTACCATACTTTAAAATGTGCTGAGATAGCAACAGATGAGTTTCTTTGTTTTGCTCCCAAGAGGATCATCTATCAGTTAATTAGAGGTACACTATGTAAAAAGAGATCTATGGCTTGGGGCAAAACTGGAACACCACTTGGACATCAGAGACAAACACAGGTGACACAGAGGATACGTAGAAGAGAGTCCACCCCTTGGGATTGTTATTGACCAACTTTCACCAATGGACAGATCAACTAGATAGAACATCAACAAGAAAACAATCACCTGAAATAAAGAATCAAACCACATGGGCTTAACAGATATTTATAGGGCACCTCACCACCAAAAACCTGAGTATACATAGAATATTCTCCAGGATAGACATGGTGGGTCACAAAATAAGTGTCAATATAATTATGAAGACTGAAGTATACCAAGTATCTTCTCTGATCACAATGGTATATCAAACTAGCTATCAACTACAAGAACAAAGAGGGAAAAATCTCAAACATGGGGAGACTAGACAGCATGCTACAAATAACTTTTAGGTTACCAAGGAAATCAGAGGTGAAATTTAACAATACTGGAGATGAACAAAGACACAAGCTACCAGAACCAATGGGACACAAAAGTATGTAGTAATACAAGCCTACATCAAGAAACAAGAAATAGCTCAATAACCTAGCCTTATACCTTAAGGAACTAGAAAAAGAATATATTAAACCACTGCTACTCAACATAGTATTATTAGTCCCAGCTAGAGCAATTAGGCAAGAGAAAGATAAAAAAAATTCAAACTGGGAAAGAATAAGTAAAACTATCACTGTTTGCAGATGCCACAATAATATACATGGAAACCTTGAGACTACCAAAAACCACACACACATATATATATTAAAACAGGAAAAAAAAAATCAAAAGGTCAGTTCAAAAAATCAGTGAAACCACAGCTGGTTCATTGAAAAGATAAATAATACAGACAAATCTCTATAGCTAGCCTAAAGAAGAAAAAAGGGAAAAAACTAATAAATAGAATTAGAAGAGGAGAAATTACAACAATCTGCATAGAAATACAGAGGACCAGAAAAAACTGCTATGAACATCTTTATGTTAATAAACTGGATAATCTAGAAGAAATGGACAAATTCTATTCTTCCATATCGGAATCTATTTTTTCACATCGGAATTCCACACAAACACACACACACACATATATCTCTCTCACATATAAGAAAAAACAATAACCCCTAACTATCACCAAATGTCCCTGAACATTGAGGAGTAGAAGTAACACCATTATATTTCTGCTTTAGAAAGATATCCTTGCTAAGAGTTTAGAAGAGAAGGATGCTGGAGGGAGTCTACTAGATTTTGACTTAATGTTCCAGGGAATAGTCTTCTTCACTTTAGTAGCCTGACAACAGTGTCCTAATGCTTAGTGTCTGTGGAAAAGAACTCTACACTAGGGGCAATATCCTATTATTTGTAAGGGTAAAAAAAATCACTCATGTTCAGCCTCTTAGGTGAGACTCTATTTTAAAATCAGTAATGATACAGGTGAAAAAATTTATGAAGAAATTTATCAAAATTAAAAAAATATATAAAAGATGATTTACAAAATAATGTACATAGAAAATGCTTCAAATCTGAATTCTATCAAATAGTCAACCCTCATTTTTTGGTTTCTGCTTTATTATTCCTGTTTCAACAATCTTACTGTATGCTGAATAAGTATGCTGTGAATATATTTGGAAAAAGATGGGATATAAAATACAAAAATGAACCCTAGGTAAAAACCTCATAATTATTATCATGAATTTATATTGCACTTTCATACACGCACATAAATAGGCCATTATTTTAGAAATTTCTTTGGAGTACAAAAATGGATTAAGAGTGATCAAGGGCAAAAAAATGAACTTAAGGCCTACACTACATACTCACAGATGGATTATTTCATTACATTGTATATTCTAAGGAGATAGTTAAACATCAGATAACAAATGTGGAAGTACTAGTATCTGTGAATTGCAAAGCACGATATATTTTTCCTTAAAGTAAGTACAAAAATATTTTGTAGGGGTCAAGTGCTTCTGGGGAAGGCATTTGTAACCAAATGTTAATTCATTTTAGACTCAGAGATCTCCAAAAACTTTACATTAATAAGACTACCATAAACAAAAAAATTAGCTCTACCTACATGTAAATATGATAATCATGCTTTATGAAAGCATTCTTCAAGTAATATTCTAATATCTTGAAAGAAAATAATTTAAATGAAACAAAGTATATGAATGATTCAACATAGCAAATGACAATCAAACATGTCATTATACTATCTAACTGACCAGAAAGATCAGACTGATGTTATAGAAATAGAAGTTTACTATGATTTCTCTACCTTCAATAGCTCTTGACTTTTTAATCTAATGAATACATTAAAAAAATTCAAAGCAAGTAAGTTTTTTATTGAAGGATGGTATAATATACTTACCCCACCTCACTGTCTTGTTCTGCCCGAAGCATAGCAAGCCACTGCTGTTTATATACAGAAGATAACCATTCTAAAATGTAAATATATATATATATATAAGAATAAGAACTATGGAGGAGCAAAAAATATTTAGGTAAGATTATGACCATTTCTAAATTCATTTGAAAAAGCAACAAATAAAGTTGGTAATTTATATTTTACAAATAGGCTGTAATGGAGTGAACATCTTGTTTTGTTTATACCTAAAGCAGTATTTTCAACTTTTTTTTTTTTTTCTTAAAGATTTATTTATACAAGTGCTGGGGTACAAGCCAGAGGCATGGGAGGTTGAGAGAATTTACCAGAGACAGAGCAGGGAGCAAAATTGGCAGAAGGATGGAAATACACTGCTGAGGGGAGCAGAGGGCGGCAGGAGAGGTCTGCCACGCCATGTGGGAATCTCCCTGGCCGGCCAGGAATTGAACCAGCACTGCAGAGGCTGCGGACAACTTCACAACCCTCTGTGCCCCCGGGGAGGCCTAGTATTTCAATTTCTACAGAAGTTTTTAACAGAAAATCGAATAATGGATTATCCCTGTATTGAATTATCTAAAAATGACAATTAGTGGAAAATTCTAAATAGGGTGAATCATACATTCAAGAAGTAATTTTGGCATATTAAATTTAGATCACTATTACTAAAAGATTTTAATTTAGTCTAAATGGAATAAAAATTATATTTTCCTTAAATAATGACTATATGTTGTTTCTCCCACAAATCTATAAAAACTGAAATTTTCAGTATTTTATATTAAAACAGATTTATTAAAAATATAAGTAGAACTGGCTTAGAGCCATATTTATTTTTCTGCTCTTATTTAGTCCCTACCTAAAGGTTAAATTTTCTATATTTTAAAATTAAATGATTTCTCAATCTCTATCTAAAGGAAAGGGGAAACCCATAGTGTGATATAAGTCTAGATTTTCACTCTAATTCTTTTTTTTTTTTTTAAAGATTTATTTATGCATACAAGAACTGGGGTACAGGCCAGAGGTATGCGGGGGAGGCGGGGCAGCGAGAGAAGTCACCAGAGACAGAGTGAGGAACAGAACAGGCAGATAGACTGAAATACACTGCTGAGGGGAGCAGTGGGCGAGTCAGGAGAGGTCTGCTGCACCATGTGGGTAGCTCCCTGGCTGGGGATCAAACTCATGCTGCAATGGCTGCGGATAGCTACATAGGTTGCGTTTTAACCCTTGCGCCACCTGGCAGGCCTCACTCTGTAAGTCTTAATAAAGTATCTAGATGATTTCACTGATTTATTAATGCCTTTCTGGAAAACTATTTGGATATGTCTTTTTTTTTTTTCCAAAATAAAATTCTTGCTGTTATGAGAAATAACTGAGAAATGGCAAGGCCACAGACAATTTGGCTTCAGTAGGTAAAGACTTTAACAAAAGTTTATATGATTCAGTATACATACATACATACATAGCTTTATTTGCAATGCACTTGGATTTTAAAATTCTGTCCTGTATTTTATTAAAAGCAAACAAAAAAATGGGTCTGTTCTCATTAAAATATTTCTAAACTCACTAATGGTTATATCTGCAATTTGAAATTCATTGATCTAGTCACAGACTATGGTTTTTTCATGGTTCATTTAAAATTGGAAGAAGGGGTCTCCTTGGTGGTGCAGTGGGTTGAGAGCAGTGCTGTGAAGCTGTCCACAGCCTCTGCAGCAGGGTTCGATTCCCAGCCAGCCAGGGAGATTCCCACATGGCATGGCAGACCTCTCCTGTCTCGCCAGCTGCTGCCCTCAGCAGTGCTTTCAGTATGTCTGCCTGTTCTGCTCCCTGCTCTGTCTCTGGTGAATCCTCTCACCTCCAGTGCCTCTGGCCTGTACCCCAGCTATTGTATAAATTAAAATGGAATGAAATGGAAACACACATGAAATTCCTGAATATCGTGTAAGATGCAGCCCATGAAAACGCTTTAAAATTTAAGTTCTAGTAACTTTAATGTCAAGCTAGAAATCTTTCTGGTCACAGATAGTTCATTCAGTAGCAGCAGGCCCAAAATAAGTAATATAATTCAAATGAAATGTTGGCATCTAATACAAGGGAACAAAAAGAATCTCTGCTAAAATAAATTTGAAAAACATGTAATGAAAGGAAAAAAGTGAAGCGGGTTCCTTTAAAGAGAATTTTTAATATGACTATATACCATCAGAACTCCAAAAGGCAGGTACATTAAGCAGAGTTTGCAGAATCCTTTTTGGCAAAGTTAGTGTTTAGTGTAAAGATTTTGAAAAGGTACCTTTCAAGAAAATTCCACATAGTGAGAATAAGTTTAAGTACTTTATATTTTTGAAAAGTTATTATTATTATTATTTTTTATACAAGAGCCAGGGTACAGGCCAGAAGCGCAGGAGGGTGAGAAGATTCACCAGAGACAGAGTGGGGAACAGAACAGGCAGATTGACCAAAGTACACTGCTGAGGGGAGTAGCGGGCGAGATAAGAGAGGTTTGCTCCGAGGCTGGTGGGGATTGAACCGGCACTGCAGAGGCTGCGGACAGCTTCACAGCGCTGTGCTCAACTGCCTGCGCCACTAGGGAGGCCCTTAAGTACTTATTTTAAAGTTGATCAAAGTCCAAAATAAAAATTCAAAATGGGCACATATAAAGGTAGTCTGACAGAGCCATGAATTAGCAGCTACAGGTCTAGTCTACAGCAGTTTTGAATATAAACATAGTGTTTTTCTAATACAAATAAACTTTCTAAGTTAGAATGAATATATTTAGATTATTTTTTTTTAATCTTACAGAAAGGGTACGAGGAAGGGAGCCTTCAAAAATGTACTGCTTGAGGGCCTCCCTGGTGGCGCAGCGGTAGAGCGCTGGGTTGTGAAGCTGCCCACAGCCTTTGCAGCGCCGGTTTGATCCCCGGCTGCTCCCTGGCCACTGGAGGCGGGTCCCACATGGTGCGCAGACCTCTCCTGATGCCTGCTGCTCCCCTCAGCAGTGTACTTCGGTCCTTCTGCCTGCTCTGCTCCCCGCTCTGGCTCTGGTGAATTCTCTCACCCTCCCGCGCTTCTGACTGTACCCAGTGCTTGTATATATATATATATATCTTTAAAAAAATGTACTGCTTGAAAATTTAATGTTTTATATTTACAAATTAAAAAAATGGTATTTTTTGGTTTGCCTAGTATTAAGTGAAAGAAAACTGTATTATCAGGTACACACACAAAAACTTATTTACAACAAGCAAAGCTTACATGTAAAGACAGCTTAAAAGGTTAACTGTATATTAAACACCTAAGTCAAAGGTAGGTCATGAAGATGAAGGACAGAAAGCTTATATAATAAAAAAATTCTTATATGGATAAATAAGAAAAGACCCTATGTATAAATTAATATAAAATTATAGAGAAGTTTGGCTCAAAGGTACTCAGGTATAATAACTTAAAAATCTAAATTAATATAAAATTATAGAGAAGTTTGGCTCAAAGGTACTCAGGTATAATAATCTAAAAATCTAGTTCCAAAAGACAACAAATTTTCTGCACTGAGTAATTCAAAGCTATTTTCTAAATAAAATTACATGCACTACATACCTTTTTATTTTAAGTGACTTACTTTCATAAAACTCATACTCCTTTAAAATTATCTCACTTCAACTTACAGAAATATTAGATATTTCATCATTCCAACAGTAATACCTGATTTAAAAAAAGTTGTAAGAATATCCATTTTTTTGCCCGTAATGCAAAATAAGGGACAATATATTAATTTGTTATCAAATACCAATTAAGTATGCTCAAAAGATTAGTGATTCAAAGTTATTGTTCATGTTTTTAAAATTCCCTAAACAAACTTGAAGATATCAAACATATAATACTTTTAAGTAATCAGTCAGGTTTAGTGAAAACAATATGGGCAACAAGAAAGACTTGGGATTGTACTTGAGCTCTGCTTCTCACTACTTGATAGAATAGTTACATGTTATCTAGAAATGGAAGCAATTGCCTTGATAAACATCAAAGATTTTATTATATAATAGACATTAAATGCACAATTTGGCATACATCCTGAGACACTGAAGATTCTACATATATTGAGATACTTTTCCCCTCACTTTGAAAGTTATTGTATTAGGAACAAGAACTCAAACTTATTTGGTAAAGTAAATGCACTATTAGGCCATATGTAAGTTAATATGCTTTAGAAAACAATTTTAGTTCACTCAAACTGAGTGCCTACTACTTGTTATATACTATGTTATGGACTGTAGGTAAAACAGATGAAAACATAGCTCATAGTCCAACAAGGACACAGATACATTCTTCACTAGAGTCATGAGTAAGAGAAGAAAAAGTCTTAAATAAGGGAGTGGTAGTAGGTAAGAGAAGGAGATGATTTTTGAGAATTATCTTTGGAAAATCTATAAAACTTGGTGAATGGACATTGAAAGAAGAGTTTAGAAGCAGTGTAAGGATCACTTTTAGTGTTTTGCCTTTTTTACTAATGATGTTGATGCCTGAAACAGGGATCAGAGAAAGAAAAAAGGTGGGATGGCAATACAGCTGCAGGGGAAAATTAAGTACCATTTTGAACAGATGAACTGAACTAGTCATTAGATGAATATCCAAGAATGAAACTCAGGGAAAAGGTCAAGCTGGAATCTTAATAAATCATGTGTATGAAAGCAATCACTCTGGAACACCACACAGAATGAAAAGATCAATGTGTCAAGGGCACTTTCAGGAAGTTAAGATGTGGGCAGAGTAAGAGCAATGTATAAAATAAATAGAGAAGGATCAATCAGAGAGAGAGAAGAAAAGAATGAGAAGAGTATTTCTACACTAAAGTAGCACAGTTAAAATAAGATGAAAACAAGGCCACTAGATTTTACAAATAGGGCAATCCAAAATTTTACTGAAATTTCAGTAAAGTAGTGTGAGCAAAGACAATGTGAGAAATGGTGAAAAGCTAAAGAGAAGGTATCTGTAGACTACTCTGAAGAAAGTGCTTTACAGGGGAGAAAATAGTTGCTGTGGGGGTTTAAAAAAAAATCTCTTTTTAATAAAAGAATTTGACCATATTAATAGGCTGAGGGAGACTAGGTGGGGAAAAGGCTGAAGATACAGCTGAAATGATAAAAGAAAATTCCAGAACAAAGTGACAAGATGAAGAACACAGTAGAAGGTTGGTTTGAACAGGCAAAGAGACCACCTTAACCTCTGGGACAGGAGAGGCAGATTAGGAATTGGAATAAATTATTCCCTGGTTACCTCGGATTTATATAAAAAAAAGAATAATTCCTGTATTGACAGTGAGATGATTGGATAGGAAACTGGAACAGAATGGCAGAGGTTTGTCATAATTACTTAAGTGAGTGAAAAAGAGGAATGACCAAACTTAAATAGTACAGAGTCCCAAGATCCAGGCTGAGCATTGAAATGTGAATGTGCAGTGGCACCAAAACAGAGTTGTAGGATACTTCACTGCAGTACTGATCACAGAGCAGAAGGTATAGCAAAAAAGAATTTAATTTAGTTTTAGGATTTTGCCACGTAAAAAGACAGAGTTGAAGGGGTAAGAGAATGGCTTATATAATCTATTATGAAATGCAGGCCCAAAAAAGGCAAGAGTGGTTTGAAAGACTGGCAGAAAATGGAGGACTTAAATGGATTTGAAATCAAACAACAATGTAAAAAGTAATGAGATGATGAACACCTAGAAGGTTATGAGTAGCCTGAAAATGACTGGATTTCTGATCCTGAAAACTTCTGGATTACAAGGTTCATGGTGTTTCCATGGATGGCAAATGCCTAATGTTTAGCAAACAAATGTAACTAGAGTTGAGGTCAAATTACTAGAAAGCTAGGGTATTTCTAGGGTATTACCCTAGAAAGGGTATTACCCTAATTACCCTAGAAAGCTAGGGTATTAAAGCTAAGGTATTGCCCCTCCCTAACAGCATGGGATGTAATGTTAATTTATATTGTACTTAAATCACAATATAAATTAATATATTAATCATGTCAATATATTATGTGACTGGACAGAGGTGGAGAGACAGATGGTAAACCAGGTGTCCAAGTATTAAATGAATGTGGAGGAATGATCTGGGGATCATGAAAAAAAGGCCAGAGGGTGAGTTCAAATCATATGCACTAATAGTTTGGAAAGGGTATTGAGAGCTAGGCCCACAACTATCTGGCTTCTTAGCTGCATATTGGTAGAGTGTATTAAAAGACAATGTCCTCTACAGAGGGAAGAGAGTATCTTCTGAGGAGCTAAATAAATGGAGGAAACAGAAGGAAGATATGAGAGATTGGTTTCAGAGCACTCAATAGAAAGGTTTTCGGAGAAATAGCACTAAGATGTAAGAGTTATCAAGGAGAGAGGGACATATGACAATGAGAGTATGGAATAAAACAGATTTAATGACCTGGCCTATGATAAATCAAATTCCACTGAATAATGGAGTTTAACTGTGACTGACACAGCTGAATCCTAAAATGCAATGCTTCTATACAAAGTCCTAATTTAACTTGGAATACATTTCTAAGATTCTTGATCTAAAGATGATCAAAGCAGATGTAAGAAAACTCCCCAGATTGCTGAATATAAAACTTTGAATAATCTTAACATGTTTGGAAGTATTTCTGAAAAAGGAGAAATGAATTTTAGCAAAGTAAATTTATTTTTGTTTCAAATCCAGGATATACTGCTATTGACAGCATATACCAATCTGCCTTGATAACAATAAGCTATGTGGTCACCTTTTGCCCCTCCCTAACAGCATGGGATGTAATATTAATTTATATTGTGCTTATATAACTGTAACTTTTATTTGGATATGTAGGAAAACCTATATATCCATTTAGATGTATAAGATGCAGCATTCTAAAGTGAATGTGGGGGAAGGAAAAAGAGAAAAAAGTCCTATGCTGCAACTTTAAGTCAGAAGAAAAAAGGCTGAAATCTGGTCAGAAACATAAGACTCTAAATTCTTTCTAATCTTATACTGAATAAATATCTCAGACTAGAAATACTTGTACCATCTTGTATTCCAAAAATATAAAGCTTGTCGACTTGCATCACAGACACACCTAAACTACTTTAGAAATAACTTTTTTTAACCTACTTCAAAATCCATTTCTAAAGCACCTTAAAAGGAAGTATGATTAGAATATGTAATTGGTGTTGGCATCTATTATTACACCAATGAAAGGGTAAGGGTTTCTGTGAAGATGATATTTCTGACAGTGTAACAGTTCTATAATAGTTTTAGTATGTGCTATATACACCAGGTACTAGCAATGGTATAAAATATTTATATCTAGGGGCCTCCCTGGCGGCGCAGGCGGTCGAGTGCCGCACTGTGAAGCTGTCTGCAGCCTCTGCAGCGTGGGTTCGATCCCGCCGGCCGGCGAGAATCCCACATGGCGCAGCAGACCTCCCCTGTCTCGCCCGCTGCTCCCCTCAGCAGTGTATTTCGTCCGTCTGCCTGGTCTGTTCCCCGCTCTGTCTCTGGTGAATCCTCTCAACCCTCCCGCGCATCTGGCCTGTACCCCAGATCTTGTATAAAATAAATAAACCTTTGGGCCTCCCCAGTGGCGCAGCGGTTGAGCGCTGGGTTGCGAAACTGCCCTCAGCCTCTGCAGCACCGGTTCGATTCCCGGCTGCTCCCTGGCCACCGGAGGAGGGTCCCACATGGCGCGCAGACCTCTCCTGCCGCCCGCTGCTCCCCTCAGCAGTGTACTTCGGTCCTTCTGCCTGCTCTGCTCCCCGCTCTGGCTCTGGTGAATTCTCTCGCCCTCCCGCGCTTCTGACTGTACCCAGTGCTTATATGTATGTATCAATCAATCAATAAATAAATGTTTAAAAAAAATAATAAATCTTTAAAAAAAATAAAAAAATAAAATATGTATATCTTATTGGGATTAAGGATAACTTCTATTTTCTTCATTATTCTTTTCTATGATATATATGTATCAATTACTATTATAATGAAAGACGTACAACTTAATATCATAATTTAACCATGTTCTCTTACCTGAAGGAACTAGAGAATCTTGTTCAATAATCCTTGCAGAGGCCAAATCACTGATAATATACTGTAACCTTAAGTGTCTGAATACTGACATAAACGGTTTTCCTTGCTCAGTTTCAAGAAAGGTCACACCTTCAAAATCTATTAAAAATTAAAAATTTAAATTAGTCATTTTTTTTGAATCTGCTAATTTATTTTATTCTTAAATGTTTTCATGTGCATGGACAGACAGACAGACACACACACACACACACACACACACATATACACCCCCATTAGGATATAACTTAGCTAGTTTCAAAGTTTCCAAGGATTTTATATACCTCAGGTGTGTGGATAAAAACTTGGGATGATTTAGAAAAATATCCCCCAGGAAATTAACTTTGTTCCTAAATACACCTGTGGGTTGGGAATTCAGCCATATACCTTTCTGGGATTAGGAGCTTACAGTGTAGCAAGATGGGAAAGGAAGGCTAAAGAATTGCAGGTAGAGTTATGGGTATTCCTTCGTCCAAGGACTGAACACTCCAGCAAAACTCTAGAGCCCATATGCTTTCCTCAAGGGTCCTTACAAAAATACAAAGGGCATGAACATTTCTTGGGATTCTTCTAATTTATGTTTTAGCTACATGTAATGAACACTAAGTAATTATCTATTAAAATACAAAATAAGATACAAAGACATTATAGTCATAGATTTGCGATACCTGGGTAATATTTATTATTAAAGGAATTCAAGTTTATGAAGAATATGAATTTTTGTCTTTTAGTGAGATTTTAAGGTAATTTCTAAAAATAGCTACTTTCAGTTGCATTCTAATGTGCCTTCAGGAGTGGGACGGAAAGGCCTAGAGTTAATGCTATTAAAGAGGGTCTTGTAGATATTCCTAGCTTATTTTCTATTGAAGAAGGTCTACCTATGGGAGTGTACTTACTAAGCCCTGTTACTATAGAGAATAGGGAAAAAAGTTGAGAGTTGCTATTATTGACTATTATGCCTTAAATCACACTTCGCAAGGAAAACAGGTTTTCTGTGAATCAAAAAGGAGTCGTTGTCCACTAACAGAATTTGTTTCCTGAAAACTGCAAAATGACAGCTAAGCTAATGAAAATAATTTTCACAATTTTCAAATTTTTATCTCACATATTTTTTATATTCTTTTGGTGCCTACCTAGAATCAAAGAAAACAAACAAGTAGTAGACACATTAAAAAAAAACTAATAATTAACTTCACTTATTGTGTAACGGGCATCTAACAGTGGATTTATGTCTTTCTTATTTTTATAGTAACTAGCATTAGTTCTACCTCATGTGTTGAATTAAATGTGCCATTTTTGTGATGTATACCAGCAATACCATTATGGTCTTAGAGGTGCTCCATCACACAAATAAGCTATAAAAATCTAATGCTAGATTTTCTTCTAGAAACCTAGAAATTACCTCATGAAGCCATTTCTTTAAAGACAGAGGAAAGATTGACTCATTTACTTTTTTTTAAAGAATTCAAGGAGTGGGCCTCCCCTGGTGGCGCAGCGGTTGAGCGCCGGTTTGATCCCCTGCCATGGGTGAGGTTCCCACATTGCGCGCAGACCTCTCCTGCTACGCCTGCTGCTCCCGTCAGCAGTGTATTTTGTCAGTCTGCCTGTTCTGCTCCCCGCTCTGGCTCTGGTGAATTCGCTCACCCTCCCGTGCTTCTGACTGTACCCGGTGCGTGTATAAATAAATAAATAAATCTTAAAAAAAATAATAAAGAATTCAAGGAGTTAAAGAAGTATGCTTTAAAGATTGTAGCTGTCAAAATTGCACCAAATTCAAAACTAATTCCTATGTCTGTGTAGAAAATTTCTAAATATCTATTGCTTCTTGTAATCCTGACTTACATATACTGGAAAGTCAATTAGGAAAACCTGAGAAAAATAGTTAAATATAATGGGTGAGGAGACCCTGAGTTATTTTTTTCTCTCCTATTTCCTAAGTATTCATCATTTTTATAAATTTTTATAAAACTAATTAAAATGAACTTTTACTTTTCTTGTAGGAAAACTGAGCATTAGATTTATATTTTGTTTTGTGGAATAAATGTCTCCCTGAAAATTTATCTTAAACTATATACTTTTACATTATTTAGGCTGGGATGGTGAGGCTAGTAGGGAAAACCAGAAGTGAGCTGCAGCTTTCCAATTCAATTTCTGCAACCTGGGCTACAGAATTTCTCTCCTGATAGATTGCTGTGATTAATCCATCTGGAGTTTAAATGAGCATAAGTTTATGTGAAAATTTATTTAACGTCCACTGTTTCTATTGAGCCCTTTTTTATTTTTATAGTTTCTCCAAACTCCTCATTTCTTTCAGTTTTTCTCTCTCTCCCCCACTATTTTTTAAATTTAATTTCTCTCCTCTACTTCTCTAAGCCCTCTTTAATCGCCAAAATGTAGCACCAAACTATATGTTTTTTTTTTAATTAATCTGTTGGTCATTTAAATGTCTATATAACTTTGTAAAGTGTAATTTAAACTTACTATATTTTAAATCAAGTTAAAGTTTATTGGTATGGTTCTTTACATATTTTGGTTCATGAGCTTGATAGAAAAATAATCTATCTGGATTTAAGTTAGGAAATCTCACTATATCTACAAAAATCCATTTAAGCAGGGCACAAAAAGTACTAAATTTTAAAACTATAAACTTCTCATCAAAAGACACCTTTAGGAAAGTAACTGAAAGTGCAACACATAACATTTATGACAAAGATTGGTTATCAAGAATGTATCAAGAATGTCCATAAATCATTAAGACAAATATAGTATTAAGTTAGAACAGACATTTCACAGAAAAGGAAATATATGGCCAACAAACACATTTAGAGCTGTTCAATCTCTTTAGTTTTTAAGGAAATCATAATAAAAAACCACAATATAAAATAGTTCAGTATTAACTAAAATAAGATGATATATTGTCCAGTGGTATGCTGGAGCTGGGTCATACTTGCTCAATGGAGTTGATGGTATGCATTTCTCCCCAACCTGCATTCAGTAATGTCCTGTGGTTATTTTAAAATCAGCCATGTTGGGAGAATTTATATCATAGAAATTTTTGAAATGCCACAAATCAAGATTGTTCTTAGATAAAGGTGGTTTACCAGCACACCACTTTTTTATCCATGTTAACACAAACATACATAATGTTGTAACTTGTCTTTTTTTAAATCACGGAGATAATGAACACTAAATTGAAGATAATGGTTGGAGAAAGTCAGAGAGGAACAACAGGAGAGAAGTATATGAGTAGGCTAAGTTATTAATGCTCTAGTACTTGAGGATTATTTTGTGGAGGTTCAATATATTATTAAAAATAAAAAAGGTGGCCATACATAGACAAAAAATGATGTGAACTAAGAAAATCATGAACTAAGGATTATAATTTATCAACTTCTTGGAATATAAAGTCATTATTTTTTTTTCTGTATCTGTTTTAGCAAAGCAAAAAGTAAGTATCAATACTTTAGTTCATCTCTGTCCAAATAAGACCTTATGGCACTTGATCTTAACACATTTTATTTTTTTTTTAATTTAATTTATTTATTTATGCAAGCACTGGGTGCAGTCAGAAGCACGGGAGGGTGAGAGAATTCACCAGAGCCAGAGCGGGGAGCAGAACAGGCAGAAGGACCGAAATACACTGCTGAGGAGAGCAGTGGGCATGGCAGGTGAGGTCTGCGTGCCATGTGGGACCCTCGCCCATGGCCGGGGATCCAACCGGCGCTGCAGAGGCTGTGGGCAGCTTCGCAGCCCAGTGCTCAACCGGTGAGCCACCAGGGGAGGCCCTGATCTTAACACATTTTAGATCAGTCTCCTCTGGGAATCTGGTGGAAGGTAACAGAATCTCTCCTCCCTAAAAATACATGCAACATACACACATATATATAAAACTCAGCACCCACTTTTGGGTATAAGTGACATACTGAAGCTCGTCCATAGATCTCCCATGTTAAGAAGTGTTGCCTGATAGACAGGGTTTAATTTGTTAGGGACAATTCAATGTAGTCAAATAAAATATAAATGCAACTGTGAAGATTTACTGGTGATTTCAAAAAACAATAGTGTGGGGGATCTAAATACGGTGTCAGGTCAAGCAGTAATAACTCAGTTAATAATAGGCAAGGCATTTATCAATTTTCTCAGTGTAAATGAGGGGGTAAATTAGATAACAACTAAGTTCCTATCCAACTCTTAAAATTCTAGGTCTATAAAAGGTCAGGGTCTGATTCTATTTAATTTTTTTAAAAAAGATATATTTATGCATACAAGAGCTGGGTGTGGGCCAGAGGTGTGGGGGGAAAGGGGGTGACAGGATTCACCAGAGACAGAGTAGGGAGTAGAACAGGTGGATCAACTGAAATACACTGCTGAGGGGAACAGCAGGCAAAATAGGAGAGGTCTGGTGTGCCAGCTGGGCCAGCTCCCTGGGCAGGGATCAAACTATGCTGTAGTGACTGCCCACAGCTTCACAGTGCTGAGACTTAACCCCTTGTGCCACCAGGAGGCCCAGGGTCTGATTTTAATAAACTACAATTTAAAAAAAGTTCCCATTGAAAATCAGGCAAACCTTTTCTCCTTTTTGAAAACCAGACATCTGTTTCAGTCAAAAGCTGTTTTAAAGATCCATTCCAAGAAGGCACAAGTTGAAGGAACATCCACTAGGTTAAAAATTAAGAAAAAATATACATCATAATTTAATTATTTTGCATTTTAAACTGCTTCCACCTTAAAAAATAAATTAAAAAAAGTTCCATTTTACAACCAATGGAAAGAAGTAGAACTATTATCTGATATGTTTACAAGCTTTAAATTCATCATGGCATTAATCATGATGTGATAATAAAAACTAGATGATTCTGTGATAATTGAATTTCTGAAAAATATTTATAGTCTCAAACACACTGAAGTTACAGCATTAAAAAGGTAAAAGTTTTAAGATTATATAATTACATTATTAACTTTAATTTATTTGACATTATCAATTAACTCAATTTACTATATACAGAGAGATGTGAGATTAAAATAGTAAGAAATTAAGCAAGGGAAATGGAATTTCTTTGTCTTGTTGCTGTTGAGATAGTATACACAGTAGTGTAAAGATGAAGGATTTTTTAATTCCTGGCTTCACCACTAAATAGCTGGGCAAATTACCTAATGTCTCTGAACTTTAATTTTCATGTAAAACTAGCATGCTAATATGTCTACTTTAAGAGACATTAATATGTTTCACGTGAGAATTAGTATTTGCAATAAGAATAGTCTTCTGGCACAATGTAAGCATTTATCATTATAGGCATAAATGCAGTTATGACAAGAAAAAAGAATGAATGTTACCACTGACTCAATAGAAATGGATTTTCCATTCTCATTTAATGACTGGATAACCCAGTTACTAAACTTCTTTGATGAAAAGCAGTAATACACTCTCATCTCTAACATAAATACAAACATAATATAACCTAGAAAGTGTCTCATTCTCAGATTTCACAACTGTGTCAAATGCAGACTCCATACTGTAGACAAAAAGCTTTAAGGCAAAATTATGCAGTGGTAAAAGCAATGGACTAGATTTCATAAGACCTGGGTTCTGCCTCAAGTTCTGCCTCAAGTTCTTTAAGAACTTTAAGCCTTAACATTTGTAGAACAAGAGTAATAGTCAATTTGTCTCTGTAGAGAGTTGTGAAATACAATTACATTAAAACTGCTGAAACCTTTTAAAAGAATGATGTGAAACAAATGCCTGAAGTGTAAATAAGGCTTAAAAAAAAAGAATTTCAACATTATATAGAAAAAGTATTATGAAAATGCCATAATGCCATTCATTCAACTGAAGCTTAACTTTCAAAACATTTCTGAAAACTGTATTGAACATTTCTGATTATGTAAATAACATGTTATTGTTGGGGGGAAATACCTGGGAAAGAACAGAAAAGTATTTCTAGGATAAAAAAGTATATAAACTACAAAACTAAAATCACTCATGATTTAACATGTTCACATGTTAAAATAAATATTTTCTTCCATTTATAACCACTCCTTTAACACTGGACACCAAGATCTTTCTAGTTTTTCAGAATTATAAGCAATGCTGAGGTGACATTCTTACATATATCACATTATTAATACCTTTTTAAGAGCTGTATATACATCCATTTCCACTTGCATCACAAATAAGTTAGATGAACCAATGAGCTGTTTCATGACATTTATACTAGAAAAGATAAAACAGAAACAGTGAGCTTATTTTCATATATAGGTTAAATGACCCTGGTGGAGCCAAAAACTTTGTCTTATTAAAATTTACCTTACTCTTTTTTGCCCAAGATAAAGAATTATAGACAAAAAAATAATCTGAACACAAGTATACTTTTAAAGGTTTTTTTTTTGTGAGCTGATAAGGAAACAGAGAGACTTGCTCTGCTACTGAAACAAATTAAAGCAAGGTCCCAATAAGAACATTTTTAGTGTGCTATGAGAAAGTGTCAGTCTTCCGCTGCCTTTCTGCATCACTCAATGTTTTTTTTTTTTTTTAAAAGACACCTTCACCCACTAGGCCTAAGAGAATCACTTAGTCATAACAGATGTTTTTATTACTACTAAAAAGAGTAAAATCAAGAAATATGTATAAGTTTAAATTCAGAGTAGAAATGGTATCACAGGTTTTTTGTTTTTTTATCTTTCTTTCCTTTAAGTCATAAAAAGTCAGAAGAGCATATGGATTTGTAAGATGACCACTATGAATCATCTTCCTTTTGAAAAAGTCCAATGAGAAATTCTAAGAGAAAAAAATATTAGTGTTTCAAATGACTTTCAAACAGTGCAAAACTTTGCTTATGCTTTGACAACATTATTTTTTTTTAAAGATTTTTTTATTTATTTATACAAGCACTGGGTACAGTCAGAGGCACAGGAAGGTGAGAGAATTTCACCAGAGCCAGAGCGGACAGCAGAACAGGCAGAGTGACGAAGTACACTGCTGAGGGGAGCAGCGGGTGGCAGGAGAGGTCTGCGCGCCATGCAGGACCCTTGCCCGGTGGCCGGGGATTGAACAGGCGCTGCAGAAGCTGCGGGCAGCTTTGCAACCCAGCGATCAACTGCTGCGCCACCGGGGAGGCACTGCTTTGACATTATTAAGTGATGTTTTTTATGTAGAATAATGCTTCTCAAAATTTTCTACCAAAGTATCTCTGAAGGGCAGAGGAAAGGAAATGCCAGAGGAATCCAGGAGGTGGTTTAGCCATAAAAACAATATTTCTATTTACTCTTCTATTTAATCTTGGCTATTCAAAGAAACTTGAGTTCTTGCTATTCTATAATGTACTTAAACATAAAAATGTTTACCTCTTTCTTACTTCTTTGCCCCCCTTCTCCCCAATCAGTGAGATGCTTTGGTTTTGTCTTACAATATTCAATGCTTTGGTTTTGTACATTTCTGTGGGAATGCCATATATTCCTAGAGATATTTGTAACCTTGTCTCAGAAGTACTATGTCAAGAAAATGCAAATCTAAAAATGGCTATAAAGCTGACTGATCATTAAAAGTTATTTCCCATCCTCCATTTCTCGGACCCATGACAGATATACGAGCCCTTTTGTTACGAATAAGCTCCTATGAGCCAAGACTATGATAAAATAATCTGGGCATCCTTCACAGTCCTTAACAGAGTCCTTAACAGATTATCTCTGTATATGGTGGACATCCAGGAAGTATTTTCAGAAGGGAGGTAGGGATGCAAAGGAGGAAGAAGCAGACTTAATTCAAAAGGTCAAACTAATTGTGAATTTACTTTCATTAGACTTAGCAAGAAATGTTAAAACAATTTCCTCAAACTTATTTTCTCAATGGTTAAGATATTGTTTAAGGTAAATTTTAGATTCTCTAAGAGCCAAGAAAAAGTGAGGTAATACTTAAAACTTTTCTCAAGTTTTATAGCAGCAATGAATTGTTCCATGAAAATTTGCTACAACAGAAGATATAATATATACATGATAATCATTTAGGACAAAGAATGAAATTTGTGTAGTATCTTCAGCTCATGATTGTAGTCAAGACACCTTTCACTGTTCACTTTAATGCATCTGTGTTTTATACAAATTATCTTGCATACCTTTGCAAATGAAAAATGGTATTTTAAGGTGATTAATTATAAAGTTATTTAAGATTAAAATACCTGAGTTCTTTAAAAAGTTCAACATTCTGATGAGTCATTAAATTGTTTAGAAGCCATTCAAGGCACCTGAAATGAAAATATATAATTATTATATTCTATCATGTATTTATGATCTACTAAGTAGGACTTGTAGTTAAAATAAAAACAGATTATTAGTCTTGCTAGGACATGCTCAAATTTTTATAAATATGGAAAATTTAGTATTGTTTTTGTGAGCAATTATTAAGAGAATATTTCTTTTATATTAATAAAAGCATTTCTAACAAAGAAAACCTGCATTCAATTTTGTGTTTCATGGTTTATGAAGTTTTGCGTACTTCTAGACCTTCTTTATATCTGAAAATGGGTTATTACAGATCTCAAGAGTTAAAAACACTGCCAGTAGTTGCAATATCATGTCTATTATAGTTTACTCCTTTAAAAACTTAATAGTGACCAAAGTTTTTATAAGCAGATATAACCCACCCATGGTCACTTACAAACACAACACTTTTGAGGAATTTACTAATTAGTCCAAATATAAAAAGGAACTTTTTATAACAAATCTCTATTCTATTTCTTTTCCCCTTTCTTTCTTACAGCTACACATTCTCTTAAGGAACCAAAACAGCCTAATTCCCAAAAGTGGGAAGAAAGTGGGAGGAAAAACAAGAAAGATAACTCACTTTTTCTTTACAGAATCTAATCCATAGGTCCCTGCTGATGTGTAATAGCCACATACAGTTTTCACATTAATTGTTTCCTTCATTGTCTCACCACACTGCTGTATTAAACCATCCTGTAAATATAAATAAGCACTGGAAAGGCCCATTTCACGTGGGAAAAATTAGCTCTGAGTATGTGCTTTTACATGTTAAAAAGTTAAAAAAAAAAAAAAAAGGAAGAAAGAAAGAAAAGAAAGAAAACTCATTAAATGTATCAAGCCTAAGTTTTTTATAAGTCCAGTAAAAATACCGAAAAAAAATCCAGCAAGTATTCAACTAAATACTTGGAATTGAGAAATGGGAGCAAGCAGTAAAGTAGAGGTGAATATTGCTATTCTCTTGCTTTTCTATTCTTCCTCTGTGAGGGCCCTTTGCACATTTAATCAGCATTTTATTTTGCCTGTTCTTTTAAAATTAAGACCTCTTTACATGGTAGCTGACCATGTGATAGGCTAGTCAAATAAGCAATAAGAATCATTACAAAGAGTTTACTGAAGTTTAAAATAGCTATTGATATCTAACTGATGTACCTAAAACACATAATGTTACTGTTCTAAATTTACACTGAAATGCTAATCTAAAATGTTTATATAGATTTCAAATGAACTAACTTTTTAACATATGGAAAGAATACTGATCTTTTTTTTACTGAAATTCATGAAATATAGTCATCATGCAAGCATATTATTAAGTTAGTTAAGTCATAAAGATTATGCAGAAAGTGGATTAGAATAAAACCAAGAGAACTAAAGCTAGAAAATAAAGATTTTTTTATTGGAAATAAGTATGGAAGGGATCAAAACATTTTAAAAATCAAATGACCTCAGCCAAGCATATTTAGCAAGCTATTAATACTTCAAATAAATCAGTATACAAATGCCACATAAAAGGAAACTTAATTAACTTTTTTAAAAGATCAAAAAAGAACACTGACTTGCATTTTATTTTTAAAAAAGATTTATTATTTATTGAAGATTTATTTATTTATTTATACACACACTGGGTACAGTCAGAAGCGCGGGAGGGTGAGAGAATTCACCAGAGCCAGAGTGGGGAGCAGAGCAGGCAGAAGGACCGAAGTACACTGCTGAAGGGAGCAGCGGGCGGCAGGAGAGGTCTGCGCACCATGTGGGACCCTCCTCCGGTGGCCGGGAGCAGCCAGGGATCAAACCGGCGCTGCAGAGGCTGCGGGCAGCTTTGCAACCCAGCGCTCAACCGCTGCGCCACCGGGGAGGCCCTGACTTGCATTTTAAACTTACCTGGAAGTCATTCTAGACTCCTCCCTTTTCCTCTTTAACATCTTGTCTGTCACCAAATCCAGCGGATCATCTCTGCTTAATCTTTTTCAGGTATCCAATTTTTCTTCTTCATACTTATTGCTACGCTAATTAAGCCCTCACCTGGCTACTGCAATAGGTTTTTCCTCATCGTTCCTTCAGTACATCCTTCACACTGTTCCTGAGGTATTCTAAAACATAACTGTCTCTTTCCTGATAAGAATCTTAATTGCACTTGTTAGAGAGTATAAGGAACTTTTGTGAATTGGCCTTTGCCTCCTCTCTCAACCCTTCTAGCATATTCTATGCTAGAGTCATGTTCTACTTAGAATTTCTAATATCCCATTGTTCTACATTTAGGTCTTGTTTTACTGTCTGAAGTGTTCTTCCTTCTCTGTTCTTATGTTGCAAGATAAAAACATTTTCAGTTTTCAAGATTCAACCTCAAACATAACTTCCTTCCTGACACCACCAGGTTGAAGTGACCACTCCTATCTCTGTAGCCACTAAATCCTAAAAGATGTTTATTATCATACCTGTAATATTGGACAGTTTTACTGTACCTTTGAACCTATCTATCAGCCTTCCTACCCAACTCCTTAAGGGTGGGGCCTATGTAAATTTACCTTTGGATCTGTATGCACATTGCTCAATATACTTCAGTAGAATAAACAAATCTATCATTCTACCAATAAATTAACATACATTTATTAATTTTAGAAATACATAATTAAGAGTTTGCATAGTAAACACTAAATATTTTTTAACCCATATATGAAAATAAATGAATTAGCAATCATAAACTATTTGCTTAATGAATCAAATTAAGTCCTTAATAGAAATCTGCAAATGGACTTAGAGAAGTAAATTCTTTCCACATGAGGGTCATACTAAAGTACTTATAAAGAACTTGTATTAGTTGACATAGATAAAGATACCCTCAATTGTAGTTTTTGGTTAAGCATTTTAAATAACAATACAAATGACATATTTACACATTTCATTTTTTTAATTGTGAAAAACTAAGTTTTATTTTTGTTTTTGGAAGAGAATACTTGGAAAAAAAGATACAACTGTGATCCTTTCTTTGAATAATGAGTATACTTACCAACTGCAGCATACAAGCTGCTGCCAAAATGGCAATAACTCGACTGGGCTTTATTAAGACATCATCTCGATACAGTGACCCAAAGGCAACCTGCAGTGCTTAAAGCAAAAGTACACATGTACAATGAAATTGCAATTATATAAGTGTATAACAAAAATAACAATCACTATCTTTACACACACAGATATTTTATCTAAATCTGGTTATGTATATAAAAGGATAAAAGTAGTACTGGTAATGGTTAGTGATTGATAGTGCTAATTTAATAGCAATGTAAAACCAAATCTTGACATTTCTGGTGCGAATTAAGATACCTTTGGAGAAAGTTTTTGAAAGAACCCCCATCTCCCATGTAAACCAATTATTAAGTACAAGTACAATGACCCAATAATAATCTTAACCCTGGTGCTCTCTCTCTTAAGTGCTTCACTGTCAGGGAGCATGGAGTTTGTAGCTTCTGTTCCTATACATGCCACTCTCACACTCAGTCCTGACAGCTACTGTCCATCCTTATCTTCATTGCCATACTCACGTATGTTCCACATGGTTTGCTTTATAGATATTAACTTTTTTCTTTGCTTATGTGAACAGATATTTTCACTTGGGCTTTCAATGAGGGGAATAAAAGGGACACAAGAATAGGATTTAGGAGAACAACAGGCTGATACAGACTCACTGAACTATTCTGAAACCTAAAATAAGTCCCTAAATACGTAGGGCCTTAGATTCCTCATCTAACCCTTGCAACTCTAAAACAACATTGATTAATGGTTCATATCCTTACCTTTCCAGAAAAGGTTTTCAAACATACAGATTAATGAAGATTATTTACTAACTTTTTAAAAATTAAAAGTAATTTTTTGAAATGGTTATATTTTTCCTTCTTTCACCCTACAACCTTCAGATCCCAGGTAGATACAGTTATGAAGATATCAACCTTATTAACAACAGGTTAATAAGGTCCACCTTACTAAATAGTTTGGGGATAGATAACTGATAAACTATGAGTTATATATAGTGGTTAAATGGAGATTTTTTTCCCCAGTCTACAACATTAGAAAATATTTATATTAAAAGAATAAATGGTTATGTTTTTATCATTTTGCATAACAATAACTATTATGGTGGTTACCTTCTATATCAATATTCTGATCAGGAATCTCCAGTTCAATAATATTCATGTTGGATTCTTTCCAAGAACCACTGAACATACTAGAAAAGTAGCCAGACTTAAAAAAAAAAACACAAACAAAAACCACAATAATTATCCAATACTTTGTGTTCAAATAATTTTCCCATTTCTAATTCTGAGTAACTATTTATTAAACTCATCCAATATATTATTTTTTTTAAAGATTTATTTATTTACACATACCAGAACTGGGGCACAGGGAGGGGTGAAGAGAGGGTGAAAGGATTCACAGAGACACAGTGGGCAGCAGAACAGGCAGATTGACTGAAATACACTGCTGAGGGGAGCAGCGGGTGAGTCAGGAGAGGTCTGCTGCGCCATGTGAGTAGCTCCCTGGCCAGGGATCGAACTCGTGCTACAATGGCTGCGGATAGCTTCACAGGTTGCATCTTAACCCCTTGTGCCACCAGGGAGGCCCCCAATATATTATTTTGCCCCCAATATATTATTTTAAGTCAAGCCAAAGTAAACTTGTTAAAATAATCTTTAAATATTTAGGATTAAAAGGTTAGAGGAAAAAAATGAGATGTTTTTACTAAAATCTCTTATACTGCTTTACTGGTAATTACTGGTAAAGTAATTATTTACTTGAAGAACAGAGACAAATATAAGCACCACAGAATAAGAACTGAATTGTTTACTCTTATTTTCAACGCTTAGAGCAATGTTTAGCACACAGATTGGTAAAAGAGTAAATGAGTAAAATGTTGGGAGCCATTAATGCAGTTTTCTTTCATAGGAAACTTATGACTCTTTAAAATGGGATGGGAGAAGGTAATATTTTCAGCACAGAAATCAAGGTAATATATCAGCTAAATGACTTAAGTTTATATACTTTTTTTGTTTTATCTTTAATTTAACCACAATTTCCAGAACAGAAAGAAGAGTATTAAAAACTTCCCATTCATATTCAATCTCAGCTACAAAACAACATTTCAGATGAATTTATCCAATTTAAACAATGGTATACAAAATAAGCAAATTTAGCAATCTTAACTTTAATGTTAAACATTTCCCCTCTCCCCCCCAACCTTTCTCTTTTTGTCAACAGATGGCACTTTGTTGAAGTAATGACAAAAAGGAATTGTTAGGCTAGTTTAACAATGAAGGAACTAAGTTTTCACTAACAATGCTGGCCATATTTCTAATAAAATGGACATTTTAGCAGAGAGATGATTTAAACAGATATTGTCCAGGCAAAAGATTATTATGAAATGCAATGAGAAAGAACTTGACTTAAAGGTTTTTTTAAGTGACTACTTACTCAAATTGAAAAATAAAACACTTACTTGACATAAATATATTTTGTGTAAGCTCCACTCTTCTCCTAGAGCACAAATCTTAATGTCACTATTTTCACCATTCAAAAATAATGTCTGATAAATATATTTGGATGTACTCTTTAATTTTTTCCTGTTAAAAGAAATGAAAATGTTACACACATATAAAACAGAATGATTTTGCATGTAACTCAAAATAATCCTTTGTTCAATTTCTGTTACACAGAACCAACCTGTCCAGAGTGTAAAAGGATAGATAATAAAGGATATTAAAATTTACTCATGTATGAATACGTACATAGAATCTAATTGTGATTATCTCTGGAAAATTATATTCACAAGAGGGGTAAATAGTGGGTACACTGGGACAGCATGTAGAAAGACCTTTCACTGCACACCATTTTGCAATTTTTGATTTTTTTTTAAACATTTATTTATTTATAAAAGAACTGGGGTATAGGCTAGAGGTGTGAGAGAATTCACCAGAGACAGAGCGGGGAGCAGAACAGGCAGAGGGTCCGAAAACACTGCTGAGGGGAGCAAGCAGGCGAGAAAGGAGAGGTCTGCCGCACCATGTGGATATGTCCCTGATCGGCCAGCCAGGCATTGAACCAGCGCTGCAGAGACTGTGGACAGCTTCACAGCACTGCGCTCAACCCACTGTGCCACTGGGGAAGCCCAACTTTTGATTTTTTAATTAAGTGAATTACCCACTCAATACATCAAGAAGATAATTCAGCATAATGATTTTTGCTTATTTCCTTATTAAGAAATTTATAATATGGAGGCTTTCAATACAATCACAATACTGCTATGCAGCTACAAAATGGAGAAACAAGTAAAATATTCACCTACACAGGCAATTTTAAAAATAATTTATATTTAAAAGGATAATTTACCAAATTATTCCTAAACTAGTTTGAATGTCACCCCCGGGCCCCTCCACTATTGCACAATGGTTTTTGACCCTAGAGCCAAGATTTTCAAAACTATGGTCAATGTAGAAGTCTTATGGGCCACCAGGTAGAGCTGAGGGGTGAACTCTGGACATCCCACCTAATTTCAACCAGAGTAGCATCATGTATTATATTTGTAAACATCCTGAATTTATGCTTAAGATTCAATTTAAAGAAAAAAACTACATTTTTAAAGTTTGATAATCACTACTTAAGATGATCCCATAAATAAGAAAACTCCTAGGCAGAAGCTGATCAATCAATATCTTTTATGTTCCCTGCTAAACCTGAGCGTTTTCCTAATAGTTAAAATTTTCAATCTTTTTAAAAATGAGGTAAATTGTTTCAGATGGTATCTTGAACCAGTGTATTTAACATTTTTTCCCAAAAGATAGTAAAGACAGTAGATGCTTTGGTGGTGGAAAGACAAATTGGGTTTGAATTCTATTTCCCATGCAGCTCAGGTACCTCAGATGTAAAAAGAGGACATTAATATTACATTGTGAGAAAAGAGAAAATGTAGTTGTCAGTGCCTGATTAACACTTTTCCCCAATTACATTAAAAGATCAAAAGCACAAAAAAGAATAAGCCCACAAGTACAAAAAGGTGATGGCAGGCTTAACACCTCATGAGAGAAGTGCCTGGATCTGTAAGTCAGAAAATACAATTGTGACCAATGAAAGCCATAGCACAAAATATATTATGAAATCTAGGATGGAAGCTGAAGCCCATCTGCCTTTCAGAACTCCTCTTGGGGGGATTGTAAGGATGGAGTTTCGGGGGGAAACAAAAGGTACAAGTGAGATGCGAGGAAGCAGAGTACAGATAATAGGAATACAGGTAACTCAGGTAAAAAGATTCCAAGGTGCTTCTAGGAAGAAATAGAATAAATCTACTAGGAAGGCCTTAGTGTAGGAGTTGGTTCAACAAACAAAGCAATTCTCATTCTGATATTTGAGGAATCCGTAACCCATTAGCTCTTCCAAACCATTCATATGCCAAAGCACCTGAAACACCACAGCACACTTAGGGATCTGAAATATTTTATTTATTCATTTATTCATTTATTTATTTTTAAGGCTTGTCATTGTCTCGGCAAGGTTTTTTGTTTTTGTTTTTTTAAAGATTTATTTATACAAGCACTGGGTACAGTCAGAAGCCCAGGAGGGTGAGAGAATTCACCAAAGACAGAGCAGGGAAAAGAACAGGCAGACTGCTGAGGGGAGCAAGCGGGCAAGACAGGAGAGGTCTGTCCGCCATGTGGGACCCTCTCGGCGGCTGGGGATCAAACCGGCGCTGCAGAGGCTGCGTGCAGCTTCACAGCCCAGCGCTCAACTGCTGCACCACCAGGCGAGGCCCAGGGATCTGAAATATTTTAAATTCAAAGGAAACACACCAGCATCTTACAGATATAATGTTATCTACAAATATTGTTTGGGCTTAACTGTGAGATTTTTTTTTGGACCAGAAATGCCATGAAAAAAAATTGAGACTAAAGGTGTTGTGAAGCAAGAAAGTCTGGGGATTTCTGTTTGAAAACAAAATATGTGCACCATCTATTAATATATGCAAATTAGTAGTCATCCAGTTACTCAGTCTTAAATATAAACAGACAACCAAAGATTATGCAATATGAGGAAAATTAGGAGTATTAAAGACTATTAAAGAAAGAAAAACTAGCCCAAGAGGAAATAAATAATTCAAAGGAAAGAGAACTTTAAAAAACAAGACAAAAAGGACCAACCCCAAACACTCTAATCAGTACATCTACAGATCTGAGATTACTACTTTTGTAATGGATGCTAATATAAAGGATTACTCTGAACAAGGAAAAAAGAATGGTTGCTGGAATGAAACATCAAAAGGGCAGGAATTTAAAAGTTAAGGAAATTTCCCAGTACATAAAGTAAAAAGGACCTAGAAAGGAAAAAGAAGTACACATGTAAGAAATCCAAAACCCAAATAAGGGGAATCCATGAAAGCAACAAAGATAACAGGACACAGGAAATTATGGAAATAATTAATGGAAGGTTCTCCAAACAAGTAATCCACCAAGTATTAAAGCCATTAAAAGACTCATGCTTATGCACATTCTAGTTGATTTCCAAGAGGATAAAGAGAAAATGCCAAAAGTTCTAGAGTGGGGAAAAAAGGTCACCTAAAAAGAAGAGAATTAATTTAGCATCATATTTCTCAGATTAATATCATTAAAGAAATGAAGTTGAGTTTAGAGTCCCACACTCACTCAAAGGATGAATAAAATAAGAGACTAAATTTACACTTAGGTAAGCACAAATTACCTCTTTTGCACTCTTCCTTAGGAAAACACTTGAGGATGAAGTTCCCGAAAATAAGTGAAAAAAAGATAAGCCTACAGAAAACAGTGGATCCAATCCTAGATATGAAAGTAAATTCCAGATAAACAGAGAGGAGCAGCTCCAGACTGGAAGAGGACAGAGGGACCTAATAGGGAAGTCTTAGTTTTATTTTTTTTTAAAGATTTATTTATTTACGCATACAAGAATTGAGGTACAGGCCAGAGGTGCAGGGGGTGAGAGGATTCACCAGAGACAGAGTGGGGAACAGAACAGGCAGATCTACTGAAATACACCGCTGAGCGGAGCAGCAGACCAGTCAGGAGAGGTCTGCTGCGCCCTGTGGGTAGCTCCTTGGCCAGGAATCGAACTCATGCTGCAGTGGCTGCGAACAGCTTCATAGGTTGCGTCTTAACCCCTTGGGCCACCAGGGAAGCCCAGGAAGTTAGTTTTGGATAAGGACTCCATGCCAGTGTATTTGGAAAGTGAAAAATGTGAAAGTATAATGAATGTTAATCTTTTGTCAAGGGGTGGGGGGCAGTTAGAAACTCCAGGAAAATTAAAAGGCAACACAAAAAGGTACTGTCCCAGAAAGATAACTCACAAAACCAGGGCCCAAATTTAAGCACCTGATGGAATGTAAGATTCCATTTAAACCTGAGTGTAGAAAAGTTTCTACCAAGAGAAAAACAAGGGGTTGACCCCACCCACAATATGATTTCTAATCCTAGCACAGTTAAACTCTGCAGTGAACAATATTTACATAATTATGACAACAAATGCTTACTAGATTTAAATTTTTAAAGACAATCTATAATGAAAACACTCAAGATCTGGCAGCAGAATAGTTGAGTTTTAATAGTTTTCTCAATGTACAAGTAAAACAAGCAGTTGACAAAATGCATGAGGTAGAAGGTGAGCCTGAAAGTCAAAGCTTTTCAGGGAGTAGTTGGCTGAGATAGGAGAGCACACAAGGCAACCTTAGAAAGCATATTAGTTAGAACACAAAAATTTCTAGGTGTAATTATTTCTTAACCCCTTCATCCACCATGCTACCCTGAATAAGTACAACATCTTCCACTGACTTACAACATACTAAATTCTGATGTGCATTTTCTAATAAAAATTTGCTTTAAAGATTTTCCATTTTAGTCTACTCATGGTGTCCAGGGATGGGCACACTTTTTCCTGTAGGAGTCTAGACAGTAAATATTTTTGGCTTTGTGGGCTAGATGGCCTCCAAGCAAATTTTTTTGGAATCCCAATGGGCAGTTTCCTGCTAGCCAGCCTCAGTCTACGACATCGTAAGAAACAACCATCTAGTAGGTTACAGCCACACCTCCTCCAACACCTGAATCTCAGCTTAGGAAAAGCAGCCCGATTCCAAATTTATTCTTTCCTTGGGTGTTCTTAGTCTTAAAAGTAATGTTTGTCCCCAATATCCTCTAGTCATGTAGTTTTTGGAGCTCTCCTTACCTCAGTAGTTTACCTTTAGTAATTAATTCCAGGTTAGTTGTTAATAATGGTTATATTAAAAATTCCCTATTTACATTACTGTGTAGTTTCTCTTTCAAATGTACTCTTGACATGTGTATTTCAAAAATTTGATATTACACCATTGATATAAATATAAATATAAATGGTCTAAGTACTAAAAGGCAGAGACTTACCCCAATGTTTTTAAAAAGCAAGACCCAAGTACATGTTGTCTACAAGATACATACTTTAAATATAAAGATAAAAGTAAAAAGGGAAAGGATGAAAAACTATATACCATTTAAACACTTCTCAGAAGAAACTGGTAGTGGCTATATTATCGAGGATAAAGACAGACATTTGTAATGATAAAGGGGTCAATTCATCAAGGGGACAGTGTTTACTGAGTTGGTATACAACAAGCACTGTGCATTGTATGCATTCTCAAGTCTGTCAGGAGTGGTAAGGATCTGAATGTAATGGAGATATCAGTATCTTCATTTTTCTTATGAGAAAATAAGGCTAAAGTGCGGAATACAGACTAGAATTCAGAATCTGAGTTCTTAAAACTATACTACACTAACTCTCCAAAAAGGTTATTTAACAATTTGACAGTGGGAGTTCATTTTTGGAAACAAATACATTCATCCATAAGACTGGATGAATTTTATAAATCAACTAACAAAAGTAACCTACACAGTAAATATACCATTTTCCATTCTTCAAAGAAAAGGTTAAGCCTACACGTATCCACGATGAACGTTTAAGAACTAGAGACTTTGCATGCCTTTTTTCCTAGTTAGGAACAAATGTACTAAATAACTTCACCTTTAGAGTTAAGGAGAATTCCTGTGTGTGATCACGTCCCCTCCACTGAGCTGCCATAGTGGTGCCCAAGTCTGAGACTAAATTTACGTGTCTGCACTATTTAAGGAGCCGGATGCAAACAACTTACTCTACTGCCACCCACCCAGAGGACACAAAGGTGGAATACAGAAAGCCAAGCAGCCAGTCGTCTCTGTTTAATGAGGCGCAAGCCCTGGCGTGGCATTTTTCAGTTTCATCTTGTGGCAGCGTCTGTGGTTTATAGCTCAGAACACCAAGCTTCTCCCGAAGCACTCACGGCCCGCCCAGCTGTGTGCCGCAGGCTCCCACCTTTACCCAGTCAAGGGCAAGGCGGCTCCTCAAAGGTTGAGGGGGCACCGCATCCCCTAAATGCACCCGGCGCGGGGACAGCCTCAGGCCGGGCCAACCGAGCGCTCCAACAGGTGCAGGGGCGGGTCAGTGCGGACGCGTCCCCCACGTACCTCCGAGGGGTGTTGAGGAGCCGCTGCTGCTCGTCCCCGTCCTCCTCATCCTCGTCTGTCTCGGAGTCGGGGTGACAGTAACAGAAGGCCCCGCTGCTCCGCTTGCGCTTGCGGCTGCCGGGGCAGTAACAGAAGCCGTGGCCCGCCGAGTCGCCGCCAGTCTCCGGCCTTCGGGTCGAGCCCCCCGATCCGGAACCCGGCTCCTGCTGGGTTCGGGCTCGTCCGGGGTGGCGCAGCACTCGGCTGCTCAGCGAGCCCATGGGCTACGGCTCCCGGCGCTTCAGGGAGCGTACCTCAAGGAGCCCAGCGGAGACGGTCTCCCGCCATCGCCCGCTCGTCGCCACCGGCCCCCACCGAGCCCCGGTCCTACGCGGCCACCTTCTCACGCGCAGCCCCAACCGTTGCAGCCACCGCCTCCATCCTCCGCCCCGCCCGCCGCGTCCGGCCGCGCGGCGCACCGGGGCCTCCGGACCTCGCCCCCTCGCTTTCGCAACAAAGCGCCGGCCCGAGGGCGCACGCGTGCGACGAGCCCCCGGAAAGGGCGGGGAAAGGCGTGTGTGCGTGGCGGGTGGAGCCTGCGCAGGGCGGGACCAGGGCGGAAGTGGGCGGGGCCTGCGGGTCTGCTGCGGGGCGTTTCCTGTTGGGGTTTAGGCTGGGCCCCCACGCTCTCCTGGGCTGCGTGGACAGGTGTAGTCTTTAGCGTTACTTCGCCCACACCCATTGTGTTGGCAAGACTGGAAATCCCCGCTCGTTCTTTATACAAAGGTTCCTTGAGCTCCAGATGCCTACAGGGCCCTGTGGAAGGGTCAGAAGTGTTTGGGGTCTTACTCGGAGGAACTCAGCTCACGCTGGGGACGCGGGCCGTTTCTTTCCTAGGACTCGGGACCTGAAGTGTGGAGCTTTGCTAGTCCCTAGGGTTTCTTAAATGTCAACCCTCCACCACTCTAGAACAAATAAACTAACACTAGCACACCTTTCCTTCCCTCCCAGTGGCAGTGAGATGTCTGAATAGGCGATGGTATCAGGGTTGTCGGGGCTAAAAGTGCCTTCTGGAGGAACCAGCAGAATTTACAGGTGTCCGCCTGGAGTGTGCAGTCTTTGTTAATGGACTCTGGACAGGCTCCTTTCCTTCCATGACCCCCTTCTGCTACTTGTAAAAAAAAAGAAAAAAAAGAAAATACTATAGTAAAACATTTTAAAGCAAAATGTGTGTAATGAATTACTCAGAATAATTTGATAGACACCTATGGACAAGAATCCATTTTAAGTATAATTTCCTTTGATTCATTCTTTTAACCACAACAATGCAGATAGGTAGAAATTTCTTCTCTGTCTCCCTCCCCTGTGGTGACCACTATCCTGAGAATGGTGTATATCATTATTCCCAGATAGGTTCTTACACCTGTAAGCAATATATTTTCTTTTGCCAGTTTAGACACGTTAATGGTATCATACTGTACCTGTCATTCTGTGCCTTTCTCTACTTCCAAATTTCTGCCTCTAAGATACCGAGTTGATAGATCTAGTTAATTTTCGCTGTTCATTGTGTAACTAGTCCATTTTTTTTTAAAGATTTATTTATACAAGCACTGGGTACAGTCAGAAGTGCGGGAGAGTGAGAGAATTCACCAGAGCCAGAGCGGGGAACAGAACAGGCAGACTGACGAAATACACTGCTGAGGGGAGCAGCAGACCCGGCAGGAGAGGTCTGCGCACCATGTGGGACCCTTGCAGTGGCCAGGGATCCAACCAGCCCTGCAGAGGCTGCGGGCAGGTTTGCAGCCCAGAGTTCAACCGCTGCACCGCCAGGAGAGGCCTCTAGTCCATTATTTTTTAATGCTTTCCCTTATTGTGGGATTTAGGTTGTTTCTACTTTAATGTTCTTATAGCATTAATAAGCACCATGTGCAAAAGACCACCAAATAGATCCCCAGGAATGGGTTTGTTGGGGACTTTTGGCAATTAGCTATTGCCAAATTGCTCTCTGAAATGACTGCACCAGTTTATATTCCCATCAGCAGAATACGTAGTTTGGGGCCTCTGAGGAAATGGTTTCTGATTCACAGCTAAGAAATCTAAGCCTACCGAGGCTGGCTGAGCAGTTTAGTGAAAGACAGGGGTGTGGCATCCATGGGGAGGGTCAGAGAATGATGGCTGGCATGGGGATCAGCCTCAAACCCATAATTTGTAAGCATAAAGGAAGTGCAAGTGCTTCCCATGGAACAGGTGTGGACCACTGTGAGACAGACAGGCATGGGACTATCTTAGATTCCCTATAAGAGCCCTGGGTGGAAGGGGAAATAGACATTGGCCAGGAGGGCTTAGAAGGTATCATTGGAATTCCTAGGGGCTGAAAAAAGAGTACTGCATTTACCTTGCAAATGCCTTGCCTTCAACAGCAGATGAGTGAGGGGGTTCATAAAGGAACCCAGGTGAATGTACACAAGAATCAGGTTTAAACAACTGCCAAACTCAAATAATGCTGATCTTTCACTGCCATGTCAGTCAGGTAATAAACTACCTGCTCCCCTTTACTCTCTTCACTCCTCCTCCTCCAACTACTACCCAGGCATAGTTGGAGTTGGGGGAAAGTTGTGGAAGGAAGCCTGGATGGAGTAAGAGGAGCCCTCTAAAGTTAGAGGGCTTCTAACTTTCCCCAAAACCCAGATTCCTGCTGGCAGTAGGCTAGAACTGAATGAGGAAAGATGTCTCAACTGTAAATCAAGTTCAGAATTTTGACAAGATGTATTAATTACTGACATGACACTGTTTTATGAACATAAGAGACTGCAGAGTTGGACGTTTTAAGACTTAAGAGTGACCAGAAAAGTCAAAATTACATCCTCTATCTGAATTTTTATTAAAGACAGGAAAACCGGGTCCACTGAATAAATGTAAATGGGAAGTAGGATAGAAAAGCAGCACTGCTAATACAATGAACATTTCTCCAGGGTGGCTTTATCCTGGGTTCTAGAAAACTTCCCCATCAATAAGTGCAAATAGGGTCTCCCTGGTGGTGCAAAGGGTTAAGACGCAACTGTAAGGTCAGAGCAGAGGGCCTGGTGAGGGTCCCAGGTCATGGGCACAAAGAGGGGCCTTGAAACTGCAGAGGGAATTCCACCTTTGCCTCAGCTCCTGGAACCAGAGGCCTCCACCTGACACAAACAAGACCTGACAGGGATCAACCAAAAACCACCAACGAATAAAAAACAACTTCAGTTCCACATACCCAGTTTCCCGCCTAACCTTTCCTCGCCCTCTAAAAGGACATCTCTCTCTGACAAGAGGTACGACTTCTCCAACCCCCACGGGGGTCGGCGAACCTCGCCCGGGTGCAATGAAGTTCCTGCCTGTGAGAAACTTAGGCTGGCTCTCCTTCTCTTTACTGTGCCAGTCCTTTCAGTAACCTACGAAGCTATCTGCAGCCACTGCAGCACGAGTTTGATTCCTGGCCAGGGAGCTACCCACATGACGCAGCAGACCTCTCATGACTCGCCTGCTGCTGTGTATTTCAGTCTATCTGCCTGTTCTGTTCCCCACTCTGTCTCTGGTGAATCCTTTCACCCCCACACCTCTGGCCTGTACCCCAGTTCTTGTATGCATAAATAAATAAATCTTTAAAAAAAAGTACAAATAATTACTTTAAAATTTTTGCTAAGTGATATATAAATTAAAGATGAAACTACAAAACAACAACAATAAACAAACACCCTGTAATGCTTCTGATGTCAATGAAAGTTGATTTGGAGATTCCATACTTTTCTGGGCAGGTAACAGAAGCAGCAGTACTATTTCCTTTAATTAACTGGAATCACTAAGGATTCATGTAATAGCTCAATAGCTCAACCACTTATAATAGGTAAATAGAAACAATTTTATATTTCATCCATCAAGATACAATAATTATAGAATTAACAAAGATAACAAATATTATTTTTTAACATAAATGTTCTACATAGTAGAACAGATAGCAGCCCTCATTTCCCCAGGTTAAGTTAAATATGTTATTTTATATCATTGGTGTTGGTGTATAGAAAGATTAGTTTTATAGGACTAGGGGCACATAAGACAAAAATAGGCTTTTTTTTTTTTTTTGGTGATGTAGTAGTTCTTGATAGAAACTTTCAGTAGCATGGGTCATTCAAAAATATCTCCTTTCAGGGACCGCCCCTGTGGCGCAGCGGGTTGAGCGCAGTGCTGTGAAGCTGTCCACAGCCTCTGCAGCACGTGTTTGATTCCTGGCCAGCCAGGGAGATATCCACATGGTTCAGCAGACCTATCCTGCCTAGCCTGCTGCTCCCTTCAGCAGTGTTTTTGGTCCGCTGCCTGTTGTGCTCCTGGCTCTGTCTCTGGTAAATTCATTCTCTCACCCTCCCGCACATCTGGCCTGTACCCAGGTTCTTGTGTGCATGAATAAATAAATAAATAAATCTTTAAAAAAATAAATAAATCTTAAAAAAAATCTGCTTTCAGAGTCCAGGGTGAAAAAAACTCAAAAGTAGGAAAGTCAATCAGGAAAGACACCATGTTTTATTAAAATTATTTTTCTATGTTGTATACAGACTGAACTTTTGAATTAAGTCCAAGTGCACTTTCTGAGTAAACTTAGAGTTGAAATGTACATTACTGCAAATCAACAAAATCAAAAATAATTTAAAATTATTTTTAGCACAAAAACATGTATTTCCTTTAAGTAAAAATAAATTCTGATCATAACATCCATCACCAGAATACTTAGCTTGATATTTGTCCTTTTCCCATTCATCTTCAAGCTAGATTAAGACATTTAACCATATTAACCATATTATTGTGGCATATTCAGCATTTATATTTGGTAATCAGACACATAATATCTTTAAAACTATGCTCAGAATTTGAATTGTTCAGATAAGTTAGTGATTTTGATGTGTTTCAACCTGGAAAGAGTAAGTGACCTTCATATGAGATGTGATGAAGGAACTCTTCCACATCAAACTTAGTAAAGACCAAGTAGTACTATAAACCAACCTTAATCAAAGGAGATGAGTAGATGTTTTCAAACTATGACTGTGTGAAGCAGCAAATTTGATGGTTAGTCTTACTAACTAGATGCTCACAATTTCAAAATCAGATATTACTAGTCACTCTAAAAAAGTAGAACTAGGGAAGAAAGGTGATTCAAGAACAATTTTTCACTTTAATAGTTTTTCATCGAAAACAAAACATGAAATAGTTTAATATATTCCAATTTCTGTGAAACACAAACAAGCAAGAACATTTCTAATTTTAAATATCCTTTTAAGTTTTATAAGCTTTGAAATGCAAGTACAGCTTTAAAGCATCATAATGGCTAATTACAGATGAATCATAATACAGACAGTCTATATCCTAGGAGGCATCTGTAGGCGTTTTAATTGGAAATAAGCAGGCTGAGATAATGTTAATAGCAGTGTAGAAAAATAAAGTCAAAAAAATTCAAAGCACTGGGAATCCTCTTATCCTCTGGGACTTTATTTTAATCTTCTCCTCCACAGAGAATGAGCAGTACCTTTTTGTAGTCTCCAGATGTGTCCCCCTGGGGGCAAGAGAAACAAAGCTACAGTCAGATCAGTGGGTTTTAAAATGGAATACACAACTCAGATTCATCTAGGTTAACTTTTTTCAAGCTTGTCTGGATTTTTTCTAAGAGATTTTATTTAAAAGACATCTTATTTAATAAATTAATGTTTTTTTTTTTTTTACAAAAGTAATACTAATTCAATGGTGAAAATAAAGACATAAAAGAACATAAAAATCATCCATCATTCTACCATCTAGAGATTACTATTTTTAACATTTTGGCTAGTGAATATATTCTTCCAGACTTTTTTATGTATACTGATTCCAATGTGATGAGACTGCAGTGTTCTTCTATATTTTTCTTTTTTACTTAAAATAGTATGAATATTTTCCCATTTTAATGTATTAAATGGTTTTTTCTGAATGTGATGAGACTGCAGTGTTCTTCTATATTCTTCTTTTTTACTTAAAATAGTATGAATATTTCCCCATTTTAATGTATTTAATGGTTTTTTCTGCAGCATCATTCTTTAATGGTTAAAGATTATTGCACTATATATACCTGGGTGAAATAATTTACTCATTCACCCTCATATCATATTGGCTATTTATGTCATTTCCAATTTTTCACTATTATAAACACGGCCTCAATAAGCATGTTACAGTTAAATTTTTCTGCATTTTCTTGATGATTTATTCAGATACATTTTCATAAAATGGGAATTACTGGATTAATGATCATGCATTTTCTCAAGCTTTTGATCTGAGTTGCAATATAGCCTTCTAGAAAGGTTCTATAATTTCTATATAAAATTTTTTAAAAGCTTTATTTATGCATACAAGAGCTGGGGTACAGGCCAGAGGTGTGGGGGGTGAGAGGATCCACCAGAGACAGAGTGGGGAATAGAACAGGCAGATCCACTGAAATACACTGTTGAGGAGAGAGGCAGGCAAGACAGGAGAGGTCTGCTGTGCCATGTGGGCTGCTCCCTGGCCGGCCGGGGAATCGAACTCGTGCTACAGTGGCTGGCAATAGATTGATTGCACTGTCTTTAACCCTGTACCACCAGGGAGACCCCCTATATAGAATTTTTTTAATGGTCTGATTAATAGATCAATTTTTGTTAGAGCTTCATGAACACTAGGAATAATGGGATCACTTTATTAGGTTCAAAGTTTAATGTATATTTACTAAAATAAATATTAATATGTCCTTATTTGTACTTTGTCTTATCTATCTGCCAAAGAACAAGGATGTGTTAAAATCTCTCACTAGCATTTCTTTTGGAGCCTCTTTTCTTTTTTGTATGTTTGGCATCCTAAAGTTTCATGACAATTTGGCATTCTAAAGTTTCATGACAATTTACTCTTTATCATGAATCATTGCTTTATCAATATAAAGTGATCTACTCTCCTATTTAATGCTTTTTCTCCTTAAATTCTTCTTTTTACTATAATGGATGTCAAAAGTTCTTTTTGTCAAAAGTTCATTATCAAAACTTGACATTTGTCAAAAGGTCTTTTCTCTGGCCTTTTTTTTTTTAAAGCTTCTTACATGTGGTCTCCCTGGTGGCACAAGGGGTTAAGACGCAACCTATGAAGCTATCTGCAGGCCCTGCAGTGTGAGTTCGATCCCCGGCCAGGGAGATACCCACATGGTGCAGCAGACCTCTCCTGACTTGCCCGCTGCTCCTCCCAGCAGTGTATTTCAGTCAATCTACCTGTTCTGTTCCCCACTCTGTCTCTGGTGGGTTCCCTCACCCCCCACACCTCTGGCCTGTACTTCAGCTCCTGTATGCATAAATCTTTAAAAAATAAATAAATCTTAAAAAAAAAAGTTTCTTACATGTTATTGTGGAGTAGGATTTTATATTTTTACCTAAACTGGGAGTTTATTAATATAACTTAAGTTTCTATCTTACCTCTGTCATTTTTCCTATTATTTACTTAGTTTTCTATTTCTATTCTGCTTCTTTTGGTGATTATTATTTAGGAAACAATGTATTCTTTATTTTTAATCTTTCCATTGTTATGTTAGTGTGTGTAAACACATATACTTATACATATGTGCATACATATATAATATATAAATATATTTATAGTGATAATTCCAAGTCAATCATTATTTTTGTAGTCTATCATTTTTATTTTATATAGTATTACATTGTATGGATTTTCTATAATTTGAATAATCACCTATTTGTTAATAAAAATAATAGTATATAACAAATCATATACTATAAATGTATCATACAAGTCTAAATAATGTAAAATAACATAAGAAATATAATGCTATAGGTTAAAATATAATATTTAGTGCATTTTTCACATTTTTTTAAAGATTTATTTATTTATGCATATAAGAACTGGGGAACAGGCCAGAGGCATGGGGGGGTGGGAAGATCCACTAGAGACAGAGTGGGGAGCAGAACAGGCGGACTGACTGAAATACACTGCTGAGGGGAGCAGCGGGCAAGTCAGGAGAGGTTTGCTGCACCATGTGGGTAGCTCCCTGCCTGGGGATCGAACTCTTGCTGCAGTGGCTGTTCATTGCTTTATAGGTTGCATCTTAACCCCCTGTGCCACCAGGGAGGCTCCATTTGTCACATTTTTAATGAAATAATTTTATTCAAATTCTTTCACAGATTTTATTTTTGGCAACATATATATAAAAATTTGCCATTTTAATCATTTTAAATGTATAAATCGGTGGCATTAACTACATTTACAATGTTGTGTAACCATCATTGCTTTTTCCAAAACACTTTAATCATCCTAAAAGAAACTCAATAACCACCAAGTAATAATTCCCTATTCTCCTCTTCTCCCAACTCCTTGTAACCTCTTATCTTCTTTCTGTCTCTATGAATTTAACTCTTGTAAATATTTCACATAAGTGGAATCCTACAATATCTATCTTTTTGGTTATGGTTTATTTTACTTAACATGTCTCCAGAGTTCATCCATATATCAGAAACTTCATTCTTTAAATATATGTATAGACCACATTTCACATTTTATTTATTGACTCATCTGTTGATGAATTCTTAGGTTGTTTCCACCCTTGGCTGGCTGTATGAATAATGTTATATTGCTGTGTGAGTATCTGTTTGAATTCCTGCTTCCATTTCTTTTGAGTATATAGGACTAGAATTGCTGGAGCGTATGATAACTCTGTTTAACTTTTTAGAGGAAGGGCCAAACTGTTTTCCACTGTGGCTATGCCATTTTACATTTGCACCAGTAATTCATATAGTTCCAATTTCTTCACATCCTCACCAATGTTTGTTGTTTTCTGTTGTTTTCCTTTTAATTATAGCTATCCTACTAGATACAAAGTGATATTCCATTATGGTTTTGATTTGCATTTTCCTAATGATTAATGATGCTAAGCATCTTTTCATGTGATTACTGGCCATTCATATACACCAAGTAATGAATTTTTTGTCATTTTTAAGTTGGATTATTTGCCTTTTTTGTTATTGAGTTATAAGAATATTTTTTATATTCTGGACAGTAAACCCTTATCATATCTATGATTTGCAACTATTTTCTGCCATTCTGTGGATTCACATACTTTCATTATTTTCCCTGAAGAAATTCCTAGGTACTTAATAGCTAAATGGGAGGTATAGATTTTTAAAAAATCTTTATTACCAAATTGCCTCCTCTCAGAAAGGTTAGACCAATTTATAGTCCTTCCACAGGAGATAGTGAGTTTTTCCCTGACCTTCCCAATACTGCTTATGATCCCTCTAAACTTTGTTAAAGGTTTTAGGTAAGTACATGATGATTTGTTTTTATTTCCAATTCATGGAATATAATAAAATTAAATAATGCATATATTCATTATTTATTTGTGTTTCATCTTTCTTGAAATGCATGTTTTCTCTCTTTTTAAAAAAGATTTATTTTTATTTATTTATGCATACAAGAACTGGGGTGTAGGCCAGAGGTATGGGTGTGAGAGGATTCACCAGAGACAGAGTGAGGAGCAGAACAGGCAGATTGACTGAAATACACTGCTGAGAGGAGCAGCGGGCAAGATAGGAGAGGTCTGCTGCTCCATGTGTGGGTTACCTCCCTGGCTGGGGATAGAACTCAAGCCACAGTGGCTGGTGATAGCTTGATAGTGCTAAGACTTTAACCCTTTGGTCCACCAGGGAGGCCCTGTATGTTTTCTCTTTGACAAGTTTTCTGTTTGGATTTCTCTCTTCCTCTCTTTCAGTGCTTTTTAAAAGCTTTTTAAACATTAATCATATATATTACAAATATATTTTCCCACAACTTCACTTGTGGTCATCCTTGAATCTTTTTTTTTTTTTTAAGCTCTCTCTCTTTTTTTTTTTATAGAGGCATGTTTTATTTATTTGTTTGTTTGTTTGTTTGTTTTGTTTATACATGCACTGGGTACAGTCAGAAGCGCAGGAGGGTGAAAGAATTCACCAGAGCCAGAGCGGGGAGCAGAGCAGGCAGAAGGACCGAAGTACACTGCTGAGGGGAGCTGAGGGGAGCAGCGGGCGGCAGGAGAGCTCTGTGCGCCTGTGGGGACCCTCCTCCGGTGTCCGGGGAGCAGCCGGGGATGGAACCTGCACTGCAGAGGACGCAGGCAGCTTTGCAACCCAGCGCTCAACCACTGCGCCACCGGGGAGGCCCCATCCTTGAATCTTAAAGAGCATTTTACTTACAGCTAGCTATATTTTAGCTCTACAAAACAATCTGGGGGGAGAGATGTTGGCTTCATAACTATAAGACCCTTCTGGCTTCCTGAAGAAGCAAAATCCTAGTCAGAAGGGGTTTTCATGGATGGGAATGATATCTCATCACTCTATGTCATCTTAGGACACCTGGAAGTCTGGTGCCAGGTATAGAACAGCAGTTCAGGATAACTAACATGCTTTCCCCTCTTTTGAGCAAACTGCAGCTGGCCCTGGGCTCTGGAAGATACAGTTATCTTTCATTGCTAGCTGGTAGACAAGGTACTCTTAAAAGTATTCATTAAAATATAGTCCTTCTTTGTGTTGGGTCAACATGAAATAATTACTTTATTAAGAAGACAAACATTTCCAGCTTCTAACCCTATTAAGATTTAAATATCTATGTGAAAGGACACTGGAAATATTGAATTAGAGAACCATCTTTAAATGGTTTTATCTGCCCAAAGAGAGGACAAGATATTTTTAAATACATAGGTGGGAAACCCAGCCTCTCATCAGAGCTTTCCTCTGGCCAGAGCAAGGCTCCAGTGACCCACCTTGATGAAAGAGTACAGAGATTTCCCATATGTCCTCTTGAAGTTAGACCGGATGTCCAACATATCGATCTCCGCTCGAGAAACCATCACTCTGATAAGGGTGTCATCATCAGTACCCAAGCCCTAAGGAAGAAAACAAGGTCCCCACATTTCAAAGCATAGCCATTTTTTGATTGCGTTCATCTTTCGTCTATCAAAGCAAGATAATGCATAATTCCTTTGATGACTCTTTTGTGCCACAAGCTTAGAAGCCTGTGAACTAGTATCACTTTCCACTATGGAATTCTGGACTCCCCACCACATCTCGAACACTGTGATCTGACCAAGGAAGACCACACTCTGTCTTTCTAGAGACCTATCTTGTGTTCTCCAGTGAGCCTGCCTTACCTGCAGTGATTCTTAGCCCCAATGCCTTTCAATCTTTCATTCCTTATAAAATCCTCTGATGGAAAATTTCTTGTAAGGTCCTGCTCAAATGTACCAACTTCCTTTATTTTTATCTCATTGCCAAGGATTAATTTTTTTTTAATTAAAGTAACGTTTCATTTTATTATTCTATAAGTTGATGATGTACATCATTATACAGCAACACCTGTGATTACTGCATTAAGTTCACCACCTTAAAAGTCCAATTCTATCTTTCACCATAAACTTCTTTAAATATTTTTTCCCTGACCCTTCCCTTCTCCCAAAATTGAAAAGAATACTGCTTCCTCTGTGTTCCTGTAATATTTGGATCCCCAGCTGTCCTTCACATTTTATTTTGTTCTTATTGATGTCTGGCACATACATGCCTTCTTCTCCAGGCTGGAAGTTCTCTGAGAGCAAGAACAACATTTTGGTCTTTCCTGCACCCTCCACTCCTTCCTAGTTCCCAGAAAGGATGCTTGCACAGAGTTAACAATGCTTTGTTAGAAGCATGGGCTCTGAAGCTGGACTACCCTGTTATATTAGTTCCTCATTTAGAACCCTGGGTAAATTGTATGTCTTCACTACACCTTAGTTTTCTTCATCTGTAAAATGGGGGCAGATAATAATATCTGCCCACAGAGCTGCTGGAGGTAAAATTAATTTATACATATAAAGAAAGCCTAAGTAATTAATAAATATTACCTTGGGTTATTATTAGCAGGAACTCAGTGAATGAAGTATTTAATGAATTGAATTGACCATTTCAGGTTGAAATTTGGGTGGGGGATGTAAGTAAACTTATAAATGCGGATACAAACATGCCCAAGTCATTCAGATGCTAAAAATAAAGTCATTTACCTTCATAGATTTATAGAGTCTTTCAGCAAAATATGCAGGTTTGTTCCTCAGGCACTTTACTGTTAAAAGAAATAAAGATAAAATCTATGAGAAAAATATGGGAGTTATTTCCTCTGTATCTATAAGGTATGAAGAAGTAGTATCTCTTAATTGTTTTGTGAGAAAAATTTTAGCTAAACAATGTTTAATGAACATTGGCTGGAAAAAGCCTTCAATTTATCATCGACTTCCTGGAAAAGTAGTGAATCAAGGCTGTCAGAACAAAAGGCAGCTTTATAACTTCAAAATGATGATTGATATAACATACGAAAGTTATTACTTCTATCCATTCACAGACTTGCAGGATGCAGCTAATATAGAATTCTCTTTCCCATAGACTGAGAAATAAAGGTGCAGAGAATATAAAATGTATAAAGCCACGTGGTACAATAACAGTTAGGGAGCATACAATATTTTTTGTTTAGAATTTCAGAACAAACCATGTGTAATTTAAATAAAAATTTTACCCCTGAAAAAATGGTCTACATTCTCATGGCGACAAACTGATAACCAGCAGGAACATCTATTGTCATCTGTTTCTTCACTCGCCAGTCCCTACTAGCTTACCTATAGCCAGAAGAGCATCTTCGAAGCTACCAGATGTTTCCGATTTAATGCTCTCTTCAATATCCTTCTTTGATATCCTCTTATATTCATCAAACACTGCAAACAATTACAAAATGGAATTATAAACAACAAAAGAGGAATAGAGGAAATTAAAATATATGGAAAGAATGAACATCTTTTAACTAGACCACACTGTTTATGCTTTAACATATTTCAAGAGGAAATTAATGAGCAATGTGGGTGAGAATCCAGGAGGCCTATCACCAGTGGCATATGCCCAAGGAGAGGAGGAAGGAACAGTGACTCTGGGAGGAAATCAAGCAAGTCCTTTCCCTTATCTGGGGCACTGTTTTCTCACACATAAAATGGAGATAACCAGTGCCTCCCTGGTGGCGCAGGTGGTTGAGCGCTGTGCTGTGAAGCTGTCTGCAGCCTGTGCAGTGCCAGTGCGATCCCGCTGGCTGCGGAGCAACCCACGTGGGGGAGCAGACCTCTCCTGTCTTGCCCCCTGCTCCCCTCAGCAGTGTGTTTCAGTCAGTCTGCCTGTTCTGTTCCCCACTCTGTCTCTGATGAATCCTCTCACACTCTTGCGCATCTGAGCTGTACCCTGGTTCTTATATAAATAAATAAATCTTTTTTTTCTTTTTTTTTTTAAAGGAGCTAACCACTGGAGAGATTTGCTTTCTTCTCTCATTGTTTCCTTAGAAGGCAAAGGGTATCTTTTTGTAACTTGAGGCTAGACAATCACCTGTATGTTCCTGTTCCTTTTGGCTCATCAAAAGTAGAACAAATCACCTCTTCAAAACTGAGTCATGTTTGATAACAGCTGGTTGCACCCTTTTAATAGATTAACATGTTTAAATTTTGGAGGTATTTTGCCAGGTGTTTTTGAATATGATAAAATGTTTTCCTCTCTTGCTGCCTTCTTTTGGAGACATCTTAGAACAGATATCTATTTTGTTTCTCTCTTTTTATTTTTAAAGATTTATTTTATTTATACAAGAGCTGGGGTCGGAGGGTGAGAGGATTCACCAGAGCCAGAGCGGGGAGCAGAACAGGCAGATGGACCAAAAGCACTGCCGAGGGGAGCAGTGGGTGAGTCAGGAGAGTTTGCCCCGCCTTGTGGGTATCTCCCTGGCTGGCCGGGACTCGATACAGCACCTTCTTTGGGGGTGCTGCCTCACTTCCATGACTGTGATTCTCACAGAGGTATCAATCCAGAGACACCTGTCTCATCCCAACATGTATCATGAGCAGCTCACCCAAACAGGACAAATCAGTCTTATCCTCCAGGAATTTTTTTTTTTTAAAGACTTATTTATTTATTTATTTATTTATTTATATAAGCACTGGGTACAGTCAGAAGCACGGGAGGGTGAGAGAATTCACCAGTGCCAGAGCGAGGAGCAGAGCAGGCAGAAGGACCGAAGTACACTGCTGAGGGGAGCAGCGGGCGGCAGGAGAGGTCTGCGTGCCATGTGGGACCCTCCTTCGGTGGCCGGGGAGCAGCCGGGGATCGAACCGGCGCCGCAGAGGCTGCGGGCAGCTTCGCAACCCAGCGCTCAACCGCTGCGCCACCGGGGAGGCCCAACTCCAGGAATTTTTTTAATGGAACAGATCACATACAAAACAGTCATCTTTACCCTCAGAAAACAGAAAAATCACCTGGGAAACCTGATGTACTTCCTAGGTGTCACTCTAGAGACTTTTAAGTCAATCAGCGTGAAGCAGGGCCACAGGAATAAGCATTTTTAGAGACTGGAATTTGAGAAACACTGCCTTAGAAATAAAATCCATGCATCCCTTCCACTGAAATTCCCAGAACTGCCTTTATTTCTGTTCTTCCTGGACTTGCTTAGCGCTCCCTTCAATCCAGTGAGCCACCAACATTTTCTAATTCCTTCTTTCCCATTTTCATAGTACTTCTTTTCTTAAGTTGGAGCCAGTGTCTGTTGCTTGAAATCAAAAATTCTAAGTGACACATTTTCTAAATCAGTTTTCTACACTGAAAAAAAGGGACAGTAATGACTGTTCCATGGGGGATACTGAACAGACAATGCTTATAATATGACTGGCATTGCACCAGGAAGATAATTATTAATACTATCTTAGTTATTGTCAATTCATACTATTATTGTTAGTAGGAAAACTATGATGCCTTCTTGGTCCAAATAGTACTTAAACTAAATTCTTCTGGTGGTTAACAGTTATTTTAAAATTGCCCAATTATTAACTTGTACCAGGAAGTGAGTATTTGTTACAAATCTTTTTGCACTAAATCCGCTTCTGAGGACATGCAGTTCCTGAAAAGTACCACCAGGGGGAGATCTGTGTTATTAGTATTGTAATCCAGCAAAAAAAGACAAAGGAACCTAGAGTGCAAAGTTTGTGCATCTGATGGTAGCCCATGACCTTTACTAACAGGAGTAATCACCTATTTCTTGTCACTGTGGAATACATGAAATAAGTGCAACTTCCCAATGTGTTATACTTTTCAATTTATGTTTTCAATTTAGCAATCTCTTCCTTCTTAGGGTTCCCATAAGCTTTTTAAATTGTGTATGATTATAAAGGCTTAGTGGGTTTATGAAATTCAGGATATAGAATATATATAAAAAGAGCTTATATAAAAGATAAAATATCTTATTAGATCTTTATTGCTGTTTACAAGAAGAAAACAAAGCTGACAACAAATGTTCTGTAATTATATCTTTTCCCCAAAGAAGTTAAAAATTGCAAAGATAAGTATTATCAGAGGCAAATTAGAAACCTTACACATAGGAAATAAAATTTGCAGTTATCTGCTATTCATATTATGCAATATAACCCCTAGAGAATTCACTTCTATTAGTTTTACAATGTGGGTGTTAAATAGGAATAAATGTTGACTAATATTTCTACTTTATTGCTTATTGATTTTTTTCTTATGTAACTAAATTTTAATAGGGCTACTCTATAGAAAGGACTATGAAGGTTGCTTTCCTATACATAGGAATACTAAATTATGAATACATTGTATATCTGCTAGTTATTCATAATTAATTTTTCAAAAATTGGAGGTCATACACATCGCTGCATTCATACATTTCCAAGGTAAGACATTCGAGCCAGTTCAGTATAGTCAGTTCTTTGTACCAAGTAAAGGGGAAACAGTTACAAATAATTTCAATTCTGGGCAGTACACTTTTAACTATCTTTCCAATATTTGTTTGGAAAAAGAGGCAGGTGCCTTACCATGCAACAGATGATTTTGATTCCGGGCACAGAGAATAGTTAAAAATTTCTCCTCATCTGTCCCCCATCTCTTTTCTCCAGCCTCATACAGGTCCTGAAACCAAACAAAGCACAAGTTTAAAACATCACAGACAAGGTGCCAGGGCATATCCAAATATTTCCACAACTTCAAAGAGCTAAGCTGGCTTTGTTTTATTTTGTTGGTGGATGATGGTAGAAGTGGTGTTGGCAGTGACTGGAAATGACTCAGGATTTTTCCTTAGGAATTAATTAATGGGATCCCACAATATCTCCTTGAGAGTCAGGGCAAACACCAGCAGTTCCTTAAGGACTGATTACATGGCTCCAATTTAGGAGCTAAAAGAAATGCCATAGACTTGGACTGTCCCAGACAGTAGCCACTAACTGCATGTATAATCAGTTCTTTGTACCAAGGGGAAATAGTTATAAGTAATTATCAATTCTGGGCAGTACACTTTTTTACTTTCTTTCCAATGCTTTCTTTGGAAAATGAGGCATCTTCCTTATTTATTATAAATAAATACTGTGTATTATTTATAATAATATTTATTTAACAAATAATAAATACATTATTAAATTTATTCAAATTAAATAAAATTCAACTCAGTTATGCTAACCACATTGCAGTGCTCAGTGGCCATTTGTTGTCCAAATTCCCTTAGACAACACTTCTCTAGAATGACCCGTGATTTGCTCAAGGCCTCAGAAGTTCCACAGCAGAACCAGGACCCAGATAGTAACTGCTTATATTTCAACAAGGTAGAAATAATAAGAAATGGATTCTGGGTCACTTTAACTGTAATACTGATATATCAAAACCATTGTTCATATTACCTCACAGAGTGAGGTAATATGAGTGCCTGCTATTAAAAAAAATAGAAAATAACAAGATTTGGAGTAGATGTGGAGAAACTGGAACCCACGTGCACTGTTGATGAGAATGTAAAATGATGCAGCCAATAAGGAAAACACTGTGGTTCTTTCCCCTCCCTCCCCCCCAAAAAATAAAGGAATTATCATATGACCCATCAACACTACTTCAGGGTATATATGCAAAAGAATTGAAAACAGGATCTTAAAGAGATATTTGCAAACCCATGTTTATAGCAGCAATATTCAGAAGCACCAAAAGATGGAAGCAATCCAAATGTCCATTCACACATGAATGGATAAACAAAGTGTGGTATATAAAATCATGGAGTACTGAACCTTGAAGACTTTAAGTTAAGTCATATGAGTCAACCACAAAAAGACATACAGTATGATTTTATTTATATGAAGTATCTAATGCAGTCAAACTCATAGACACAGAAAGTAGAATAGTGGTTGCCAGTGGCTAGGGGTGGCGGGGTGGGAAATGCATTGTTTAATGGGTACTGAGTTTTAGTTTTGTAAGATAAAAAAGTTCTGTTGCACAACAATGAGCATATAGTTAACACTACTGAAAGGCACATTTCAAAGTGGATATGATGATAATATTTATGGTATGTGGATTTTATTTTAAAAAGTTTTAACTCATTGTTCATTTATAATCAGCTTGTTAAATTTCTCAAAATACCCTTAAACTTTTGTCACGCATCGGGCTTACCTTCATCTACCCATCTGTTTTCTCACTTCTTTCTCTAATTCCTCACTTATTTAGAGTCATGGATTTTAAAACTGTTAAGGGCATGAAAGTTCCTCTAATTCAATGTTTTTCTAACTTGAATCTTGGCAGGCTTGTGATGGCTTCAATCAACAAAGTATGATGGATGTGCAGCTGGTTTCTGAGGCTAGGTCATGAAAGGTCAGCAGCTTGGCTCTCTTGGAAGGTGGGCTGTCCAGATGCTGGATCCAGAAACCCAGCCACTATGCTCTGAGAAACCAAAGCTACCTGAAAAGGTCACAGGTAGGGGCTCCTTTCGGCAGTTCCAGATGAGTCTCTGAATCATCTCAGCCCAGATGCCAGACCCATGAGTAATGGAGCCTCCAACCCCCAGCCATTTGAGTACCCTCCGGCTGTCCAAGTCTGCCCAGCTAAGACCTCAGGTGTTGCAGAGCAGAGACAAATCAGCTGTGACATACCATGTCTGAATTAGTGATCCACAGAATCAATGAGCATAATAAAATGGTGGTTGTTTTGTCACTAAGTTTAAGGTGGTTTGTTAGACAGCAAGAGTAACTAGAACATGTTAACTTAATGAAAGAGGGCAAGTGAGAGGATTCACCAGAGCCAGAGCAGGGAACAGAACAGGCAGACTGACCGAAATACACTGCTGAGGGGAGCAGCGGGTGTGACAGGAGAGGCCTGCACGCCATGTGGGACCCTCACGGGCGGCCGGGGATCAAACCGGCACTGCAGAGGCCGCAGGCAGCTTCGCAGCCCAGCACTCAACCACTGCGCCAAAGGGTTTATTTATTTATGCATACAAGAGCTGGAGTACGGGCCAGAGGTGTTGGGGGTGAGAGGATTCACCAGAAACAGTGGGGAACAGAACAGGCAGATTGACCGAAGTACACTGTTGGGGGCAGCAGCGGGCAAGTCAGGAGAGGTCTGCTGCGCCATGTGGTTGCTCCCCGGCCAGCCAGGGATCGAAATCGTGCTGCAGAGGCTGTGGACAGCTTCATAGGTTGTGTCTTAACTCCTTGTGCCACCAGGGAGGCCCTGATAGTGTCTTTCTGACAGCATTTATTTACACTAAAATTTTCAGTCTATTTGGAATTCATTTTTGATGGGAAGTGAAAGTAGGAATTTAATTTATTCTGTCCAACTCCACTATATAACCTGTATTTTCTTCACTGACTTGAGAAGATATCTGTATATTCTCATATAGGCTTGGTTCTCCTCTCAGATTTTCTGACCATTCCACTGTTTGCTTGCTATTCTTACACCAAGACCACACTTTATATTTACCTTTATAATACATTTAAATACACACCCTTCTTGTCACATTCTATCCTCCACTGTCTGTCCTCTATATTGCTCCTCTTCCTGATCTCCCTGTCCTTTTCTCCTGAATTCTGGATATTTCTTCAGCATCATTTTCTACAACAATGATTCTGTTTTCTGCAGTGTCATTTCAGATCATCCTACTTCAAATAAACATTAAAATTCTAGTGTTCCTTGTTTCATCTAAGGACATTTCTGTTCAACTCGTCTAGCTCCTTTAATTTTTTTTAAATATCTGTTTGCCTTTCCATTATTAGCTCCATGTTCATCTCTGCTATTTTCTCATTGTATTTTTAAAGCTCTGTTTAAATAAACTCTGTTGTCCTCTCATTTATTTTAAAGTCCAAAGCAATTTGAAATCTGTCTTTTTCTTAGTGTTTGCCCCTCTTTGGGTCTCAGTTTGTTCACAGGGTACATGGCTTGAGCTGAGCTATAGATTTTCATTGCTCTTTCATCCTTAAGTGATGAACAGTCTATCCTGACCTGGTTTTTCCTCCCAGCTCAAGGTGCATGGATTCTTCTCTAACTCCTCAATTTTCTTTTTCTTTTTTTTTTTTTTTTTAATAGAGGCATGTTTTATTTATTTATTTATTTGTTTGTTTTGTTTATACATGCACTGGGTACAGTCAGAAGCGCAGGAGGGTGAGAGAATTCACCAGAGCCAGAGCAGGGAGCAGAGCAGGCAGAAGGACCGAGGTACACTGCTGAGGGGAGCAGCGGGCGGCAGGAGAGGTCTGCGTGCCATGTGGGACCCTCCTCCGGTGGCCGGGGAGCAGCCGGGGATTGAACCAGCGCCGCAGAGGCCGCGGGCAGCTTCGCAACCCAGGGCTCTACCGCTGCACCACCGGGGAGGCCTTAACTCCTCAATTTTCACTAAGATAAAGTTCAAGTAAGAGAACTTGTGCTAATCCAGCGAGGGGACTAAGACGCAAGACTTTAAATAGTTTCTTTCTGTTTGCACGAAGCCACTGTGCCTGCTTGCAGTTGGGCGGGGCTCGGGAGTCAGTCTCTTTTCTCCTCGGGAGTGGCTTTCCTTTGTCCTTGACTAGGTTTGCTGCCTATCCGGCAATTTTTTTTTTGAAAGATTTATTTATTTTTATACAAGAATTGGGGTACAGGCCAGAGATGCGGGGGGGTGAGAGGATTCACCAGAGACAGAGTGGGGAACAGAAAGGCAGACCGACCGACATACACTACTGAGGGGAGCAGTGGGCGAGACAGGAGAGGTTTTTCCTGCCATGTGGGTTTCTCCCTGGCTGGCCGGGAATTGAACTTGTGCTGCAGTTGTTGCAGATTGCTTCATAGGTTGCGTCCTAACCCCTGCGCCATCAGGGAGGCCCCCTATCCGGCATTTTAATAGTCCTCCTCCATAGTTTCGAGAATTGATGCAGATATTTCAGGTATTTCCCTGTTGTTTATTTTGTGGTTGGTTTGTGCTATCCGCAAAGGCTCTGAAGAACATTCTTTTTTTTTTTTTTTTTTTTTTAAGATTTATTTATTTATTTATATATACAAGCACTGGGTATAGTCAGAAGCGCGGGAGGGTGAGAGAATTCACCAGAGCCAGAGCCGGGAACAGAACAGGCAGAAGGACTGAAGTACACTGCTGAGGGGAGCAGCGGGCAGCAGGAGAGGTCTGTGCACCATGTGGGACCCTCACCCAGCAGCTGGGGATGGAACAGGTGCTGCAGAGGCTGCGGGCAGCTTCACAACCCAGCGCTCAACCGCTGTGCCACCCGGGAGGCCTGTTCTGAAGAACTTTCTTAATGTAGCTTTAATATGTCAAAAATTTCTTTTTAAAGTAGGAATTCTGAGTACTACCTATTATTTCCTTTTGTGTAAGTTTTATCCCATAACTAAACAAGATTGAACTTGTTAGGTAACACTCTCTATATTTTAAAATCTCTACCTTTTTATATGAAACTACTACTTAATTCCACCTACTCTGGCGAGTCTTCTTATACCAAATACATTCAGTTTCCTACACTAAAATTTAGTTACACTACCCAAAGTCTGCAAATACTGCCCTTGCCGCTGATGTGAGTTAAAAAAGCAAAGATTGACAAGGTTTTTCTACTGTCTTATTCTGGAAGAGTTGAAACCATGTCAAAAGTTGTTCTTAAGTTCCGTCCCTTTGGTAAAACTTGGAGGATCCAGAAAATAATCTATTCCCTCTATCCAACTTTCTCAGCCCAAACTCGTTTACAAGTACTTGTTGTACTTGGTCACTTCCAAAAAGAACTAGCTCCTTGAAGAGCCCAAAAATATTTGTTTAATTGCAGTTTTAAAAAAAATCAGGCAGACCTGGATTCAAAGAGCTCAATGCTACCTCCTATGTGATCTTGCATAACTATTTAAATTTGTAAATCAGTTTCTTCATCTGTCAGATAGAAGTAAGAAGATCAGCTGCACAGATTTATTGTATGGAAAAAAAGTAAAATATGCCTGGTACCTAGTAAACCCACAAGAAATTGATACTAGATATAATGTTTCAGGAATAAATTGCTCATTAACTCTTCATCTAATTTGGGATTCACCCAGGCTATGGCAGTTACTTCCAGCATGCCCTAAATGCTCTCTGTGAGGTAACTGAAATTCTCATAAACATCTGAGAATTCAGGTGTGTTCAACACCTTCTCCTTCCTCAAAGCTTCGGGACTAAAGGCAATCCAGAATATCCTAGAAGAGATGGGCCTCCCTGAGTCCTCAGAACTGTTAGGACACACATACCCCTTTCCCTTCTTAAGAAAAATACCAGGTTTTTCCCTACAGAATCAATAGTGGTCGATACCTCACACACCTGAATGGGACCAATCCCATTGGCTGTACATCAGTAAAGATTATAGGTCCCAGGGACTCCCTGGTAGTGCAAGGGGTTAAGCACAGCACTGTGAAGCAATCAGCAGCCTCTGCAGCACGAATCCACAGCCTCTGCAGCACGAGTTCGATCCCTGGCCATGAAGCAACGCACATGGTGCAGCAGACCTCTCCTGTATTGCCCACTGTTCCCCTCAGCAGTGTGTTTCAGTCGGTCTGCCTGTTCTGTTCCCACTCTGTCTCTGGTAAATCCTCTCACCCCCCCGCCACATCTCTGGCCTGTACCCCAGCTCTTGTATGTATAAATAAATAAATCTTGAAAAAAAAAAAAAAGAAAGATTATAAGTCCCAGATCTAGATGCCTAAGTTCAGATCCCAGTTTTGTCATCTATAATCTGTGTGAACTTGAGCAAGAACTGGGCTTCTCTAGGTCTCAATTTTCTTGTCATAAAATGAAGAAAGCAATACTTAGACAACTTCATAGGATTGTTGCAAGGACTCAATGACATGTATCAAATAGGGTTTCCAGTAGTGTTTGGAACCTGTTAAATAGTTACTTTTTATTATTCACCATTATTAGCGCTCTCTGGATACTGTCAGGCAACCATCAGTGGACTGGTATTAATTTTACTCAATAGGGTATACAGGCCTCCCCGGTGGCGCAGCGGTTGAGCGCTGGGTTGCGAACCTGCCCGCGGCCTCTGCGGCGCTGGCTCGATCCCCGGCTGCTCCCCGGCCACCAGAGGAGGGTCCCACATGGCGCGCAGACCTCTCCTGCCGCCCGCTGCTCCCCTCAGCAGTGTACTCCAGTCCTTCTGCCTGCTCTGCTTCCCGCTCTGGCTCTGGTGAATTCTCTCACCCTCCCGTGCTTCTGGCTGTACCCAGTGCATGTGTAAACAAAACAAACAAACAAACAAATAAATAAATAAACATGCCTCTAAAAAAAAAAAAAATAGGGTATACACACTGTGCCAAGCTGTTTTGCATAGGTCCTATCAAATGTTCTCTTTAGGGAAGGAAAAAACGACATAGATCCCTTCATATCCAAGTGATTCAGAAAGTACTTCATTGTTCTGTGGGGTGGCTACACCATTGCCCCAAAAATCAAGACATCTGGAATTCAGGGATGCTTATATGATGATGACCATGCTACCCCAAGTCCTAGGTATCTTTTTAAGAAACCTCTGCTATTATAGGTTTGTTATGGGAAACCTTTTTATTTTTCATGAAATACCCCAGTCTAGTCAATATACATGGAAATATGAGGGTATCCAACAACTGAGGCCCATCTTAATGATAAAGGAGAAAAAAGAAGCCACAGTTCTACTCACCTGGGCATCCTTTTTCACGAGAGCATCATCCAGATAATTTCCTACATCTCTGCCACCCTGAGGATGAGAAGAGCAAAACAAAGAATGAGAGAGTACTGGGAAGATGGGGAAGGGGTGGAGGGCACTGTTAAGATAGAAGGGCTGGGAATCCACGGACACAGTAATTAGACAAACTGCCACAAGGGGTTATGCGTCCAGCCTAGGAAGCTAAGATAAAGCCCTTGAATGTCTTGCATTATTCCCATGTCACTGATCTGTGGTTACAGAACATTCCCAGTCAGAGAGCACACTCTAGAGTGGCTCCCCAATGTGGTATGGGGGTTTATGTCAGTAAATGAGGAAGGAGAATAATGCTTCCTGTTGACTGTTCTTCTTCTTCTCTCCATGTGTCTTCCCAACTCACCTATGCCTTCCTAACTGGCAGATCAACATTGATCAGTTGCCAAATTGGGATTGAGAACAGAGGAGAATCAGAGAATCTGGGACCAGCAGGGGGATTTGAGGAGCCGGACAGATTACCCAGGGCCCTCAGCAACATGACCTCACAGAGAGTACAGGGCTGAAATCTTGCAGGAATGCTAATGAGTGATAAAACTGGCTATGTTCCTCTGGTTTGTTAGACAACTTTTATTGCTACACTGTCTCAGTAGTCTTTGGTTTAGGTATGGCTCAGCAGAGTAGCAAATCTGGAAGGAAACAAAATAATGATAGGAAATAAGGAAAGCAGGTAGTCATTATTAAGTAAATGTCAGAGACAGTGAGGTGGGAGTGGAAGACGATATTCGGAGGTTCTGCTTTGTTGGAAGAATAGAAATAAGGGAGTCAGAAAGAAGAGCTGTGTTGGATGCAAAATGAGTTCAGGTTTAGGTTTAGGAGGACTGATTTGAGGTATAATAAAATACCCATAAGGAAACATCTAAAGAGCAGTGAGCAATGAGTCTTACACTCAAGAGGGAGGTCAGAGATAAAGTAAAAATGGGAAAGTCATGTAAAATATCTCAAGCATCCATCTCCTCCTGTTCCCACAGTGGCCTGGTCCTGTTCTATTTCCCATGGGGAATATTGAGCTAACTTCCTACCTGGCCTCCCAGCCTCCAGTTCAATCCATCTTACACATCACTACTATATCACTCTCCTGGAAATGCAGTTCCAGTCGCTTCACTCTACATCTCCAAAACCTCTGGTGGCGCCCTACTGTTCTCCAAAGAAAAGTGTAAACTCCCAACACAGAATCCCAGTTCACCCTTTCACCTTGCGCCTAGAATCACTAGCCTGACTGCTCAGCCAATTGTTTCTTAAATGCATCCTATATTTCCCACGTTCTTGTCTTTCCTCCCTGGAATGCATCCACCCACACCACTGCCTCTTGAAAGCACAGCAACCCTCCTCACATCCTCTCTGAACCAGCACCTCTGCCAGAAAGCCTTTGCTAAATTTCTGCAACCAAAGTCTCTCCTTGAACATTCCTTCCACTCTGTGCCTCTCTGTTGACACTTGCTCTTTTCATTTTTTTATTATTGCAACCTGTGTGCCTGATATATTTCTTTATGATGATATAAAGCCTCAAAGGCAGGAAAATGCCTCTTGGTCATCACTACAACTCTCAATGCAACAAGAAATATGGGTACCTGGCATGTATTCAGTACTTAAAGTAGAACAAATGCACACATATGACTAGCCAGAGTCTCTAAAAGAGCAATTATTACAACAGAGGGAAGCAAGAGCCACACATGGAACATTCACCTTTGGAAGGCTGAAAGATTAGAAAGACTGGAAAAGGGGAGGCAGAGCGAACATCTCAATAATCCTCCCTCCCCCCATCCGAAGCAGTCAACCAAAGGAGTCACTCACAGAGCACAGAGACACCAGCACTCGCTGGAACATCAATGACGTGTCAGAGCGAATGTCATCTTCAAGGGAGTTTCCATATTCTAGTAAGAGAGTAAAATTCATCAAATCAAAACAGAGTCCTGCCCAACACAGTATCATACTCCAGAGCCTTCAGTCCTCTCCAGAATCAGCCTACTTACCAAAGCATGCAGTTTAGGAGGACTGATTTGAGGTATAATAAAATATCTAAAAGGAAACAACTACAGAACAGTAAGCAATGAGTCTCACACTCAAGAGGGAGGTCAGGGATAACGTGAAAATGGGAAAGTCATGTAAAATATCTCAAACCCACAGAGTTCTCCCAAAACTAAACCGGTCAATGGTCACAATAAGTTGAGCTTGTAAGAGCAGAAATGAGGTGCTCCTGTTCATTACATAGGAGGTGGAGAAGGCTGGAGCCCTTATCCTCACTCTATGGCCCCTACTAATAGGCATCTGTCTTGAATGTGGTTTCCAGGGAACCACAGAATGGTGGGTGGAACAGCACATGGAAAGGCAAATAGTCCCTGAACCCAAGTTTGGGGATAAGCAGGAGGCCGTTAAGTCCAAATTCTAGTGTGTGCCTCTTTTTGCTTGGGAGCTTCCCCCCACATTCACGGCCCTCAGGGTGAGAACTGTGTTTGGCAAAAGTTGGGTTGGGAGTATGTTCCAGGTGCTAGAACCAAACTCCCAAGGTTTAGAAGATCTTGTTCTGAACACTCACCGAAAAACTGTCTCTTTCTACCACATTAGTATATGTTTATTACAGAAAACTTGGAAAAAGACAAATAAAAAGAAAAGGGGAGGGATATCACTATAATCTAATCACCCAGAAATAATCATTTAATAACATTGTGGTGAATACCCTTCCTCATTTTTTTCCTGTATATACATAATATTTTCTTTTTTAAAAATGAAATAATCACATAGTATTTTTTATTTTGTCTTTTTTACTTATCCATATACCAACCATTTAATGTAATAACAACATTCTCAACCTATATTTTGATGACTACATAATTGCTCATTATGTGGGTATATGATATTTTGCTTAGTCAATCTGCCACTGTTGGGTATTTTTAGTTAATAAAAACAATACCAAATGAACACTGTGGGAGCTAAATCTTTGTGCATTTAAAAATATATTTTTAGGATAAACATGTGTCTTTTAAAGGCTTTTCTGAAGTACCAGTTTCTGGGGATTGTAAAGAGGAGAGTAAATGGCTATTGTTCTGAAGTGGCTGGAGGACATACAGTCCAGTTTGGACACAAGAAGCTGGGTCAGAAGCCCTCTGCAGGCCATCCCTTGGAATTCCAAGATTTACTGGTGCTGCCCTTTTGAACAAGCACCTTTGATTCTCTGCTTAATAAAAAGGAATATCTGCCAGATTTCAGAGTAATAAAACACTGCCCTGGGTGGTCCAAACAGAATGGGGTCTTTACCTAAGAAAACCCAAGAGGCCAACAGATAGTCATTTGCCTACACAGGGATCTGCCTCACTGCAGAGCTTGCAACTGACCCTCCCTCATGGTCAGTGTTTCTGGAAAGAGAGTCTAATCAATGGATACCCAACCACTGCTAGTCTACTTCTCAGATCACTGTGAAACATGAGCCAGGGCCACTGAGATGCTACATACGCAGCAGGTAGGTGTTCTTTATGCGGTTGATCTCCTCTGGTGATCGGGAGGCCAGGATCTCAATCAGGCAGCCCTCATTGGTGCCAGCTCCCTAAACACAAAACCCAGAGGAGAGGGGGTTTGAGTCCCACATGTAGAAGAAATACAGCTAGGAATCTTCAGACAAACCACCATATTCTAGCAACAGGATTTGCTCATTTTAAATTGTCCTGCCCAAATTCCAATGTGTTTACCAACCATCATTAGTAGTAACAGGCACTTCTGGGCTGTTTCTGTGTGTTGATTGTAGAACAAGGTTAGGAACAGTTCTGTCCCCTGGGGAGTTAATCTTTTCTTGACCTCCCTTGTTGTCTTCCTTTAAAAGGTAGAACCTCTAGCAAAGACTTCACTTTCCCAGAGCGTAGCCCAGGACCTTGCACAGGGTTAAATATTTACAGACATGATTGCGGAGGGATATGGTATTTGAATTTCATCCTTAGGCATTAAAAATTAGCAGACCAAGCCAAGGCACAGTGGGTCAGGAATCAAGGGAAGCTGACAGCCCTTCTTTGCCAGTTCTGAGTCTGTAGGGGACCCAGAGGCCCCCTTGTTGTCAGTCATAAAGTTTAATATCTCAAAAGTAGCTGACACAACAAGAAAGTTTCTGGAATGTTTGCACCAAAACCACAACTACAAAAACTCCCTATGGAGTCACAGAAAAGAGCAAAGGATTTTTTTTAAGTTTTTGGAGAACAACTTCTCAGCTACAATTGCCATAATGTAATGTCATATTTTCAAGTAGTCACAAATGAAGGAAAGTCTTTCTCCTGTAAGTCATCCTCCTGACTCTCAGAAGGCCTTTGTCATGGTTTCTTGAGAAAGCTCATCAGCGTTTGCACTGAGAACATGTTATTTCTTCGTTTTCTCAGAGCCCAGCCCAGAACATTGGCATGACTGAGGAGGGCAATTATGAAAAGGAGGAGCACAAACCTTCATAGCCTTTTGCAGCTCCTGCACATCATACAGTACGGTGGGTGTCATCATCCCCAAGATCACCTTCTCGAAGTTGCCACTCAATTCTGACTTCAGGTCATCCATCAGATCCTACAATGCAAGAAGGTGGCTTTCTTAACTGTTATAGTTACTTAAACAGAAGTGCTGTGCAGAGGCAACTGGTTACCTTTTGGGAGTACTCAAAGTCAAGACTATCTTCCTACTAACACTCAATTCTTTGCCTTTCCACTGCCATTCTCCCCATGATTGTACAATGGAATTTTCCAAATGCTACTTGTCACAGCCACAATTATGTCAAAAGCTATTAACATGCTCCTCCCTCTATCTATCTGCACAGACCATATTTTCTTCATACACTTCACAACACACTGAATGTAGAGCAGATCTGAGAACATAGCTATTTTCCATTAAATCAGATGTTAAAGAGACTGGCAAATGTTCTCACTAATTTTTTTGTTTGGGAACATACACCTATTTTTCATAAAATTTTTTTTCATCTTCTCATGAACCACAGCATTCTCTGCTTTATTTTTTTAATTTTATCTATCTTTTGCATCGTTCTTCCCTTTTGTACAATGCATGCTTTCTCTTTTCAGGTGTAGTCCCCGCAAAATTCCCACCACCAAATCACCCATCACCATAGTGCTTTGTGTAAGAACACATTTCCTCCCGTTTTGATCCCTTTCTCTCCCCCTCCCCTGCAGTGTCTCTGATTAATATTTGCCTGTTAATTTTTTTTTTATTTATTAAAATTTTTTTTCTGATCCCTTATTTGTTTCCCTACATTCCTCCTAGCATTTTTCATAAAATTATTTATATTAACATGTTATGTGTTTATTGTTCTTTTTAAAATAAGTTAACAAATGTATATTTTTAAATGTCTTAATTTTACGGTAATATGGTAAGTATCAAAAGATATAACTCACTCACAAAGACAAAAAAGTCCTCAATAATTTATTTATTGAGTATATTATATATAATGAGTATAAAAAGGGGTTGAACATAAAAAAAATTGCAGACACTGACTGACAAGTATTTGTTTACTTAATTAATATACTTTGTAAGTCAGTACTCACCTATGACATTTTAGCTGCTATTAAATTTCTACACAAATTTCTACGTGTAGATACAATATAATTTCCTTAACTAGTCCCACTTCTATTTATTTCTACTGGTATATACAGATACATTTAGTTGTATCTCTTGATCATTCATGAATATTTCCTAGGGTTCAATTCTTAAAAAAAAAAAAAACAACTTAATTATTTGGACAAAGGATCAAATTCTATAGATATTTATTCACATTTTCTCCTAGAGCAGGTCATAGAGTTTAAAACCTATTTAAGATTAACCAACTAGTAAGGAATTGAGTTGTTATTCAAGTCCAGAGCTCTGAACTGCAGAAGCCTGCGACCACAACACTGATTCAGTTTATTGTGCTAAATTTTTATGGTACATCCACACACATTGAATAAATGAATGGATGAACAAATCAATTAGTGACCAGTCACTCTGCTAATGTTGGTCATCTGAATAAACCACCATCAGATTAGCTTAGTTTTGAAGCTGAATGTTTAACACCCTGTGTTCTCTAGTTCTCATATCACATGAACATTCATGTCTATTGGTGCACATTCAATTTCTCTGGGGATGGTGTAGAGTTTAAAATGTCCAGCAGATAGCCTGAGAAATCTGATCAGAAGTATCCTGTTCCCTACTGGGTTGCCCGGCCAACACTCACGCATGAATGCTTTGGCAACAGCTGAGCAATCCTGTCCCCATCCCAGCCCGTTAACAAGTTTAATACTACCTTTGAGAAGTAGCCTGTCTGACTGGCTGTAGAGCACAGAAATATTTATCATAGAACTAGTGTACTCTGAGATCTGAAGACACTTATTGATCATGTTTCCTTGATAAAACGATTCTCATAATCACACAGATAGGTTTTCAGTGATGCGGGAAGATTGGGTGGAATGATTCTGGTAAGTGGTTTGCTGAAATCAAGACTGAGTGAGAGAGGTTTCCCGAGGGGCATGGGATACAAACTAGAAAATTTGGTGAGTACACAATGCATAAGCTACTAAAATACATAAATATACACAAAACACAAGGCTCCATTCTAGAATTTGAGTGGGTATTCCTGAAATGAGGATCATCAAAGGAATGAATACATGCTACAAATGGGTTTATGTGAAGAATCAGAGAGACCCTAAAGGCTAGAAGAGCCTGTTTAAAACAAATGGATTGAAATATTTTAATCAGTTTGGAGGGCCACCATCCACAGTGGTCTTAAAGAAGCCTGATCAGAGTCAGGGAGACATCACTGGACCCTCACTCCGGCTTAGTGCTCAAAATGATGGCTGAGCTCACTGAACAGTCAAGTCTCTGTGAGGACTTGGCCCTGAGCTCTGTGAATGAAGAGCAACCTGAAATCACTTTTGGCTGACAGTGGAGGAAAACACATTGAAACTGTGTTTTTCAAGAACATCTTTAAACAAGGCAAAAGTTCTATCTTTAAAAGCAAAGGGCCACTTCAGGAATCTAGATTGCAAAGAGGTCCCTGGTTCCCTGTTAGAGCTGTTTCCTACGGGTTCCCCATGAACCACATGGAGTTGGCCTACCCTGCCCACGGTGCTCTTGTAGGCGCTCCTGATCTCCTGGCGCTGGGCCGTGTTGCGATGGGCCAGGATGCTGATAATGGCATCTTCATCGGTGCCTGGAGGTGGAACAGAGACAATGAGTGTAATCTGAGAGAGGAATGAGAAAATGGGTTCCTTTGCAGACACAGGAGTAATCCACATGTATGCAGACAGCTTTCTAAGAAAAGAGGTCTCAATTCAAAGGGTTTGTTAGTGTGGAGAAATGCGAAATTTGAGTCCTAACCTCTCCTTAATTAGTTGTTCACTACTGAACAAAATAGTTAACATCTCTGAGTATTAGTTTCCTTATCTATATATGCAAGTGATCATAGTACTTTTGTAGAACTGCTACACACTTTCAATAAAACAATTGGGTGAATTTCTTAGCACAAAGCCCGACACTTACTAAATTATTCAATACATGTTGGCTGCAATCATGCTTTTTTTCCTCCTCTGGGATTCTTTTGGATTTCCTGTAGTCATCTTCCATGTTCTTGCCTTTTCTCTCCTTGTTAATATCTCTTTATCATTTCCTCTGAGTTTTGAAACCATTCAAATTTGTCTTTTAATTTATTGACTTGACCCTTTGCAGGGTTTAAACTGGATGCTCACTGCATTCACTGCGTTTAATATCTATAATTGTGTTTTTCATCTCCAAGCTATCCGTCTCTGGTCTCTTTTAATAACTGCCAATGAATTTCTATGAAGTGAATCCTACCAAGATGTTACGATGTAAATTTCAAATTAGAAATATTCTGAATTTGTTTGCATGTTTCTTGCAGCAACTTTCACAGGGAGACTTTATTCTGATTCTCAAATGGGTCCTTTGTCTTGGTAACAGCTGGGTGTTCACTTAGGTTTGTTGATTTTCCTCACTGTTTATCTTGCAATGAGTTACAAAGAGATAAAATATTTCAGGGAGAAATAAAAAAATATAGATTCACTAGGCTTATTTTTGTAAGAATAGAGACTCAGAGAAATGTAGGGTGTAGGGAGGCAACTATAGTACTTTAATTTTTATGTACTTTACGGATCTACTGTCTGATATGTTAAAAAAAAAAAATGAATACAACCGCCCTTTCCTCTTTCAGAAATCTCACTTGGGGGCAGGTCCATCCCCTTTTGCTCACCCTGTTTCTTTCAGGCAAAAAGGCACCCCCTTCTTCCTGTAAGTCAAGTTTGAATTCTCAAAATAGCTGTCTATTTTTCTTTTTTTTTACCATCTCTCCTCTCCCACATTCAAATTTCTTACCAAGTTATGCAAAATCTGACTCTAAAATAGTTTTTGCATTCATCCCCTTTCAAATTCTTACCACCACACTCCAATTCAGTTCAGAGTCTCTTCTTGTATTCTTACCTAGTATTCTTACCTCTTACTTGGTCTTCCCTAAATCTTGTCAGATTCATTTTCCTAAAACTAGCGTCCTTCCCCTGTTCAGAAATCAACAATGGTTTACCATGGTCTGTTGGATTTACTATAGCTACCGTAGCCTGGCATTGAGACAACACAATATCCCATTCACTGTTACCAATATCCACATAAAAGGATACAAGCAGGCAAATCCACAGAATCAGCTCTTGAACCATACTTGATCCAACTGTATGGTATGCCTTTGCCTGACCTGCTTCATTACCAGTCCACTGGTTTATGTCTCTCAAGCCCTGCCATACAGTGTCATGATTCTGACACTTGCTGTTTCTGGCTAATGCCTTTGGACCATCTCCCCATATCTGTGATTCTATTGGTGGCCTTCTCAGTAGCACTCCCATGAACCCCCTTTGCTACCTGCCTTCCCAAAAAGCTCTAACCAGCCTACTTATGCTTTGCAAGCGCCTCCTGCTGCAAACAACCCTTCCATGTATTTACTGTGACTCCCTTAAGCCTCAGGTAAACTAGAAAATGGGGAAACGCGCACATCATCCTATGCCTTTGCTCAAGCGATCCCATTTACTGGAAACACAATCTACCTTATCTGTATTTATTGAAACTCAACTCATATCCCAAGGTCCATCAAATTCTATATCCTCCAAGATATTTTGCCTGATGTCCCTACATAGACTGTCATCTCCTTTCTGAAGTCTAATGGGATCTTATTTGTGCCCTTCCAAAGGTCACTATCATTCTATGAACTAATGATTGTAATTTCTGTGCCTGCCTTAGTCAGGTAGTAGCCATGGACTATTTGACTGCAAGGACCAGGTTTTATAATTCTTCTCTCCTCCACTGTCTACCTCATATTGCTTATACAGTAGGCCAATGGGTTGGCTGTGCTGAATGTCTCCAGACTCTTATTTTGATCATTCTAAATGTGGTTCATGTTCTGAATTATGGTGTTCTTGCCATATATCAAGAAGTAGTACAAATCTGGGAAAGGGTAGGCCAAGCACATTTTCCATTTTATTTATGCAGAAGGGAAAACGAGGAGAAGGCTACAAAAGTTCAGAACAATGTTCTATTCAGAGGTGGGCAGCGGGATCACACAGTGGCCTAAACTTCAGCTCTGGCCTTAGACGGATGCGCAGTACTTGGAGTTCTGACTCTCACGCTCCCTAGTTCTGAGACCTTGGGCAAATTAGCTGATCTCCCTAAACCTCAGCTTCTCATCATTGAAACAAGCTGATGCCAGCATTAAAACATAATCCAAGAAAGGAATTGTGCCTGACATAGAGTATAGCTTAATAAAAGCTCACTATAATCGTTGTCACTGTTAGTAGCATGGAGCTAAATAGAAGGAATTCTTATTGGATAAAAAAAAACTGGGAAATAAGGCCTCAAGTTCCAGTGCTTTTATCTAAATCTCATGAAGATTCTAAACAGCATTTACAAACTGGAGGACACTTCTCTGGCCAGATGTCCACCCAGGCAAGGGACTAGGCCAGGGGAGCCTGCAGTGCAACCAGCGTGATTGTGCCCAGCTAACAGAAAGTCTCTACTCTCAGGGAGCTCACTGGAAAGGGATACACTGGACAGTAAGTCCTTCCGTCATGGACACAAACCTTTTCATGTAAAATCCTACACACAGCATGAGGATACTGTCCCAGCTGCATCTATCGCAGCAGCAACAGGCAGAAAGACTTAGGGAATGGACACAGACAGAGTGCTGGCAATCCAGACCTGAGACAGGCTCTGCTGACTGCGACTCGGGGTTCAGTTCCACCTATTTTGTGATTTTTGAGGTTACCTCTTTGGGTCTCAGTTTTGCATCTGTAAAATGGGACAAAAATAACAGCTATCGCTGTTTTCATTCAATCATAGCGCTGCTGTGTAATTCTACTGAGATAATATTTATGAAGGTGCTTTGAAAATTTTATGGCACAAAGGTACATGTATCAGCACTAGTAGGAAAACAGATACATTTCTAAAGTTTTATACATAGATTCATAATGTCATAATTTAAATATTTTAATGTCAGATTTAAATATTTGGGAAAAATCCAAATATTTGGATTCAACTTAAATTTCTGTAGTAAAAGTGATAATAAATGCCTGCACATCTAGCTTGTCTTGGAAAGCCGACTTGTTTCCATTGTGTTTTCTTAAAGTGAGACCTACTTATAATTGCAGTGGACACGGTATCCTGTGTGTTTCTGGGGTGCTCAGAGTGGGGTGTTATCTCTAGCAGGACACTTACCTATCCCCTTCATGGCCTTCCTCAGGTTCTGGGCATCTTCAGAGGCGTTGAATCCTGAAGCAGCTTTGATGGTGCCTCCTTTGGTTGCCTAACACAGAGAAAAAGATGTGACTGGGAGCCACCTCATTCAGCAAACATTTGCTGAGTGCTCCCTGGGGTCAGAGTATTCCAGGTGCTGGGGACATAGCTGTGACCATGAGAGATGAGGCTCTTGCTTCCATGGAGCTGATGTCCTAGTTGGCTGGGAGCGGTGGAGGAGCAGACAGTAAACAAGCCAACAAACAGTTATACCAAGTGTTAGGTAGTAAGAAGTACCAGGGAGCAGATAGAGAGCTCCTGGGAGCAGATAGAGAGCTACTCTAGGGAGTTACACTTGGGCTGAGATCTGAATGACACACACAGCTGACCATACAATAATCTGCAGGGACAATATCACAGGCAGAGGAAACAGCTAAAGCAAAGGCCCGGAGGCTGGGTGGAATGGATTGTATGGGAGAACGACAGAGGGCTGTGTGGCTCAAGCTGGTGGGCAAGGAGGAGAGTGGTAAAATAAGTTACACCAACAACTATGAAGTAATCTTGTTCCTCCCAAAAGGGGAAGAAATCAAACTCGAATCTAATCAAACCTCTAGAGTCAAATGCCAACTTCCAGTAAATTGAAGAGAGAAAAACGTAAGCCCACACCACAGTGTTATAAACAAATAAATTGGGAGGGGATTTAGAAAAGAGAGAGATGAAAGGGTACTACAGCTTAAAAGAGATTAAAAAAGCTTATCTAGAACACAATGTATAGACCTCATTTGGATCCTGGATCAAGCAACAGCAAAAAAAAAAAAAAAAAAGACATTTATAAGACATCTGAAAGTTTGAACAGCAACTTGATATTTGACAAGGGAATTATTTTTAACATTTTTAGGCCTGATAATGGTATTGTGGTTGTATTTTTTTTTAAAGATTCAATTATTTATGCATATAAGAATTGGGTACAGGCCAGAGGTGGGGTGGGGTGGGATGAGAGGACTCACCAGAGACAGAGTGGGAACAGAACAGGTGGATTGACCAAAATACACTCTGAGGGGGGCAGTGGGCTAGTCAGAAGAGGTCTGCTGCGCCATGTGGGCAGCCCCCTAGCAGGGATCAAACTCTTGCTTCAGGGCCTGCGGATAGCTTCATAGACTGCGTCTTCACCCCTTGTGCCACCAGGGAGGGCCTATGGTTGTATTTTTTTTTTTTAAGAGTTTTAATCTTACACATATTGAAATAATTTATAGATGACATGATAAGATGTCTGGAATTTGCTTCAAATAACACAGTTGAGAGGAAGTAAGAGAGATAAAGAAGAAACAAGAGTGACCATGAGTTAATAATTCCTGATAGGTAAAAGAGGTTCTTTTAAGTAGTCTATCTACATCTGTGTGTGTTTCAACTTTTCCATAATAAAACAGGCTTTAGAAGGAAGGAAGGAAGGAAGAGAGCTGGAGTCAGAACAAGGCCACCATCACAAAACAAAAGGAGTTTGTTTTATTTTAAGTGCAGTGGGAAGCCGCTGACAGGTTTTATGCAAGGGGGTAGGGAAGATGACCTGACTTACATGTTAAGATAACTCAGGTTGCTGTAGTGAGATGTGGGGCCAGTTGAGACTCTGGGCCAACACCCAGGGCTATAATGCTAGAAGACCGTGAAGTAATAAAGAAAGACAGACTCAGCACATGTTTTGGAGCAGAGGTGACAGAACTTTCTGATGGACTATTGTGGCAAGTGGGGAAAGAAAAGAACCTAATGTAACTCTAAAGCATTATTCCTGAGAGGAGAGAAGAGAATGAGATCATTTGCCCAGATGGGGACCAAGGGAGGAGGACTACCAAATTTGGAGTGGTAGTGGAAGCGGGATGTTGAGGCTCTATTCCAAAATATTAAGTCTGGGGGGGGGGGTGTCCAGTAAACATCCAAGTGGAGTTGTCAAAAGGACAGTTGGTTACACAATATGTCTAAATGTCAAGTCTATAGGAATAAATTTAGGACACATCAGTATTTGGATGGTATTGGATGAGATGATCTAGGGAAGAAGTGAAGATAGAGATGGACAGGGTCCCTGGGACCATCAAGAGACTCTGCAGAAGTGTAAGCCCAGCCCAGAAGGAAAAACCAGAAAGCATGACCAAGAGGGATGGTCTTTGAGATGAAAAGAGAACCAGACAGTTTCTGTTCAGAGGCTCAAAGAATCACCCTAAAGCAGAAGCCTGAGCATCACCTAGGAACTTGATAAGACTCATAGAAGGAATCCCCAGCAAGTTTCCTTGGGACCATGTTCCTGACAATCCTTGATTTGTGATTTCTAGCCTCCAGAACTGTGAGACAACACATTTCTATTATTTCAGGTCATGTTTTTTTGTGGAAGCCCTAGGAAATTAATATAGGTGCTTTACTCCCTTTCTTCTACTACTTACAAGTAATAATAGACAAATTGGTGATATGCTGTCAAAATTCCAACATGGCCTCACTTAGTCTGTGGCCCCACTAAGGACTGAGATGACTTTCTGAGTCAAATGTTTCACATCTTTGGAACTCCAGTATTGAAAAATTCTTGGATGGTATACTCAAATGCTGCATTTGATGTTAAAGCAAACTGCATTGCTGAAGGACACCATTGTGGGATTAAAATTAATACCTAACAAGATGAATCAATCAAAGGATTTGCAAGGATGGTTCAGTTTGTTGATTAACATTCTTAGTGATTCTTTTTTTTTCCAGGAAAAAGATAAGCTCAGGAAACTTGTTCCTATTAGCTCTAAAGAATCTGTATTGATTAAATTCCAGGGCATGGTGTACCATTACCTGTTTGGGGAAGGCAGAGTACCCCACCCAGGAGGGCTTCTTGTGGCAGAAGGCAAAGAAAACAGGAAGGATATAGGGAAAGATGACAAAACCAAATAACTCAAAATTGGTGATACATCACAATGGATACAATATTATTCAGTTATTGAAATAATGAAGATGATAAATGTCAACAAGATTGGAATAAAATGAAATGGAATACTAACCAGTAATAAAAAGGAGTGCAGGAACAAAATACTGAAACTTGCAGCAACAGATGGATTGCAAAAATATAGAGGGGTATATAGTCTATGATTTCATTTATAGGATGATCTACAACAGACAAAGCTAATCTACAGTGATAACAATCAGAACATTGGTTACATTACTGGGATGGAATGGTGAGCAGGGTTAAATTAACTTTGAAGGGTCATGAAGAAACTCTTGGAGTTATGAAATGTCCTATCTTGATCAAGGAGTGGGTTACATAGTACATATTTTTGTCAAAAACTCATCTAAAGGTAACTTTAAGAAGTGTGCACTTAACTATATAAATGACACTTTCATTAACATTCTTTAAATACTTGAATACAATGGCTTTTAAAATATTTCCTTGTAGAAATGTAATGTGGTCATTGTAGAAATTTAGCAATTTTTTTTTAGAATCATAAATAGGAAGAAAATGAAAACACCCATAACTCTACTATTTAGAGTAAATTATTTGAATGTAAAATGAAAAAGCTAGCATAGTAAATACTAAATGCATATTTAACTGCTGTTTTTGCTCTTGTTATGACTAGCTTAAAAACACTGGACCTATGAGTAGGCTCTAAGTAAAATGATGGAAAATAATTGGGAATTATAATGTAACTGCTGTATGTTTTCCTTTCGTTAAAAAATGTCTTTTATCTGATAAATCAGTCATGATGAAAAAACCAGTACTAGGAGGACAGGTGACAACAACTGTGGCCATTTTCCTGGAGTGGAAAGCACACAGAAGGGCCATTATAGTGTTCACAAGTAGGGAAACTGTGAGCTTGATGAAGACAGGAAAAGTGTCCCATTAATTCTGTGTCTCCATAGCCAAGTACCAAAATAGGGGCCCTGTAAATATTTCTGAATAAATGTTCTCCATGTCCAGGAAGAGTTAATCATAAAGAAGTGAATTTAAATTCAAAGCATAAGAGATTTAGGATGGACATGAGTAAGCATTTGGCTGTCAGGGAGAATGTTTAGTGTTAAAAAAATTTTAAGAGTATATCACTATTAGTTTAGGATCGTTTGCACATCCATCTTCCTAAAGGAAGGCATCTGGAGCTGGCAGGAACTCTAGTTCCTCTCCATGTGTTCTACTTCTATTATTCCTTTCCAGAAAATCAGGGATCAGGATCACCTGCTTTCAGAAGCCCCACTGTGTGGGAGAAGCAGAGCAGATGGCCAGCCTCAGGTGGAGCCATGTTTGTGCCCAAGAGGCTCAGCTTCCACATCAACACTCAAAGGGATCTGCTTCCCTGTCTGTTGCAAAGATCAGATACCAAGCTCCAAGGAGTCCAGTCACCGCTGAAAGGAGCCCATATGGTAAGAGACCCCTTCTTGAAGAGCCTGAACTGATTGGGTTACCCCAAAATTTAGACAGCATTCTACCAGGTGGTAGAATCTGTGGGATCTTTAGTTTTTTCTTTTTTGTTTGCCGAAATATTTGATAACAAATATGTAGTGCCTCTCCAAAGAGAAAACTATATAACTTGTTTCTGTATCTCAGGATGTTAGAAGGATTCAAAGGGATCTCTCCTCTTTGAGCTCATTTTCAGGGTCAAGTTACTCACCACCTCTGAAAGAAATTAAAACAGTGCTCAACAAAAAACCCAACTACCTTCCACTTCCTCCTTCCTCCTTCCACCCCTCCTCACAGCAAGTTATCAATTTATGAGTCAAATGTCCTTGAGTACACATCGTGTAAATACCTGTCTGTGGCTGGTACCAAGTAGGGTGAGGCACTCTGTGACTTACCATGGCCATGACTCTATGTCAAGATCAGAGTTCTGTCACCCAGGCAGAAGTTCCTTTGTGATAAAAGAAGAGAGAGAATTACTGGATGAATAAAGTGTGATTAAGATCATTAATCAGGTTAACTTATAGTTTGCATGAAGTTATGCCACAGGGAAATGACATCCAGTTTTATCAAAGACCAGCTATTGATTAGCCAAAGATACAAAGGCCAGGCTAATAATTAAAGAGATACTATTCAAACAGGCAAGTTTATTATACCAATAAAATATTTTCTTATCTGCTCTTCTGCTTGGAGAGACACATTATAGAAGTCATTCCTGTTGCTTTGTTAGGATGACATACATTATTGTAAAACAAACCTTGATTCTAAACTGTCTGCTCTAGTGGATCAGATTCTAGGAGAAAAGAGATAAATTGAAAATTCAATGCATTAGAGAAAAGTGCTGCACTACACCTACATTCTGAGAGTGTGTGTGTGTATGTGTGTGTTTGTGTGCAAAGACAGGTGAGTGGCCCAACCAACATTAGACTTCTGGTTTCCCAGTGACTACTTTCACTGCCCTATCTCAGTATTTAAAGATGTTTCTTTCCTTGAAGCTGCAGTCTAACATACTCAGCTTTGCTCTTAGTTCTCTGTACCACCCCTTCCTCCATCAAAAAGACTTGAATCTCACACATTATTCAGTCATTGAGAATGCAAGAAATATCTTTACTATCGGCTAGAACACTGGACAGATTCTCATGATATGTAGGAAGCCCTCAGAAGCACAGGCCAACTGGATTCCTGTTTTTATATCTAAGCCTTATAGATAATGCTCCTTTTCTGAATGTTAGTTAGATCCTTGATACTTAAGAAACCATGCTAGAAATAGAAGCCTGGACATCACCTGGGAACTTGTTAAAAATGTTGAATCTCGGGCCCCACCCCAGACCGACTACCAAAATCTATATTTAACAGGATTCCACAAATATTTGTCTGCACTATAGTTTGAAATTTACTGGCCTCGACAATCCTACCAGGGAACATTTTTCAATTATCGCCCCTGGAATAGCTAAACCCTTCTTAACCCACTCTATTGTCCACTCAGGTGTGTTTGGCCATGTTTTACAGTCCATCTTCCAGCTCTCCTTGGACCCAGCTCCATTCTTCCTGTTTCCACCACTCACTGCAGACAGACACCATATTGAACAGAGGTTCAATCCCTTCCCAAGGGGAAGGCCTACTGGTTTCTGGGCACAACCTGAACAAACATGCAGAGATGGGTATGAGTGTGGCTACAGAGACAATGGGATGAGGCCACAACAGCCATGGGTTCATTCCCAGGCAGGTTCAGAGAGAAGATTAGAAAAGCAGATGGAGAACTTACTAATAGGAATCTTGGGGCCTCTCTGGTTGCACAGGGGTTAAAGACAGTGTTATCAAGCTATTGCCAGCCACTGCAGCATGAGTTCAGTTTCCCAGCCAGCCAGGGAGCTGATCCACATGGCGTAGCAGACCTCTCCTGACTCACCCGCTGCTCCCCTCAGTGTATTTCAGTCAGTCTGTCTGTTCTGTGTCCCACTCTGTCTCTGATGAATCCTCTCACCACCCCACCCCCTGGCCTGTACCCCAGTTCTTATATGCATAAATAAATAGATCTTTATAAAAAATAGGAATCTTGAACTTTATATGGTCTTTATACTGTAGGATAATGAGACAACAGTGGAAAGTTCTGGGATTTTACAGAAAGATTGATACTGTAATTTGAGGTTTTCAGGCCTAGTCTCCGAGGCAGGAATGGATCCCAGGCTGCAGTGGCAGCACTGAGTCCCAGCCACTAGACTACCACGGGTTGGTGTCTCAAGAAGATGCAGAAGGATCTTTGCTGATGCTCACGCAAGCAAGTGAAAAGAGGCAGATTTGTTTAGAGAAAGAAAAGGTTTATTAAGGAGCAAAGGAACAGAAATAAAGTGGGACTCTCAGGCCGGTGGAACCAGGCCAGGGAGGGGCAAGGAAGCCGAAGGGGAGTCAGGCCTCAGGGAATAGAACTTCTTTCCCTGATTATTCTAAAGTTCCATCAGTCTCTTTGTGATTGGTTAGTTCTTGGTGGTCTCACTCTGTCTTAATGTTTCTGCCCAGAACTAAGTTTCTGTGTCCCAGCCCTTATCTTAGCATACTTCTCTTTATCATCATTGTGCTGGAAAGTCTTGTTGCTCCTAGTCCTGGGGGTATTCGATTAGTCCCCTTTGGAATTTGTTGCCCTTATCTCTTGGAGTCTTCCTTAACTCTCCTTAAGTCCCTACCTGCATTGTCCCTGAAGCCATCTAATTATCCCTAACTTGCCCTAGGACTCAAATTGATAAAATAAAATAAATACTTTAGCTTTCAGCAAACTATAGCTCATGGGCCAAATCTCGGTTTTTGAATGGTCTACATGCTAAGGATGGTTTCTGTATTTTCAACAGATAACAAAAAAATCTAAAGAATAATATTCCATGATATGTGAGAATTATATCAAATTCAAATTTCAATATTCATAAATAAGACTTATTAGTGCATGGTCACACCCATTTGCTTACACACTGTTTAGGCTACTTTCATGCTACAATGGCACAATTGAGGAGCTGTGACAAAGAATATGTAGCTCATAAAACTGAAAATATTTATTTTTTTATTGCTCTAGCTCTCTACCGATTGGTTTAAAACAATGTCCATTTATTAGCCTAACAATATTTAATATCTGCCCCTTTATAGAAAAAGTTTGCTAAGTTCTGGTATGTAGGATGACATGATCAGGCTCCTGGGAAGGAGCTGGTCTAGATATGACATCCATGCTAAGACTTGAATGAGAAAAAGGTGTCAGTCATTCAAAGTTCTGGAGAATTGTTTCAGGCAGAAGGAGTAATTAGTGAAAAGGCCCAGGGGCAGGAATCAATTTACTGTGTTTGAGCGATGGATAAAAGCATCATGAACAAGGACCAGAGTGACAAGAGATGTGTATAGAGCTATGACCATCTGTAGGAACAGGAAGGGGTATCTCTTTTCCATTTGCCGAGAATGTACTAGGGGATGCCAAAGCAGGACTTTTTTTAAAAGACTTTCATGGGCCTCCACCACTGCTTCATCTGGAGGCCCTTTTTCACAACACCTGAGTTATCAAACGCACCCACATCCCTTATTAAGTACAAGTGATATGTGAGTTGGATTGAGTTGCTGCTGATAGGTTGACAACCTGGCAAACACAGCTTTTAGTAGCAAGAGCCCTTCCTTTGCTTCCATATAGTTTTGGAATAAATGACAATGAATGAGGAGTCTGAGAAGGGGGACACTTCCTCTGAGAGTCAACTTTCAACAAGAACACTTCCCGTCATTCTGACCACGTTAAGAAGTGGAAAGATTGCCTGAGCAAAGTTGCCTGAAAACACTGAGGGTCATTACTCAAAGAGCTAGAAATATTTTACTAAAGGAAAAAAATGTATCATAGTTGAACAGAGGGTGCTTTTAGTCAGACTATTTATTTTGAAACTTGTACAGCACACAGCATAAATCCATTGTCATTGAGACAGCTGTTGTATATTTATTATTTATTAGTATGGAAAAAGTTTCTAAATAGATTATAGAAATGATTGCAGAAAGCAGTACTCCTTGGTTCTTTGATTAGATATAAGATATACATGTTCAGTTAATTTATACGAATGCTTACTAGCAGGATCTGGCATGCAGTAAGGTCTCAATGGATGAGGGGAGCAGAAAAGGAAGGGGAGGGGGGAACTGAACACACCCCTCCACCAGTACAGAATTGCACTAGGCCCATTTTTTTTTTATTCATACAAGAAATGGGGTACAGGTCAGATTCGCGGGAGGGTGAGAGGATTCACCAGAGATAGAGCAGGGAACAGAACAGGCAGACTGACGAAATACACTGCTGAGGGGAGCAGCGGGCATGACAGGAGAGGTCTGCTGTGTCATGTGGATTTCTCCTTGGCCGGGGATCAAATTCGTGCTGCAGTGGCTGCAGACAGATACATAGGTTGTGTCTTAACCCCTTGCGCCACCAAGAAGGCCCTTGTAGCTTTTTAATAATAGCATTTTTGGGAGTTATATTTCATTTAACAAGGAGAAAAGGTATTTGAATTTAACATAGCAATTTTTCCCTAAAATAAGAATGCAAAAGTAGTTTGGTGAAAAAAGTGAAAAATCAAATGATTAGTCCCATTCTTAACTGCACAGAATGATTAGTCCCCAAAGGAGTAAAGGCGCATTTCCTCAAAGATCCACCTGCTTGAAAATCCTCCCACATTTTTCATCCCTTGTGCAGAGCCAAGGAGTCTTTACAGAAATTTTTTTCTGCCTCAGTTTCCTTGATTCATTCTTTCTCTGAAGGCCAGCTATAATTCTTTAAGTTGAACAATAATCAAGTTCACAATGACTCAGTCTGTGTGTTGACATTTTTTAAAAGTTCTTTTGCTGCTCACAGGTGGGCAAAATAGTAACTATGCCTTCTTTCTTTCATCTGTTAACTGCAAATACATTCAGGTTTGGGCATATTTCAAATGACCCTTAAAAACATTAGGGATTTTTAAAATGGAAGATGATAATCAAAGGAACCGTAAGTTAGTGAAGTTTCAAAAAAACCTGAAGGTTTATGCAGTATCAGAACTCTGTAAGTAGGGCTTGTGATGGGATTTCTGAAGATTTTAAGACTTAATTTTAGAGCAACTAAAAGAAAGCTGGCAACTAAACATAAGAGCCCTATTTTTTAAAATATATTTTACACCATGTTTCCTTTTAAAAGCCCTATCTTGACAGCGATTACATAAAGAAATAAGTTGTAATTAAGTTCGACCTATTTCAGGCAAGATAACATAAATTTTCAAAAATAACTTGGGGGATTCATAAAGAAAAATTAGGTATATTGAGAACACAGCTCTACTATGGGGGGTGGGGGGCGGGAGGGGAGGGATTGGGGTCAGAATGGGGGGATTGCAATTGTATGGGGAATATAAAAATAAAATTTATTAATTAAAAAAAATAAATAAACTTATTTGACTTTCAAAAAAAAAAAAAAAAGAA